AAAAATTAATTAATTAATTAATGTAAATTTTTATTACACACTAACTAATTTTTATTCAAAATTACGTTCTTCTTTTGGTCAATTAAAATAAATTCAAGTTCACTATCTATGCAATTTATTTTAAGAAATGACTAAGTAAATAGTTAGTCAAAGAATTTATCACCTAGTTGCTGTCTCATGCTTAATTTATCGTCAAAATAATTCTTCAAAGACTATTTTATCACCACTTTTAATCCACTGCTTTAGATTCAACTTTAACGAAATGTTAATTTGATGATAAAATAATGAATGCTTATTTTTAAAAAATCTTTTATGTTTTTGTTTTACTTTTAATCCAAAAATTATCGTTTTAATTTCTAAAGATTTAAATAAAACAGTATTGTTTTTACTATTTATTGTAGAAATATTTAAAAATAGAATAAAAATGGTTTATCATTTGTAATTAAAGAAATTACGTTAAATGAGATTTTGTATGACTAAACTGAGTTATTTTAATACTATAAAAAGTATATTTTTCAAAACATATTTAATTTTAAAAATTTTCAAAAATATATTTTATAATAAATTTAATAATATATAATATTAATCGACGATCATTTAGAAAATTACTAAATAAGACTTTTAAAATTATTTAAAATAATATATTTTTAATTACATTATGTTTTAAGATCTTTTTAAATCAAATTTTTATTGCATGTACGTTTTATATTCCTATTATAAATTTTTGTATGTATATTTACTAATGGCATTATAATGCACACGATTTATTGCTAGTTTTGGTAAAAATAATACGCACATTTATTTTATACAAAAACTTCTCAAAAGTTTTCACGAGTAACTAAATTAATTTTAATAGTTATTTTGTTCACGACAGTAGAATATTCATAGAAGTTAAATTTTCAATATACCTTAATTTTTTGTAAAAGAAATATGAATGTAGATAAATTTTGTAAAAATTTGACGTTTAAATAAAGTACCAAAATTTTCAATCACTTTTAGATGGCTATCTTCTCTCTCTCTTTTTTTTTTTTTCCTGCATTTGTGTATTTTTATTTTAGGTTTATTTGGATTAATGAATATAAATAAAACAATGAAGGATAACATTACAAAATTTGTAAAATGTGTATGGAAGTTTTCTAAAGTTAAGAGTGTCATGGGAAGGAGGGACTTCCAGGTCCCTCATTGAATTTTTCAACCCCAAATTTGTCCCTTTAAATTGGAAATTAAGGAGAAAATGACGTAATTTTTGGTAGGAGTTATTTCTCTTTCTTTATTGAATTTTCGCACTGTAGAGTGAGACGTACCTTTCTATTGTTTTAATTATATTAATTTTTAATTTCCCGAACATTTCTTATTTCAATAAACTATAGAAATGAAAACCCACAAAACAAATGCTAATGACTGAATAAAAAACAGTAAATTAAAGAGAAGAGTATGATTATGATTATGACAAAATTGTATGAAATCTTAAAAAAAAAATATTATTTCTACGTAACATTTTGGTTTAGTATAGTACGTACTAATTAATTAGCCAGGCCATGTACAGCAAATTAAACAGCTAGCAACATGAATTTTTTTTTAAAAATATATTTGGTTCTAGTTGTTATTAGTTCAAGTGAATAACGTTCACATCAAGTGACATGATCTTGGGCCTTCACTTTGAGTTGACACTCTTAGCTGTTAACAATTAAGAAAAGATCCCCTATCTCACGTACTCGTTGATTTTCTATACTTGGGAGAAAGTACTCTGTGTCGGAGACGAGCCCAAGTGAAGTAGTCATGTAAACTTCCTTCAAGGACAATAGACCACTAGTCATTTTCACCATCTTCATATTTCAAACCCATTTATTCAGTACGTTAAAGACACAAACTATCTAGATCTTATTATTTCTTCTCTAGAGATAATGTTTTTGTCATCTATATTTATTATCTGGATTCTAACCAAAGGTTAAGGGTTGTGTTTATTATTCAGCAAAGAGATCACCTTCATTGCTTTCCAATCAATAATGCTAAATTTTATTTGTTTATGGCGTTTGAGAAGTGACTTTAGCAAGAAAATACAAGTGTACTTTACTATAACTCCGTATATATAAAAACTAAACAACGAATTTTCATATCTTGTGAGCCCTTTGTTTGATACTTGTCTCTACCCTACAGGCCGAAGTAGCCGCACAGTTATCATATGATCCCTCCACTTTTGTTCTCTCTCTTGGATTAAAGATTCATCACGTTAACTTGAGATCTAGCTATGATATATCATTTTCTCTACCACATGAATATTCATCATATATAGCAACCTCCACAATCTTAATTTGTTATAGGGAGCCATATTCTTTTCATCATTGCCTCCCATATCATCTTAATTTCTTTATTTTCTTTCTCTCTCTCAATCTTAGGGTGACGCTTATACTAATAATTCAAGTGAGTTAGTTGAAATTCACAAAAACAACACGATTTCGACAAATATCTTGAATTCCTAACTTATAGACGTTGTTCATGCACGCACGCATACATGGCAAAATTTACTTCTCCAAATTTAGATCATTTCATGATAAGATTATACAAGCAGATCCAATTGATCAAATTTTTTACATTATATTATATTTTATATGCACAAGAGAGAGAGAAAAGGAGAGCAAAATAATGCACACTGTTTATATATACATATATAACGTACCTAACCATTTAAGTGAGTCAAATCACACTTAAGTGATTAATCTCGGATGCAAATGACAATTAATTGCTCAGTTAGTTGAGTGATTCTTAATTTATTGTTATTCATTTATTAGTTTACACGTTTTGAAAGAATCCAACCATTGATACTTTCTGACCGTTTTCTTCCCTAAATATCACTTGAATGACCCTGAAAACAAGGTGTTAAATTGGCTCTTGATAACAATTCTAGTTTCATATGAACGTGCTATTAATCAAGAACAAATATTTAGAATTTAAAATGTTGAGATTCAATTTATTAAGATGAACTCCCTTTTGGAATTAAGCTTTTCCAACAATTTGGCCGATTTCTTAATTAATTTGGATACAAATACATTATCTGTATAAGGATTAATTAATTTGTCACATAAACTATCTCAAATAATATAATCGATCCTTTTCTTTCTTCGAGTTAAACTTACATTCAATGCAAAGATTTGAGTACGATTAAAAAGAAAAACATCAGAAGACTTAACTGGAGCTATATGAATGCTTTGTCTATACTGAAACAATCCCATATTGCAGTAGGTAAACAAATAGTTGAAAGTGTGCCCAGTTTCAAGACATAGAAAGATATTGAATTCAAAAAGGATGAACAGGATGATTTGTAATTTGTTTAATGCGAGAGTTTGTTATACTCTACTCAATCAGCCTTTTAAGATGTATTTAATATTTTCGTTCCTATAATAATTAGTCATGAGTATGCACTCACTATTTCATGTTTATTGTGATTGAAATAATATTTACCGTATTTTATAATTTTAGAGTGTATTAAATGAAAAGAAGAGAGAAAATAAAAGAAAAAAAATCGAAAAAAACAATGTAATAAGAAAATAAAAATATTAAACAAATATATAAATATAATTATTACTGGAATTAATAAAAATATATTATATAATTTAGAGTTTGTTCATATTACCTGACAATGATTGATAAAAAAAAAAAGTCTTGATTTTTTACATCAATCTATCTTTTCATATAATTTTTTAAAATTTTTTCTATATTATATATTATGCCCTTTCTTCCATCCACTTTACATTTAAAAAATAATAATCGCAACAGATAATTTTCCGTGGCAATTGGCAAAACACACAAAAGATGCGATATTTCTTATCTGATATAGTAGTAGCCGGACCATGCGATAGCTAATTATGAACAAATGACTTATAAATCAATCAAATCAATCATTACAGAAAATCACTTCTAATGATGCACATAACCATGTAAAGCAGTTGAATGAAAATGAAAAGATATAAGAGCATGTTCAAAATCACTTCTAAGTCGTTTAGTTCTGTTGTATGTTATTGGGCTCTCAGTTCAATGCGTGCGGCTTCAGTGGTGGGGTCAGAAGATCTCCAAATAGCTTCTCTTTTATCCAATTAAGCTGCTTTGCCCATCAAAATCTTGTTCAATCTTTTCGGTTACTTGATACATCTTTGTCACTTGTCAGGTCATTAAAACTTAACCACTCTAGGAAATTCTTATGAACAAAATTTTAAGGCAATATTATAAATATTTTTAGTATTTTTAATTAAAGTTAAACTTTTAATGTCGGTGTACAAGTGATTAATATTTAGTAATGCTTCTGAATTTTGTTCAGCCTCCAAATGCGAAACCTATTTAGATCTTAATGAAATGATTACTTTGGTTCTAATGAAATTTTGGATTTTATTGTTAGGAGATTAAGATTAAATAAGTCATAGGTTGAGAGCTGAGGATTTCTTTTGAGAACTCAACTATTAATTTAATGAACAACAATTAAAACGTAAGAAGATGCAAATAGTTGCACTAACAAATTATATTAAAAGAACTCTACTCTATTTAAACCGACACATAAGAAACTCTTTAAAGAAGAGGGGACTATAATAATGGCAAGAAATCCAACCCCCCAAACAACAACCATATATTTTCCTCTGATCTGGCAGGGTGTACAGTTGTCACAAGTCACATCAGATAAATATGTGTAAAAAACTTCAAGGTAAAGCTTCTATTTCCTATCAATATTTAATATTTTTATTATTATTTTTCCCTAGTGTGTTTTCTTCATGGGCTCAAAGCCTATATATAGAGCGGGATTTTAAGACAAACTCAATCAACGGCTCTCTTTCAGCTCTCTCTAGCTTTTCTATTGCATCCTTCTTTCTCTTCCTTTTTTCTCTCATAGTTTGAGTTTCTCTCGTACCAACAGAAGCTTCTTGCTTCCTATAACGACCTCTGCAATTTTTGCTTTTAATTTAATTAATTATAATTATTTTTCACCCCTTTTTCTTGAAAAAAGTAAGCTAGCTATGGGTATTGAGATTGAGCAACCTTGTGTGCAACTTTCCAAAGTTGCAATTTCTGAAACTCATGGGGAAGACTCCCCCTATTTTGCTGGGTGGAAGGCCTATGATGAGAACCCTTATGATGAATTAATTAACTCCTCCGGAGTTATACAAATGGGATTGGCAGAGAATCAAGTAAGTGTGTGTGTGTAACGAGAGCAAAACAATATTAAAATTCTAGTGCATGTAACTAATGAATTGATAATTGATCTTCTTATGCTGTACCTTTCAGGTTTCATTTGATTTGCTGGAAAAGTACTTGGAAGAACACTCAGAAGCATCTACCTGGGGGAAAGGAGCTCCTGGTTTCAGAGAGAACGCTTTGTTCCAAGACTATCATGGACTTAAATCATTCAGAACAGCAATGGCAAGCTTCATGGAACAGATAAGAGGAGGGAGAGCAAAATTTGACCCAGATAGAGTGGTCCTCACTGCAGGCGCAACTGCAGCCAATGAACTCTTAACTTTCATAATCGCAAACCCAGGAGATGCATTACTTGTTCCAACCCCTTACTACCCAGGGTAAGAACAAATCACTATATATTAATCACACATCAAAACATGTTTAAAAAAATGGTCTCACGTAAAACTTTAACATGATAAAACTCATGTATAAATTTCGAGTCTTTCTTTTTTCTCTCACTTAAGCTGTTGTGTACTTAAACTATGATCATTTTTGACATTTTTTTTTCTTCTTGTTTTCCAGATTTGATAGAGATTTAAGGTGGAGAACTGGGGTAAACATAGTTCCAATCCATTGTGACAGCTCAAACAATTTCCAAATCACTCCACAAGCGTTGGAGGCTGCATATAAAGAAGCAGAAGCCAAGAACACAAAAGTGAGAGGAGTGTTGATCACAAACCCATCAAACCCACTAGGTGCAACAATTCAACGCAGGGTTCTGGAGGAGATTCTTGACTTCGTGACTCGCAAGAACATCCATCTAGTCTCAGATGAAATCTACTCAGGCTCAGTGTTCTCCTCTTCTGAGTTTGTGAGTGTAGCAGAAATCCTTGAAGCTCGTCAATACAAAAACTCAGAGAGAGTTCACATAGTTTATAGCCTCTCCAAGGACCTTGGACTTCCTGGTTTCAGAGTTGGCACCATTTATTCATACAACGATAAGGTTGTGACCACAGCAAGAAGAATGTCAAGTTTCACCTTAATATCCTCTCAGACACAGCACCTTTTGGCTTCTATGTTATCTGATAAGAACTTCACTGAGAACTACATTAAGACCAATAGAGGGAGACTGAGAAAAAGGTACCAAATGATCATTGAAGGGTTGAAAAGTGTTGGCATAGAGTGCTTGAAAGGGAATGCAGGGTTGTTTTGCTGGATGAATCTTAGTCCACTTCTGGAGAAACCAAATAGGGAAGGAGAATTGGAGCTTTGGAATGCCATTTTGCATGAAGCGAAACTGAATATCTCTCCTGGGTCTTCTTGCCATTGTTCTGAACCGGGTTGGTTCAGGGTGTGTTTTGCAAATATGAGTGAGCAAACACTGGAAGTAGCATTGGAGAGAATACGTAACTTCATGGAGCGGATTAAGAAAGAGTAATGGTATTTTGATAAGTTCTAGCTATTATTGTTATTATTTGTTGCTATTTTTTATTTTTTTTAAATGGTTCTTGCCATTTTGATAAATTCTTTAATTGGGTAACAGTAAAACCCAAAATTCATACTGTAAATCAGATTCACTACCCCAAGTGTCTTAGTCCTTGTTTGCTTGCTTAACTTAAGCAAGTTAATTACTTAGGAGCTCCTTTTGTGTATGTTTAAAGTGAAATTATCGATTAATGAAAAATGTTGTGGTCCCTGAATTATATTTACTGATTTTTATGGATTAGATGATGTTATTTTATTTTGAAGAGGTTTTATCTGCATTCTAATTGTAGTTTATCAGAATCAATCTTATTATAGTATTTAGATAGCTGCCGTGTGAAAGGTTTATTATACCCACGTGTGCGCGCGTGTTTGCGCGCAACAGCTAGCAAACCAATCCCATATACTATCTCCCTACCAAAATTGGTTTTTTTAAAGGTGAGGCACATAGAATAAAAAATAATACTGTTGTAAACTAAAATACTCTTGTTTAACTACTTAAACTAATTTTAAATTAATTATCCACGAATATGATTGTAAGGAAATTGACCAGGTCTTGAAATTTTTAAATCACAATAATAAAAAAATAAAATAGAGAGTAGCTTTTAGCTTGATGTTATTGTTGAAATCATTTAGAAATGGAAACTCCTCTCATTGAGCTCTCACTCAAAGTGTGTGTTATTGTCAGGCTTATTAATTAGTACATGGAACTGTGGATAACCTGACTTGGTTAAGAACATTTAATTTGATAAGCATTTAATATTTAGGCTTCTTGTTGTGCGCGTGATGTTCCAAAACAAATACTACAGTACTACTACTATATTTAATTAATGGTCCACTGCTTCATACATACATACATATATATATATATATATATATATATATATATATATATATATGTATATATCTTTATTATATTAATAATCTCACCACCAAACTTTGAGCTAACACTGATTTTCCTTATTCTATACCACTTCTTTCGTTTTCCTTTTTATTTCTACTTAGGAAAATAAACTGTAGGTTAATAAATATAAATAAAATATTTTTTAAGTTTTTTAAGATAAGTATATAAAATATATAATAATAAATAAAAATCTAAAATAGATGTACAAATATCATTTTGAAAATAAAATAAAATAAAATGTATGACACTACCAAGTATATGAATTAATAGAGGTATGATATATATATATATATATATATATATATATATATATATATATATATATATATACACACATTCTTGTCCTTAGCTTTTATACTTCTAGTGGAGAAACGATAGATTAGTTAAGACGCAAGAGCTGACAAAACAAATTTAAGCATGGGACACGTTATTAATTAGGACCTCGCGTATGTTTTGATAAAAAAGTGTATTTAATACGGTCAACATTCGTAATTTTCATTATTACTATTTATAAATAAGGTACATGGGTTTCCTTAATTATTTTATTAACTACTTTAAGGGAATGATTTGGTTTTGATAATGATCTACTATCTACTTAATTATCGACCCAATCCTCGTTTAGTCGAATGTTTTGCATATGAATACTCGATTCAGTTAATGTGAAACCCGAATGGTCTGCACCATATTAATCAACATGCATCATCGTAACTAGAGCATGGCTTGGATTTAATCAATTAATTGTAGTCCTAAAGCCAAATAGTAGTTATTTTAACAAAATAATTAAGTAAATAAGTATGAAAGGAAAAAGTCATAGGATGTGCTTGATTGTGTTTCGGTTTATCGTTCCTCTTAAATGTTTATTATTATTTTTTAAATAATTTTTTATTTAAAATATATTTTTCTCTTTCTTATAATGATCATGCTAATAGTAAAGATATATATTTTCACAGAACTTTTTTAAATTGAAATAACAATAGACATACAAGTGTGATAATAAACACTTTTAAATTAGAAAACAAAGAAAAAATAAAATGCCAAAGAAATTAAGTAAGTTCACTAAGTTGAGATATCGTAAAAAAGAAAGAAACTGCAATATAAGATGGGATAGCACAAAAGAACATAAGTAATAGAAAATTAAAAGTAAAGAGAACCAAAATAGCTTAACGATGTTCTGATTTTTTAATTTTAAAATTTGAAAAGAGTTATTATTTTTAAAAATAAATTTTATTTTAAAAGTTACTCTTGTTAAAAAGTTATTTTTAAATTAAAAAAAATCAAAATATACAAACAATACATTTAGCATTTTGATCGAATCTTTAAACATTTCTTTTATAGTTCACTAAAAAAGTAATTTACTTTATTATATTAGCATAGAATTTTTCTTTGAAAAACAAAATAGCTTTGAGTTTGTAATAGTAATATTATTTGTTAGTATAGAACTTTAATTTTTTACTAACAATTTAATTTTTATTTGACAAGGTTTATATTACCAAAGATTAATAAGATAATAAGTAAAATCCAAGGTATGAGATAAGAATCAAGGAGATAAGGGGAAAAAAATAATGGAGAGAATATTTAAACAAAGTAAAACAAGCTTGAAAATCATTAATGAGGTTGACGCCCCGTAATATAGCTTTCGAAGGGGTTGCATGAGTATGCATTATTTGGTACGAGTTGCTCAATTTAAGATCCCCTTGTATTGAATTTCATTAATAGCCATCATGATTAATTCTATTATTGTTAATTTTGCATTGATGTAAGAATTGAATATTATGCATGACTTCTATATAAACTTATACTCTCCTCTAAAATTCGATCAATTTATGAAATAAAGTTTCATTCTCTTATGCAAGAATCCAATTACTTATTCTTTTCCTTCTCAATACCTTGCATGGACATGCTTGTGAAACAGCATGGTCGTTCGTTCTAGTTCAAAGAGCTGATCAGGTGTGCTCACATAGGCACCCTTGGAGTTTGCTTTGATGCTATCTCAGCCCTGCCAAGTAATTAACACGGGCGTGTACGATTTGGTTCTGCTATAGTCATTTTAAATTACCACTTCAGAAACAAAATAAAAAAAATGAAAAAAAATCAAAGTCATACATTAACAAATAAGCAATATTTCATTTAACTTCCATAGATAAATTGATAAACCGATGGTTTATCACAAAGCAACATACCCTTATACCTAGGAATTTTCTTCCAATGATCATGAATAGTATTTTTGGGAGCATAGAAGTTACAAATGGTTACTAAACATTTATAACTTGCCCAATGTGAATAGTACACGTGATTACAAATTTAATGAGTATTCTTCCTAAATAAATTATCTAACATCTAATTAAGGACTAAATAAAAAATGTGACTGAGTACAATTGTATCATCTGAATTAAGATTACATTAGTTTCATTAACATGATATTTATAGCCTTACTAATCATACCCATTTTGTAAAGTTTAACATTTTGAGCCACTCTAGCCAACCACTTTATCCGCTGCCATGCTAATAATCTCTCGTTCACACGTGAGATTAATTACATTATCAAAAGGCTCTTTATTAGTCGTCTGTTTGTTTGGTTAACGAAAAGGCACAACTATAATATGCCGACATTGAGATCCAAAGTAATGTGTATATATACATGCATACACACACGTATATTCATTTTCTTATAGTCGGTCAAAGCATATGAATTTATATACGTTAGATTGACTGAGATAGTCAATATAAAGTGAACGAGAAATTAATGCATGAAAATGGTGAGTCCATGTATATATAAAACATGAGCTGGACTACTTATTTATTTATAAACAGCACTGTTTAATACAATGTTAAAGATGCACCGAAAAACTTTAATGAATTTAAAATACATATTTACATAGAAATACAAAGAACGCATGCTATAGTACCTGCTTTTCTTCGCTGATTGACATCAATAGAAAAGTCGGTGAATGGGTGAGGACAAATGCGGTGCAAACGAGATTATGTGAAAATGCAGTGCACAAGAAAAGCTTGTTTGTTCCACAACGAAAGACGCCAAATGGGAAATTCCATGAAGCTATATGCCAATTTAACTAATCTCTTTTCACATTAGATTGCATTATTTAAATCTTTGCTTACATTCGTTTGTTTTGTTTACCAAAAGACAAAACTTGTTTACACTGGTCAGTACACCAAAAAGGGTAACATTTTTGTGATCTGAAACTAATTATTTTTGTTTTTATCTGGTCAAAAGCTTTGGATGAACTTAAATCGACTGAGGCATAGTGAACAAACTGCATGAGCATCGTTTCTTTGTTCCTTTTTTTTCTTGTTATAAATACAATCTGTTATGTAGAGTAATTTCAATTTCTTGTTTAATTAAAACTTTATTTTGTTTTCATTGATGTTCGTTCAAGTTCTTAATTATCAGTCTTGCACAAAGACAGTACGAAGGCCAAAACTCACAAGTTACAATATGGGTGAAGTGAGTTAACATATGCTCTTCATGTTCTGTGTATTTTTGGAAAATATTTTTTGTGCTAATCTTTTTTTTTTTTTTTTATAATTCACACCATTCTTTTTTTATTCATTTTAAAAAAATATAACTTTGAAATGTATTACACAATTTCTAAAAAATTAATTTCAAAAATAATATTATGACATATGAAAAGGTTTAAACATCAAGAACATTTAATTTCAAAAACAGATTATTGTTATTATTCAATTTCTCCATTCGTGTCCAATCTTCTTACATCAACAAGTAATTTATAAATCAAGTTTTGTTATATAATCGACTTTTGTTTTTAGTTATACTATCTTTTGTTTTGACTACTGTTGTTAGTTAAACACACATAAACACTCAATTATTAAGATTTGGAAATTATTGATAATTGGCGAGTAAAGATGTGTTTGTTTCAAGATATACTTTTCCATTTCCGAAAATTTTGAAGCAGTTATAAAATATTCTCAAGTTGATTTTTGATTAGGAGTTATTTCTATACATTACTTAACATCATTCTCATTATCTCAAACCTATAAAAAAAGATAACAAAAAAAATTCATTTATATATAATCGATAGAAAAGAATAAAATTTTAAAAAAATACTTTTATCTTATCATCAAATTTTCTCGAGATTAAAATTTTAAACTCTATAAAATACCAAATATAAGCATAATATTCTTTCTTTTTTTTTACTATTAGGATAATATTCTTTTTAAAACATGATTACTCATTTATGTGAATGTTATACACAAGAAGTCCAGGCTGTTGTTAAAGCACCAAAAACATATAACGTGGACCAATACCAAGTCTTTTGGGCTTGAATATTGATGATGGGCTTAAACAGGTGGAGAAATGTTACTTTCGGCCCATATTGTTGAATGAAGAGAAAAGAGCAGAGTAACAAAGGAAACTAAAAAAAAAGATAATAGAAATAAAACAAAACACAGAAGGTTCACAGAGAGCGTCTTCAGTGTTAGGTGCGTCGCAAGGTAGCGGCGGTGACGGAGACCAATCTGAACAATTTCCGATTACTGCATTGGTCAGAGGACAAGGTAACACACCTTTCTCTTCTCTTAGTTTTCGATCACAACATACACTTGAGATTTTATTGCCTTTTCCATTCTCTTTTTAGATCTCGTTTTCTCTTTTTCGCGATCTTGTTATCTGATACTATGTTACCTTTCATTTCATCTCTTAAACTCACTTACTTCACATATATGTATATCTTCCGAGTTTTTTTATTATTATTTTTGGTTGTGACGTCAAATGGTTGAACATTTAGGGTTTTGATTTGCCTCTCAGAACACCATTTTCCATTGAAGGGATATATTGAATAGTGAAACGTAGTCAGTTGCTGATTCTGGAGTATAATGATACTTCAATTGACATTGCAGTTTTTTTTTTTTTTGTGCGTGTTTGTGTGTACATAACGTTGTTGTATTGGGATTTTTTGAACAGCTACTATGTCTATTGCGCGAGGCTATTCTTTTGAACCTATGTTTTTTTATTTAATTGTAATGAATAGCTCCATCTTAAACCCTTTTGTGGTTACTGATAAAACATCACCTTCGATGCAAATTAATTTAGAAATATAAATGGATTACCTGAGGATTATGCCTTTCGCTATTAATTTTCCTTCTATCCTGACTATGATCAGTGGGTAGAAGAATTTATGGTGTTTAAAATACAATTATGGATTGGGAATGTTGTACATTGTTCACCTTATGTCTAATTCATTGGTTTTTTTTTTCCACTGGTCCAGGGTTTTGTTCTACTTAACTTGCTGACTTGATGGCGTCAAAGTTGCAGCAGTTGCAGTCCAAAGCATGTCAAGCGTCCCAATTTGTATCCAAACATGGAGGTGTTTACTACAAGCAGTTGTTGGAGCAGAACAAGCAATACATTCAGGAGCCTCCTACAGTAGAGAAATGCAACTTACTGGCAAAGCAATTGTTTTACACTCGTCTTGCTAGGTTACATTTTCAACAACCTTGTTTGATTGTTTGTTTGTTTTCCTTAAATGATATTTTCTCTGGCTGGTGCTGGATTCAATTTATAAATCTCTCTAATTTTATATGCTTGTCGACCATAATCCATCATAGCATGTTTCAACTTTAGGCCTTGAGTTTGAGCGGCTCATAATGTGCTTGTGAGGCATTATAACCATTATTATTTTATTCCAGTTCTTTGAGGCAATTTGCATAAATTTCTCTATATGCAGTTATTTATAGGAAAAGAGTAAAAAATGAACTCAATTTCTCCCATAAATTAAAATTAGTTTATGCACCTCATCTTATGGATAAATTATACAACGAAGCAAAACTTGACTTGCAAAAGTAAAGTTTAATTTATGCAAGAAGTTTGATTGATTTTACCTCCTTAATTCATTTTATTTTCTCCTCCTATAAGTACTTGTTAGAAAATTTATCCAAACTGTGTCTTGTTGTTGATTGATGTAATAATGTTAATTATGCTGAGAACAAAATAACCTGAGCTCATCACTTTCTGCCATAACATCAAGGTCACAAAGTCAGAGCTTGCTGCTTGTAGTTTTTATGATGAAGTGCATTTCTGTGCGTTATTTTAAATTTGCATTCACTGAAGCCTATACTGTCTTGTTAACTATGCATCTCTTTGTGTTATGCCAATGCTTGTGTGTCATTCCAATATCATTTTCTTATCATGATTGCATTTCAAATTATGTGAACATGTCTTCACCAGAATCTTTAGTGAATTATCTAAACAATGATAAAGTGAACTGAATTTCAATAATCTGTTCTGTGTGCTCATTTGTCAAAGGTGCTTACCAATTGTAGACGGTTATATATGGGGTTTGCTAGTGAGTAAAGGTAAACTTAGAAAGAGCATGTTGCTAACATGCTCGAAAATATTTAGTCTAAAAAGCTTTTCTAATTTATTTACACAATTGTATTGGTAGGTTAATTTTAGAAAACTAGTTTTATCTGAAAAATTTAAAAGACCAATTATCTGAATAAAAATGCCTGGTAGACTCTATAAAATTTATTACATGAATTGTCGACAATTTTCTCTTTTCTCTTTTTCTAGGTAATGACTGTGTTTAGGAGAGACACTAGGTTGTTAGTCAGAGATCAAGGGAGATAAGAGGAGAGAGAACTTTATTTTTGTAGAGAACAATCATTGAGAGAAGCACTTGTGAAGAGATAGAAATTTGTTTCCTTATCAATACTCATGTTTAAATTAAATAGAAAAGGTTTCTTTGTCTAAATATTTTGGTACATGTTGCTGCATGCTATTTTTAGAATTTAGCTTTACACGTGCTTGTGTGCTCATGTATGTGTAGAGATGGAGAAAAGAAATCTTGTATGTTCTATGCAAACTTTGTTTTGGCTGCTTCTGCTACTATGTTTAACTCTTCAATCTTTTGCAGTATTCCAGGTCGATGTGAGTCCTTCTGGAAGGAACTTGATTATGCCAAGCATTTATGGAAGAACAGGAAAGAATTAAAGGTTGAAGATGTAGGTATTGGTGCTTTGTTTGGCCTGGAGTGCTTTGCATGGTTTTGCGCCGGTGAAATTGTTGGAAGGGGTTTTACTTTCACTGGTTACTATGTCTGACTATAAACCACTTGAACGTGTAGATTTTAGCAGGGCTATATACTTCTAAAGCCAGCTGCTCTCTGGTCATTTATACATTTTGTGGATTATGGCATTCTGCAAGGCAATTTGTGTTCTGAATTTTTTTTTTCCATTTTGGGATAAAGGTTGAGAAACTAGCGGTTAGCTTTGATAAGCTTCAATAACCCCTTGTATTTGAGGCGGGCGTGGACCTTGCGTTGTTCTCTTATCATGTTGGAAAGCTAGTGATGATACTCGACAATGATGATGCAGGACCCTGCAATTTTTGAATATTTTTTTTCATAAATGTTTTTTTTTTTTTAATTATATGGCTGTTTATAGATGCATAAAATATTGAAATTAGAATAAAATTGAAGGCGTTTTTTGGACAGGAAGTGGTATTTGCTCTGCATGATTTTCTCTTAGGAACTTGGTCGGTGCTATAATAATCTGGTGATGAGAGACAAGTATTAAAGCTGAGCTACTTCATTAGAGTGGTTAAAACGGTGTTTCTAATTTACTCTGTCCCTGACGTTACAAACCAATCCAATAGATTGTTTATCCAAGGGTGTATACCATTACGGCTAGAAATGACAGAATGTCTAATTTCAGAAATACAGATACTACACCGCCATGAAACTGAAACAAATAAGTGCCTGGTTGGATATTTCTATAGTGGAGTTTTGAAAGAATTGTAGGGGAAGGGTAAGTTAACTAATCTCATTATAAAATACTCAAAATCTCGAGCAGCCGAAGTGCAATTTTTTTTTCCTGGGTCGTTTGTTGTCAGTACTATTAACTCTGTTCTTGACTTTGTATTTGTACCCAAAGCATTAAAATCACGTGTCCTCATGAAAAAATCCACTTGTGTGGTCTTATATCCCTCGTCTCAATAGTAAAAGATTAAATTTAATTTATATTAGTAAAATTTATTTTAAAAATATTTATCATATCTTATATTTTTAAGGAAATAAATATTTAAGAGTGAAGATTATTAAAATTGTAAAAATATAAGATATTGCTCACCTATACCCATAGGTCAACAGTTAAGTAATTAATAAATAATATTTTTAAAATTAAAAACAACGTTAAAACTTTATTTATTTTTGATTGATGTTTGTTCAAGTTCTTAATTATCAGTCTTGCATAAAGAGAGTACGAAGGCGGAAACTCACGAGTTACAATGGGTGGAAGTGTGTTAACATCTGCTCTTCATGTTCTGTATATTTTTGGAAAATATTTTTTGTGCTCATTTTTTTATAATTCGCACCATTCTTTTTTTTATTCATTTTTTTTTAAAAAAATACAACTTTGAAATGTATAATACAATTTCTAAAAATTTAATTTCAAAAATAATATTCTGACATATGAAAAGGTTAAAACACCAAGAATATTTAATTTCAAAAATAGATTATTTTTATTATTCAATTTATCCATTCGTATCCAATCATCTTACATCAACAAGTAATTTATAAATCAAGTTGTTATATAATCGACTTTTGTTTTCAGTTATACTTTCTTTTATTTTGACTGCTGTTGTTAGTTAAACATACACAAACACTCGATTGTTAAAATGTGAAAATTATTGATAGATGGCGAATAAAGATGTGTTTATTTCAAGATATACTTTTCTATTTCCGAAAGTTTTGAAGCAGTTATAAAATATTCTCAAGTTGGCTTTTAATTAAAAGCTATTTCAATACATAACTTCTTAACATAATTCTCATCATTTCATATCCATAAAAAGATAGAAAAAATTCATCTATATAAAATCGATTAAAGTTTTCTAAAAAGAAAAGAATAGTTTTTTTTTATCTTATCATCAAATTTTCTTGATATTAAAATTTTAAACTGTATAAAATACCAAATATAAGCATAATATTATTTTAAAACATGATTACTCATTTATGTGAATCTTATAGTCATGAAGTACAGGTTGTTTGTAACAGCACCAAAAACATATAACGTGGACCAATACCAAGTCTTTGGGCTTGAATATTGATGATAGGCTTAAACAGGTGGAGAAATGTTACTTTCGGCCCATATTGTTGAATGAAGAGAAAAGAGCAGAGTAACAAAGGAAACCAAGAAAAAAAGATAATAGAAAGAACACAAAGCACAGAAGGTTCACAGAGAGCGTCTTCAGTGTTCGGTGCGTCGCAAGGTAGCGGCGGTGACGGAGACCAATCTGAACAATTTCCGATTACTGCATTGGTCAGAGGACAAGGTAACGCTCCTTTCTCTTCTCTTAGTTTTTGATCACAACATACACTTGAGATTTTATTGCCTTTTTCATTCTCTCTTCAGATCTCGTTCTTTCCTTTTTGGGATCTTCTTATCTGATACTATGTGACCTTTCATTTCATCTCTTAAACTCACTTACTTCACATATATGTATATCTTCCGATTTATTTTTTTTATTATTTTTGTTTGTGGCGTCAAATGGTTGAACATTTAGGGTTTTGATTTGCCTCTCAGAACACCATTTTCCATTGAAGGGATATATTGAATAGTGAAGCGAAGTCTTTGAGAAACTGGGACTGTCGTTGCGCGATTTGTTCCTTTAGTCAGTTGCTGATTCTGGAGTATAATGATACTTCAATTGACATTGCAGTTTTTTTTTTTTTTTTTTTGTGCGTGTTTGTGTGTACATAACGTTGTTGTATTGGGATTTTTTGAACAGCTACTATGTTTATTGCGCTGAGGCTATTCTTTTCCACCTATGTTTTTTTATTTAATTGTAATGAATAGCTCCATCTTAAACCCTTTTGTGGTTACTGATAAAACATCACCTTCGATGCAAATTAATTTAGAAATAGCAATGGATTACCTGAGGATTATGCCTTTCGCTATTAATTTTCCTTCTATCCTGACTATGATCAGTGGGTAGAAGAATTTATGGTGTTTAAAATACAATTATGGATTGGGAATGATGTACATTGTTCACCTTATGTCTAATTCATTGGTTTTTTTTTTTTCCACTGGTCCAGGGTTTTGTTCTACTTAACTTGCTGACTTGATGGCGTCAAAGTTGCAGCAGTTGCAGTCCAAAGCATGTCAAGCGTCCCAATTTGTATCCAAACATGGAGGTGTTTACTACAAGCAGTTGTTGGAGCAGAACAAGCAATACATTCAGGAGCCTCCTACAGTAGAGAAATGCAACTTACTGGCAAAGCAATTGTTTTACACTCGTCTTGCTAGGTTACATTTTCAACAACCTTGTTTGATTGTTTGTTTGTTTTCCTTAAATGATATTTTCTCTGGCTGGTGCTGGATTCAATTTATAAATCTCTCTAATTTTATATGCTTGTCGACCATAATCCATCATAGCATGTTTCAACTTTAGGCCTTGAGTTTGAGCGGCTCATAATGTGCTTGTGAGGCATTATAACCATTATTATTTTATTCCAGTTCTCTGAGGCAATTTGCATAAATTTCTCTATATGCAGTTATAGGAAAGGAGACAAAAATAAACTATTTCTCCCATATATTAAAATTAGTTTATGCACCTCATCTTATGGATAAATTATACAACGAAGCAAAAGTTGACTTGCAAAAGTTAATTTTAATTTATGCAAGAAGTTTGATTGATTTTACCCATAGTAGTCAATAGCGGAAATAGCGGCCGCAATCGCGGCGGAGCGGGGCGGAGCGGCCCTTTCCCGCGACGGCGACGCTGTCGCGTTTCACAGTAGCGGCTGTCGCGCCGCGATTCACGGCGGAAAACACCGAAAATAGCGGCTGGAGCGGCCGCTATCTCATTCTCGCGCGTTTCCCCTTTTTGCCCCTCATCTTTTACCATTAGGGCCCTTTAAGGGGGGGCAATTTTGGAATTTCGACCCCCCTTATTTTTCTGAATCATCTTCTTCAACCCTAGCCTCCATCAGTCTGCTCTCCTCTCTTCTCCCGTCGGTTCTCTCTCCTCTGTTCTCGGTTCTCTCTCCTCTGTTCTCGGTTTTCTGGTCATCCTCTGTTCGCTGTGCTCTGTTTTTCCGGCGAGACTTCCACTTGATTTTCCGGTCATCTTCTTCGTCTCCGGCAAGCTTCTAAGGTGACCCAAATTATTTTGAGTCATTTTCTTCATCTCTTCTCATCTTCTTCAAGGTCAGCACAACTTTCCGGTCATCTTCTCCAACTCCGGCAAACTTCCGGCGAACTTTCCGGTACTGAACATTTTTTTTTCCTATATTTTTCTCTGTTTTTTTTTTCTCTTCTCTGTTTTGATTCTTCTATTATTTTCTGTTCGAAATTTCAAAGCTTAAAGAAGTAATGGCTACTCCTCCCAATCTGTCACAAGGAACCAGCTCTGTTTCAATTTCATCCTGTGCATTAGTGAAGCCTTCAGGAAATAATTTGGATATAGGTTGGCAATGGAATAGTTTGAAAGACATAAATAATAAAAAGTCTGTTACTTGTGACTTTTGTGGAAAAACGACTACAGGCGGTATTACCCGAGCAAAGAGGCACCAAATGGGAGTGAAGGGAGATGTTGATAAGTGTCCAAGGATTCCCAAAGAAATAAAAGAAACACTAATAGCAGCTCATGAGAAGAAGAGAATTGAAAAAGAGGTATATTTACTTCAGCATGATGAAGATGAAGATGATGATGATGAAGAAGAGGTGCAAGAAATTCAAAATATTCGTAGTGGAAAACGACCTGCAACCTCAAGTGTTGCATCAGTCTATGTTAGTGGTTGTAATGCCACCAAAAAAGGAAAAAATGTCAAGGGCCCATTGGATTTATTATGGTTAAAGAGTCCAGAAACAAGAATCAAATTAGCAAAATCAAAAAGACAAACAAGTATAAATGATGCTTGTGTCAAAGAGGCAAGAGCAAGAACAGTTCAATACATAGAGCGATTCTTTTGTAGGAATGGAATTGCTTTCAACGTTGTGCGCTCAAAAAGTTTCAAATTAATGGTTGAAGCTATTGGAAACTATGGTCCACATCTAAAGCCTCCTAGTTATCATGAGTGTAGAGTTCCTCTTCTTAAAAAGGAGTTAGAGTATACAAAGGAAATGTTGAAAAGTCGTGAAGAAGAAAGAGAAAAATGTGGATGTTCAATTATGTCAGATGCGTGGACGGATAAAAAAAATAGAACATTGATCAATTTCTTAGTAAATTGTCTAACTGGTTCTATGTTTGTAAAGAGCATTGATGCATCTGCTTATATGAAAACTGGAGAAAAGTTGTTTGAGCTCTTGGATAGCTTTGTTGAAGAGATTGGAGAGAAAAATGTTGTGCAAGTAGTTACTGATAATGGAAGTAATTATGTATTAGCCGGTAAGAATTATTCTTAACTCCCTATATTAATTTTAGTTACTAATTATTTTATTAGTTTCTAATTTTAGACTATGCAATTTAATTTTAGGTAAGTTGTTGCAAGCTAAAAGACCACATTTGTTTTGGACTTTATGCGCTGCACACTGTATTGACTTGATATTAGAAGACATTGGAAAAATACCTAGAGTCAAGAGAACAATCCAAAGTCATTCATTGACTTTGAATATTATGAGGAAGTTCACCAATAAAGCTGAATTGGTTAGATATGGAGTGACAAGGTTTGCCACAACATTCCTCACATTACAAAGGTTGCATAATAAAAAAACAACCTTAGAAAAATGTTCACTTCCGATGAGTGGTTAAAGTCCAAAACAGCCAAAGAAGCTAAAGGAAAAAGGGCAACAGACGCTGTACTTATGCCTTCTTTTTGGAATGATGTGGTTTTCTGTCTTAAGGCTATGGGGCCACTTGTGCAAGTTTTGAGACTTGTTGATAATGAAAGAAAGCCTGCAATGGGTTATATATATGAGGCAATTGATAGAGCTAAAGAAAGCATTCAAAATGCATTCAAAGGAAATGTAGACAAATATAAGGAGATTTTTGCTATAATTGATAGAAGATGGGAGTGTCAACTTCATCATCCATTACATGCTGCAGGTTATTATCTGAATCCTCAATTTTTTTATAGCAATAAACAAATTGAGAATGATCCTGAAGTTGTGGAAGGCTTGTATAAATGTATTGAGAGGCTATGTACAAGTGAAGATGATGTAGACAATGCTACAGTTCAATTGTCAACATATAGAAGAGCTGAAGGTCTCTTTGGTTTAAGTGGAGCAAAAAGACAAAGGGTTACAATGGCTCCTGGTAAGAGATTTGTTTAATTTTTTTATTGTAATGTAATTATGTAGATATAACACAAAAGGTTAATAAGTTGATGCATAACTTGCAGCTGAATGGTGGAAGAATTATGGAGTACGTACACCACATTTACAAAATATTGCTATTAGAGTGTTGAGTTTGACTTGTAGTTCATCTGGATGTGAACGAAATTGGAGTACTTTTGAGCACGTAAGTAAATATCTGAATCCTCAATTTAAAGTTTTTTTATGAAAAGTGAAAATCTAATATTTTTTTTTTATGGTAAAATAGATTCATTCTAAAAAGAGAAGCAGACTTGAGCATCAAAGGTTACAAGACTTGGTTTTTATTAAATATAACCAAGCTCTTAATGAACGTTTTGAGTGTTCTGACGTGGTGGATCCTATTATCTTAAAGGATGTTGATGATAGTAATAATTGGTTGCTAGAAGGAATAGCTGGAGATGATGAAGATGCTGTAGATGAATTAGTGTTTGATGATGATAACTTGACTTGGGGAGCTGTTGCTAATGCAATTGGGGCTAGTGAGCCTATAACCTACACTAGGCGACAAGCTAAATCAAAATCCAAGACAACTACAATTGCTTCTTCATCTAAATCTAAGGGAAAAGGGAAAGAAATTGTACAAGAAGAAGAAGAAGAAGAAGAATGTGATGACGAAGATTCTGAAGAAGAGGATGAGGAGGAGGAGGAGGAGTAGGTTCTTTACAAAAGTAGTGATGAAAGTGAAAATGAAGAGGACATTGCAAATCTTGGAGATGAAGATGATGATAATTATTAAAATATTTGTATTTGAATTGAACACTTAGTATTTTTAAACATCTAAGCATTAGAGACTTAAATTTAGTTAGTTAAATTTATTTTTATATTTTGTTGTTACTTGTTATTGACATCTAAGCATATATATATATGTGTGTAATTTAATTTATGAGTTTATGAGTATATTTATAATACGTAAAATAGCGGCCATCCCGCTATCCGCTATGCCGCTATAGCGTTTTTGAGGTCGGCCGTTCCGTGCCGCTATCCGGGATTGACTACTATGATTTTACCTCCTTAATTCATTTTATTTTCTCCCCCTATAAGTACTTGTTGGAAAATTTATCCAAACTGTGTCTTCTTGTTGATTGATGTAATCATGTTAGTTATGCTGAGAACAAAGTGACCTGCGCTCATCACTTTCTGCCATAACATCAAGGTCATAAATTCAGAGCTTGCTGCTTGTAGTTTTTATGCTGAAGTCCATTTCTGTGCGTTATTTTAAATTTCATGCACTGAAGCCTATGCTGTCTCGTTTACTATGCATCTCTTTGTGTTATGCCAATGCTCGTGTGTCATTCCAATTTGATTTTCTTATCATGATTGCATTTCAAATTATGTGAATATGTCTTCACCACAATCTTCAGTGAATTATCTAAACAATGATAAAGTGAACTGAATTTCAATAATCTGTTTTGTGTGCTCATTTGTCAAAGGCGCATACCAGTAGACGGTTATATATGGGGTTTGCTAGTGAGTAAAGGTAAACGTAGAAAGAGCATGTTGCTAACATGCTCGAAATTATTTAGACTAAAAAGCTTTTCTAATTTATTTACACAATTGTATTGGTAGGTTAATTTTAGAAAACTAGTTTTATCTGAAAAATTTAAAAGACCAATTATCTGAATAAAAATGCCTGGTAGACTGTATAGCTGCACTTGTTGACGATTTTTAGTGTCACTAAATGTGAACCTGCATTGCCAAATATAATCCTGTATCATGTTAAAACTTAAAAACAACAAACATGATCTCTTTAATTTTTTTTTATAAGAAGTGAATATTTTTAGTGCAAAAAAAAAAAAGAAAAGAAATGAAGTTGACATGAGTTGAAGAATTGGAGCAAAAAAAAATTAGTGACCAATGTGGTAGTGTACCCAACCAAGGTAGAAAAATGTTAAATTTATTCAGAAGGGTGAACAACTATATCTGGATTTTGGGAAGATGCAAAGAGGAGTGAGACACTTGAGGGTTAGTTATGGTGGAGGCTTAAGGGTCTGTTTTGGCCTGCCCAAATAAAATGTTCATGTTTTTCAATTCAAAATAATTATGAACATGTCATTGTCTGTAAAATTTATTACATGAATTGTCGACCTTTTTCTCTTTTCTCTTTTCCCTTTTTCTTGGTGATGACTGTTTAGGAGAGAGACTAAGTTGTTAGTCAGAGATGAAGGGAGATAAGAGGAGAGAGAACTTTATTTTTGTAGAGAACAATCATTGAGAAGCACTTGTGAAGAGATAGAAATTTGTTTCCTCATCACTACTCATGTTTAAATTAAGTAGAAAAGGTTTCTTTGTCTAAATATTTTGGTACATGTTGCTGCATGCTATTTCTAGAATTTAGCTTTGCACGTGCTCGTGTGCTCATGTATGTGTAGAGATGGAGAAAAGAAATCTAGTATGTTCTATGCAAACTTTGTTTTGGCTGCTTCTGCTACTATGTTTAACTCTTCAATCTTTTGCAGTATTCCAGGTCGATGTGAGTCCTTCTGGAAGGAACTTGATTATGCCAAGCATTTATGGAAGAACAGGAAAGAATTAAAGGTTGAAGATGTAGGTATTGGTGCTTTGTTTGGCCTGGAGTGCTTTGCATGGTTTTGCGCCGGTGAAATTGTTGGAAGGGGTTTTACTTTCACTGGTTACTATGTCTGACTATAAACCACTTGAACGTGTAGATTTTAGCAGGGCTATATACTTCTAAAGCCAGCTGCTCTCTGGTCATTTATACATTTTGTGGATTATGGCATTCTGCAAGGCAATTTGTGGTCTGATTTTTTTTTTTTCCATTTTGGGATAAAGGTTGAGAAACTAGCGGTTAGCTTTGATAAGCTTCAATAACCCCTTGTATTTGAGGCGGGCGTGGACCTTGCGTTGTTCTCTTATCATGTTGGAAAGCTAGTGATGATACTCGACAATGATGATGCAGGACCCTGCAATTTTTGAATATTTTTTTTCATAAATGTTTTTTTTTTAATTATATTGCTGTTTATAGCTTTGCATAAAATATTAAAATTAGAATAAAATTGAAGGCGTTTTTTGGACAGGAAGTGGTATTTGCTCTGCATGATTTTCTCTAAGGAACTTGGTCGGTGCTATAATAATCTGGTGATGAGATACAAAAGGATTAAAGCTGAGCTACTTCATTAGAGTGGTTAAAACGCTGTTTCTAATTTTCTCTGTTCAGGATATTACAAACCAATCCAATAGATTGTTTATCCAAGGGTGTCTACCATTATGGCTAGAAATGACAGAATGTCTAATTTCAGAAGTACAGATACTACACCGCTATGAAACTAGAAAAAATAAGGGCCTGGTTGGATACTTCTAAATGGATGTTTGAAAGAATTGTCGGGGAAGGGTAAGATAACTAATCGCATTATAAAATACTCAAAATCTCGAGCAGTCAAGTTCAATTTAGTTTTCTTGGGTCGTTTGTAGTTTGTATTATGAACTCTTCTTGACTTTTGTATTTGTACCCAAAACATTAAAATCACGTGTCTTTGTGAATGTCTTTGAAGATCATGAAAAGATGGTGATGCCCGAGCAAATATCGGTTTCCTTAAAGAAGTATCAAGATCAAAATGCACTAACGTCGGCATACAAAAAGACTACCATGGAATTGATGAAGCATTCTTGGCCTGAAAGATTCATATTCAATAAAAAACTTGTATACATCCCTTGTTATGCTTTGGATATTAATATAAACTATTTAAGGACAACGGGATAGCCCAAAATTATTCAGTATTGAGAGTTTAGTTTCCATAGTTTAGTTTCTCATTAACATCCTTGAAATTCAGGTATGCTTTCCTTTTCAACCTTCTTTTGTATATGCTACCACAGCATTCACTAGCCAGTAAACCAACTATGCCCGCATTCTAGTTTCTTATTCCCATAATGTTTTTCATGCGTAACTTTATTACTAGGGACTGATATCTATGTTTATTCCCACAGCTTGAAATTTTAGTATTGAATACCAAGTGTAATCATAACATGTAGGACTATTTGCTTCTTGTGTTTTTATGATTTGGGGAATTTATAAGGTGTGTATGCTGCTAAGGAAATGGACAATATATCAAAGCCAGCAGTTTTTCCCAATCCAGTTATATTGCAAAGTGAGGGGTTACTGAAGGTATAATCAAACATTTCGTGGTATTTTCATATAGTACGTACTATAATGTTTAGATTCTTCAGATTTATTTATCCTACTTAACCCAACGAGGCAACAAATATTTGGCAGTATATACTGGAGACCAGCGTTTACCCACGAGAAGCAGAGACCCTCAAAGATCTAAGGAATGAAACTGCAAAACATCCTCTGTAATTTTTCTTTGTACTGTCTTTCTACTTCTAAACCCAAAAATCATGAACATTTCACAACAAATTTTGATGTCCATCAAACGCAAAATATTACGTGTATACATGTTGAAGGGTCATCTTTAATAAATTCCAACTTACTGTTATCCCATAGAAATTATCTTGTACACACTAGTGCATAATATTTAGGTATTGTATGCCAGTCAAGAGTATATATCACTCCAAAATATTTGAGTGACATTGTAGTACATGTATGGACCGTAAGTATACAAGATCAAATTTCCAAACAAACAATAGTAAGGCATTGTTACTTCATTCTTTTTTATTGAATTTGACTTCTAAAAATGACATTAGAAAAATTTTCTTCTATGCAATATTATTAATTTTCATTATTCAGGGGCTTCATGAGCGCTGCACCTGATGCGGGTCAACTAATGGCCTTACTCCTGAAGCTTCTAAACGCTAAAAAGACAATTGAAGTGGGAGTTTTTACTGGGTATTCTCTTCTCCTCACCGCACTCTCCATCCCTGATGATGGAAAGGTTAGTATATTATATGCTTTCTGCGTATCTCTAATGTGTTTTTTTGGGGGTTACAATGTGCCTCTTTTATATTATTAACCTTGTTTGTCTTCCTGTTGTAGATTATAGCCATGGATCCAGACAGAAAAGCTTATGAGATTGGACTTCCATTCATTAAAAGGGCTGGTGTAGAACACAAGATTGACTTTATAGAGTCTCCAGCTTCACCAGTTCTTCATCAACTATTAGAAGATGTAAGCAATTCTTGAATGTGCATCTTACTTAAAGATGGAAATTATGGATGAAAAATAGGTCAAAATGACTATTGGAGGTCTTTAAACTATTATACGTTAGGTTTGGCTTAACCTTTTTATTAAATAATTTAATTTTTTTAATATCTATTTAGTTGAAAAGTGAAAGGTTTTGGTCGTTATACAGGCCTTCTAAACATAACAAATTAATTTATTTAAGTAAATATGTTATTGTTATATTAAATTTTTACTATATGATTTTAAAATTATATACTTGATAAACAAAGGCTTAGACTCAGTTAAATTATATAAAGGTTTGGGCATATTAATCTAAATTATGATAAGTTTAGTAGCCCCAAGCTCACGGACATGGGTTCGAAGCCGATGAAAAAATCCACTTGTGTGTCCTTATCTCTCATCTCAATAATAAAAGATTAAATTTAAGAAATTAATATTAGTAAAATTTATTTTAAAAATATTTATTATACCTTCTATTTTTAATGAAATAAATATTTAAGAGTGAAGATTAATAAAATTGTAAAAATATAAAATTTTGCTAATCTATAACCATAGGTCAATAGTTAAGTAATTAACAAATAATAATTTTTTAAAATTAAAAATCACGTTAAGTTGCATTGAAAGATGCAAAGATAATTAGATAAGTGCATTGTTATGCTTTTAATTAAAAAAAACTTACTTATATTTTTTAATTAGTACTATTAAAAAATTGATTAACATTTTATAAAAAATTATTAAAAAGTAAACTTTTAAATTAATTTTTCAGTTAAATTATACTTTAAAAAAATCTAAATTAGACCTTAGAAAAACATCATATTGTGTAGAGGTTTATATTTTAAAAATTGAAACACAGATCTTGTAAAGCTTAACTCAACTTGTGTCTACACTCCTAATCCTATTTTATTTTATTTTTTGTTTTGGTGGAGCCTGCAAACGAAGGGACATTTGACTTTGCCTTCATTGATGCTGACAAAAACAATTATTGGAATTATCACGAGAAGCTTATGAAATTGGTTAGGATTGGTGGAATAATTGCCTATGATAACACACTGTGGGGAGGAACTGTTGCGTTGCCTGAAAAGGCAGTTTCAGAACCCAAAAGAGATTGGAGGAGATTAGCACTTCATTTCAACCAAGCCATTTCCAAAGATTGTCGTGTTCAAATTGCTTTTGTTTCAATAGGTGACGGCATCATTATCTGTAGGCGTATTTGTTGATTTTCCTCTCAACATATACGTTATGATCTATTCTTCATGTCATAGTAATGAATTAACAAAACTACATTTAGGATCATCCAATATAAGTGAGAAGTAAGCAATAATCATGTATACAATACAAGGAACCAACATATCAACAGATACAATAATTCTAATTTAAGGTGTTTTCATCTAAAATCACTTATTTAATAACTTCTTGTGACAGCAATACCTGCTGGATTGCTTGCTGTAGGCTATGTTACTTTCTCCATCGAATGCTCACAATTGTCAATGTTTATATACAAAATAATAATAAAATTCTACAGTACTCAAAGCATGCGTCACGAATCACCATGGGTGGCTGTAAGTTTATTAAATAAATTAACTAGAATTACCTTACTCTTCAATAAGTTATAATTTATTGCCACTGTATTTTCTTACTAATTACTAATTGGATGATCAATGAAAATGGTCTCAACTAATAGGTGGTGGCCGTCCATGAATAATGGACTTAATCTAATATTAAAGAAGAGAGTAATTTACTTATTTACGTTTTTTTTCCTCATTCACCTTATTTTCCATGTAGAATTGATGTAAAGCAAAAAGACGAAAAAAAGAGAAAAAGAATGATACTGATTAACAAGTTATCACGATCCAATGACATTAATAAAAAGATTTTGAATTTAATTACTACTATATACTCTTATTATCACCGCATTCCACGTCTTTAGAGTAGCTCTTGGGTCTGTCTTGCTTCTATACTTGAAGTTCCTTACCATTTGATATCAGCAAAGGCCCGCCCAACAATTAGACAGTGACGTAAAACTTTCTTTGTAAATCCAAAAGCCGTTACGTTTCAGACACACAAACAACCATAATCTCTCTCCTTGATTCCAATTTTGTGTTCATTTTTTTTGTCAAGAATTTTGTGTTCTCCTTGTACGAGGTATGCTGCATCACAGAAGCTTCAAGCCCGCAAAGTGGTATGAAACTTGATTCCGGGAATAGAGAGAAATTTACACTGGAAAAACATTTTATGCACGTTTAGAAATGTACATTTAAGGTGTCTCATTTATATTTGAAATGTAGTTTTAAATAATGAAACTCTTTATACTATTGTTTAATTTGGGCTGTGGCGGACTTGGCTACTGCACTTGAGGGATTCCATATTGGCCAAGAACTTTAAGTGTCTATCTAATTAAGAGTTTGATAAACTTTATTTTGAACTGTTAAATATGATTGAAATATGTATTTATATTAATATTAATAATATATTTGGTGTATTTTTATTTAAAAGTGGGAGAATTAATTTTTTTTCATTTCAAAATAAAAGGATATTATTATATTTGTGGTTAATTGGGCTTGAATAAATTAAAATTTGTGTTTTCTGTTTCATTACCGAAGAAGGTTTTGGTGTTTTGAGTTTGATTTGGTTGACGCAGCAAAACCGCATTGAAGCTTGCGGTTTCACGGATAAAGCTTTTGAGGAATCAGAGAGAAGGCCGTGTGAAGAAGCTTAGGAGGGAATTGGGCCAGTTGCTTTCCTCTGGCCATAACCTCAAAGCTAGAGTCCAAGTAATCATAATCTTCTATATTCAATCTTAGTTCTTAATACCATTTTCTTAATTAGTCACATTATTATGAAAAATTGAAAATGTTAAATTAACAAAATTAAAGACTAAAATTGAAATAAAAAAAAATCAAGTAATTAAGAATTAAAATCTTATAAAAATATAGGGACAAAGAAAATATTTAAACATTTTCTTTTTTGTGTTTTTATTGACTTTTCTCCTGCATTATTCATTATTCAGGTTGAACATTTAGTAACGGAAGAGAAGATGATGGCAGCATATGATCTTATTGAGATATACTGTGAACTTATAGCAGCACGCTTGCCGATGATTCAATCACAAAGGTATTTAAAACTCACCTACCTTAAATAACTCTAGCACATGTTTTTATGTTTTCTACATGTGAGATTATATTTATATCTTGCAATTTACTTTGTAACAACACGCATGCATTTAAGGGAATGCTAGCTGCATGAGGATTTTCCTTACAGAAAGTATTGATATTTGCAATCTAGAAGTTAGTTCAATAAAATTGTCCATTGTTAATGTTTTGATCCATTCTCTTTCTTTTTTTTTTCCTCCTAGAAACTGCCCCATTGATTCGAAGGAAGCAATTTCAAGTGTAATATTTGCATCTCCAAGATGTTTAGAGATACCTGAGCTTGTGGATGTAAGGATGCATATTATGGCTAAGTATGGAAGACAATTTGTCTCCGCAGCTGTTGAATTACGCCCTGACTGTGGTGTAAATCGTTTGGCAAGTTTCTCTGTTTGGAAGGATCATGTTAAAAATAATTTATTATAATTTTCTAATTCAGTATTGTCTTTTCAGTTGGTTGAGAAATTGTCTACCAAAGCAGCCGATGGTCCAACAAAGATCAAAATACTGACAGCAATTGCTGAGGAACATAATGTCATGTGGCAACCGTCATTAGAAGAAAATGATATGAAGTCATCTCAAGATTTGCTGGTAGGCTTTGTTCATTATGGATGATCTTTAGTTGATTTTATATCACTATCAACAATATTTTTTTAAAAATTCTATAGGACAACTTTTAGTTATTCTTTTTTGGGCATATTTTTAGATACGTGTATGTAAAAAAGATAAAAAATATATATATAATAATATATTGTTCAAGTACCATAATTGTTATGAAGAATAAGTTTGTGATTAATATGCTGTACCATATTATTTTGACATTATTTATATGTCAAGGCTGGAGCAAATACTTTTGATAAGACTACTTATGTGGAACCTCCACAACTCTATGTTCCACCTGCTGGAGCTGAAAAAGACCCTCCCAATTTACGTGCTTCTTATCAACTTACTGAAATGCACGATATATCTATGAATTCTTATGACCAAAATGCAAGTTTAGCTTCTTCAGGTAACTTTTTAATCACTTTATGATAAATATCTTGTTTTAAGATTGTAATCACATACCTGAATATTTGGAGTTCTTTAACTTGTTACAGGAACTGAAATCCAAGAAATGAATTTTAAAGACATTTATCTTAAAAACACGAGTGTTTTTCAAATGGGTAGACAGAGCTGGAGTATGGAATTCAAGGATGCTGCTTCAGCAGCGCATGCAGCTGCAGAATCAGCAGAACGTGCAAGCATGGCAGCAAGAGCTGCTGCAGGACTTTCTAACCTAGAAAAGTTAACAAGACAGTATTCAAGTGGATGGCACAGTTCTTCTGGAAGCGGGTTAGAAGGTGTTAACAAGGCTTCTAAGATTCCTGGTGCAGGACTTGGATGGAAGCCTTCAAGGGTTTCTTATGAGATTAAAGATCAGAAGGCAACATCAATGGATAATTGGGCAAGTTCTGAGCATGGATCATCGGAACATGCAGCATCTAAGCCAAGTTCAGAACCTAAAAGGTTCTCGAGTGAGGAAACTGTTGTAACATCATCTGCAAGGGTGCAAACTTCGATTTCCCTTCCTAAAACAACGATAACAGATAAGGAAGAGGCTTCAAAATCTTTGAATTCTAATAAAGATGTTCCCACTAAGGAGAAGGCCAGTCAATGCAGTCATGTTCATCCAAAGCTACCTGATTATGATACCTTCGCTGCCCAATTTCTGTCTCTTAAGAAGGGTCATCTATAAAATTCATTTCATTTGCTTGCTTAATTATAACAACATAACTCTTTTTCAATCGCAGTAGTTTGTCATTATTCTATTCTACAGCCTGTGTACATGTATAAATATAGATATATATTCTAGTCACTTGATAATATGAACGCAATTTTCTTGTTTTTTAGTTGTTTCATTTTGTTTACTTATTTGGTTTATTAGTAAAGATTTAAAATGACTTTGAAGTACTGGGATCTTAAAAAGAAAATAGAAAAGGAAAGAGGAATGCTATTTGTAAAATTTTTGGATACCGGAGGAATACAAGTTCCTCCAGTTTTGGTAAAACTGGACATTTAGTTCCATTTGTGCTTAAGCAAAAATGGGCTCTCCCTTAAATGAAAATCCAGAAAATGACAAAAAAAATTTATGCAACTTAAGCAAAATTTTTTGATTTAAGCAAATTTTGTGCATTCGAGGAGATGGAAGTTGTGTGTAAGGAGAAGAGAGGACTAAGGATGGATGGAAATAAGGAAAGCGAATGGTATAAAAATGATGAGAGAGAGAGGAAGGTGGAGAGTTGAGTATGGAAGAAAGAGAGAAAGATAGATATGAGATAGGGTGAGAGTGGGAAGAGGAAGATAGGAATTGAGCATGAGGTGGAGGAAAGAATGAGTTGGAAGAAGAAGAGAAGAGTTGAGTATGAGAAAAGGAAAAATGTTAAATATGGAAGCTAAAAAGGTTTAAACATAAAAATTGAAAAGAAAGTGTTAGTTATGAGGAGAAGGAGAAGGAGAAGAAAAGATTAAAAGAGAAGATATAAAATTCGTTTAAGTTAAAATAATTCGCTTAAGCGAATCTGCAAAAATTTGCTTAAGCTAGTTTTATGGAAAAAAAAATTGTCATTTTTTACATTTTTATTTAAGCGAATCTATTTTTACTTAAGCAAAAATAGAATTAGATATCTAGTTCCTACCAAAACTAAAGAGAATTCGAATCCAAAATTTTCGTTGCAACTTAAAAGAAGAAAGAGAAAAAAAAATGATAAGATGGATGGTGTGATAGAGAAAAATAAAAGAAATTTGTTGTAAAAATATTGTAAAATAAAGAAAATCATGTGATATAGTCGCCAAATCCTTAAAAAAAATAAAAATTTTGAATTGCATAGACAAGTTTAATTACATTATTGGTTGGTAGTATTGGTTGGTACTTAGACTTTAGTTTATTTATAATTTTGATTTTTGTAAGTTTTATATGCTATTATTTAATTTTTTTTAATTGCTTAAATTAAGTTTCTCAAATAAAAAATTTATTTAATAAGTGATAGAAATGTAATAAAAATGTGGTGCGTAATTATTTTGTAAAATTAACATATAAAAATATATAAAATATTTAAAATGCGCTAAAAGTCTATTTTATTTAACTACTATGTATATGTTTTCCTTTGTAAATTTATATCAAATATATAATATATCACACTTTTGTTATATATATTTTTAATTATTAGATAAAATTTTAAGATACAAGAGGTAATTTAAAAATTATAAAATTTGATAAATAATTAAAATTGAAAACAAAATTACACGTAGAGTAAAGAATGAAAACAAAGAGTGTAATTATGTTTTTTTATATATTCTAAATTTTTTACACCCATTTTATGTCTTTTTATTTTCTCAACACATTTTTTTATCTCTCTTTAATTCCTTTGGAGTGTGCATACATATTTAGACTGCCGAAACAATCATTATCTTCATCCAAACTAATAATTTGCATACATTGTATGCATTTGGTATTAATATGCAAAGACAGATTAAAAAAACAAGTGAAGGAAGAATGAAAAAAAAATTAAAAAATATGTATGCACACTATAAAAAGAAAACGTCATGTACTGAAAAAAAGTTAGATGCAAGATTTAGTTTCATTAATTTAATTTATATCTAGCAGAAGTTAAATTATTAATACAAGCGTATTGTACGTCTATACTAATAGTATAATATATCTTTCAAACATTTTGGTACACCAATGATATATTAAAACTTCTTCTATAGTTTTAATATATGTTACATTTTTAAATATAAATCTGATATTCATATTAAAAATTTAATTTTTAATAGATAAGAGTAGGCCACAGCCCACTCTTGCCCTTCTTGTATCCAAATTTCTTTATATTTTTCTTAAAATAAAAATTTATCGCTTAAATAAAAATATAAAAATCACTTATCTGCAAGTTGCAATTACTACATGGAATCTGAGCCCTACATCCATTGTTATTGTGTTTGCATTGAATGCATTAATCAGTGAATGCTTTGGATGGACCCAACAAGAGTGTATGGGTTCGTTGACAAAGGATAGGCGGTTGCAACGTGCAACCCCCTCTAAACACTTGTTTTAAAATGGCCTCAGCAAGAGAGGCTAAAACAAACAAGTGAGACAACATTGAAGCTGCAACAAAGCATAAAATGACCTCTAATCCAGTAATACTCCAGAGTCAGAACTTGACCAAGGTTCGTTTTAACCTTTTTTTTTTTTTTTTTTTTTTTTTGCATTTTCCTTGCCTTCGTTTAATTTCATAAATTGTTTTTTTTTTTTTGTCATGATAAATTGTTCAATCCTATTTGTCTAACCCAATAATAATGTTGTGGCAGTATATACTGGAGACCAGCGTTTACCCACGAGAAGCAGAAGTTCTCAAAGAGCTAAGGAATGCCACTGCTAGCCACCCTTGGTAATCTGCCCTAGTTCTAGCTTAAGAAAACATTAACATAAACTAGGTTTAGCTTTGATAAATTTCTGAATAAGTATTTATATGAATTAAAAATTAAGCATTTAAGAATAGTTTGTTATTAATTATGGAAGGCTTGATCTTTTTTCCCTCCTTGAAGCTGAATTATGAGGCATCTACATGGGGTCAAATTAGTTTTACTTAAAGGCTTTGAAGAATGGATTGAAAGTGACTCAGTCTTGTCTTTAGTTTGGAATGTTCAATCTTTAATCCACACTTTGTACCCCTTAATTCAAGGGATTGAGAATCTTTTGAAATGTGTAAAATTTATTTAGTTGGACTACATTTATGGTATGGAGAAGTGAAGCAGTGTGCTAATAGATTAGTCAAAAAGGGGTTACAGGAACTGAGTCCTTTTTTCATAGTTGAGGATACATCTCCCTTCTTATGCCCCTATTTAGAAATTAACTATCTTGGTTCTCAAATTGTTTCTTTTTTGGGCTTCTAGTCCCTACCAATAGCAAAAAAATAATAATAAAATTAAGCAGTAAAATAAATCAAATTTTTTGTATGAGTTAAAATTAATTTATATTTTTTTAAAGTTCTGAAGAGATAACTTATTAGAAAAATTATTATTATTATTATTTTCCTTATAGAAGCTTATTGGTAAGCCCGTTCAAAGTGGTTGATAGTCTAACACAAAGTAAACGTTAAAGGGCCTTATAAATTTGATTGTCAGATCAAACATTGGGAAACTTTGTTGATATAATATAATTTTCATTCACCAGGGGCTTCATGGGTGCTGCACCTGATGCGGGTCAATTAATGGCCTTACTCTTGAAGCTATTGAATGCTAAAAAGACAATTGAAGTGGGAGTTTTTACTGGATACTCTCTTCTCTGCACCGCACTTGCCATTCCCGATGATGGAAAGGTTTGATTTTATATATAGAAAATGTTCTTCGTACCCCTGTTCCAAACGTGCATTACAGAAAAAATAAAATAAAATAATGATGTACAATGTTACATTGTTTGCATGGTGTAGATTATAGCCTTGGATCCAGACAGAGAAGCTTATGAGATAGGACTACCATTCATCAAAAAGGCCGGTGTAGAACACAAGATTGACTTTGTAGAGTCTCCAGCTTTACCGGTTCTTGATAAACTCTTAGAAGATGTGAGCATCATTCTTTGTTACTTTCATTTGATTGACATAATCATTTCACGTTAATACAAAAGTGGATTCAAATTCCTTCCTAAGATTTATTCTACGTTAACGGTATGTTTATATGAAAAGTGAAATAGAAAAAAAAATAGATTGAAAAAAAAATATGATCATAAACAATAAATAAAGTGGAGACTGGAGAACATAATGTTTGAATGGGTTGAAATAAGAAGAAAGGAAATGATAAAAAAAAATTGAGTTAAAAAGGAGTGAAAAGAAATCATTAATTATATTAAAAATAGTTATAAAAATATTAATGGCCCTGGAATGCTGTTCATTTCATTCCAATACACAACTTTTCCTTACCTTTCTTCCTTTCCTTTCCTTCCCCCATTCTTTTCCTCCATCCATATAGTAATTTTTGTTTGATATTGCAAGCTTATATAGTACTGGCTAGTGATTATGTACTGTATTGTTATAGCCATCAAATAAGGGAACTTTTGACTTTGCCTTCGTTGATGCTGACAAAGGAAACTATTGGAATTACCACGAGCGGCTTCTTGAACTGGTCAAAATTGGTGGGTTAATTATCTATGATAATACCCTCTGGGGTGGAACCGTTGCCTGGGCTGAAGAGGATGTTCCACAACCCAAACGAAGAATAAGGCAGGATGCACTAGCTTTCAACAAAGCAATTGCAGATGATTCTCGTGTTGAAATTTCTCTTGCTTCAATAGGCGATGGGCTCACTATTTGCCGCCGTGCTCATTGATCCTTTTATAACAATATTGCATTGTGATTGAAGTTTCATCCGCTAAGTTTCGTTATTTGTTTTTGGAGCTAAATTTACGTACTAAGTTATCTGTGGCAGAACGCGTTCAAGTGAATAAAGGTAACGATGGTTACATACACATCGTTCCCACTGACGTGTCGGATAAAGTTTGATTTGCCTCCAATTCTGTAGAGCCTATGGTGTGACTCTAATGTGGAACTGTGGGGACTATCGCTATTTACAATTCATAAATAAAATAAAATGTAATGTGTCTATAATGGACTATTGCGCTGCTACCCCAAATGTTTGGTTTGCAGAAATTAATGTTTTTTTACAATGTTTTTTTTTTCTTGGAGGTACAACGTAGGTTGGAAATAAGAGAAAGATAAGTTGGTTGATAGAATATACATTACTAATTGGAAAACAATCCCAATAATACCTATGTTATTGCACCTAAATTTTGTCTTTATAAGAATAATGTCCGCAAAGCATCAAATCCAATCCGTCACATTCATCATACATGAACTGCTAAAACAGGAAAAAACGTTCTGTCATAGTATAAAACACTCTTTGAATGTTATAGCTAAACTTAATACTAGAAATGATAATGGGTAAAAGATTCGATAAACACAAAATTTATCTATAACAGGTAGAGTATTTATTCATTACATGAGTATAAGTATAAATAAATACCCATAACTTTTAATTGAGATGAGTGCAAGTATAAATATCTAAATATCTATCCCACCTCATACCCGCATATATGTATATTTTATTCTATAACTATCTATTAAATTTTTGTATTTTTATAGTATTCTCTTCAATCTTTTTTATAAAAAATAAAAGACTAAATCACTAGAACCAAGGAAAATAATTAATTCTATTATATTTTTCATAAATACAAATTTTATTTCAAAAATATCTATGATATTAAATGATGTAATTAGTAATTTGTATATTTAATGATACTAATAAAAGAATAGTATAAAAAATTTTTAGCAATTAATGCATATTTAATATATCATTTATTTCTTGTAAGAAGGACAAAAAAAATGCTCTATTTTGTTTCTTATAAAAAGGACCGAAAGGAATATTTATGTAAAGTTATATAAGATTAATATAAAAATATATTTAATAATAAATTAAACCAAAAAATTTATTTTATTTTATATTTTTAATAGAATAATTTATTTACTACTTTATATTATTTAATTAGGTCAATACAATTTAATTATTATATAATTGATATGAGATTAACTTTTTTTAAAAAATATTATTTATATATGACACACATATAAAATAATTTTTATATAAATATTTTTGTTAATAAAATTATAAAGTAAATGATAAATAATAAATATATTGTAATATTTTATAAATTTTACAATTACCTACTGTTAGCATAAACTTATTGATAATATTTAAATTTTATTTTTTATATTTTAATTTAAAATAATATTTTTTAATACAACATGTGCATTGAATTTAAATAATATTATTCTTACTATTTAATTTACCAAAGTTTTTAAAAAGATATAAAATATAAAAAAAATATTATTAATTCTTATTTGTTAATTTTTTCTTTAGATAAAAAAGTATATATTTTTTATATAAATGTATATTTTTTTATTATAAAATTTTATTGTAACTACTTATCTTTTATTTAAATTCTTTCTTTTAAAATTTATATACATTATAAATATTTAATTCATTAAAATAATTTTTTAAAAATTTGTATTTTTAACAAAATATTTTTGTATAGTACATGAGTTAAAAATATTTGTATTAATATATATATATATATATATTATTTTAATTAAATCAGTTATTTTTGTTACAATTTTAGTTTCAAAAGTTAAAAAAATATTTTATATATCCACTTTTTATTTTCATTTGGTACTTGAATTTTTCTATTCTAATTCTATTTTCATTCTCAATGTCTACCTCATTAAAACCTAGCAATTATAAAACGTTATTCATCATATTTAGTTGTCAATATCGCCATAAGAAGTCACCAAATAATCTGACATGAAGGGTTACTAATTTTACATATCTATTTCGTTGTCACTCTGTTGTTGCTGTTCGATTGGATCTCACACAAAACAGGGTCATTATCGACAAATAACTTATATATTTAATTTCGCTTATTATTTCTAAGAATTTTAATTTAAAAAATTGTTATATTAAGATATATTCAGCACTTGTATTATTTGAATATTTATTTTTTATCTATATTTATAACTTGTTTGGCAACTCCTTATGTGAAGTTAAATAAATATATTTTTCTTTATAAATATTTTTTGTCTCAAATAAACACGGATAATGGGCACGAGATAGGTATGTGAGTACTGAGAGAATACAGGTACACGGATTAATGTTCATCCTCACACGGGTATAGAGTTGGTTACAGGTATAGGATTGGTTACAAGTATTTTTTTTTAAATGGATGAGTACTATATTTCTTCTACATTTCTTCTAATGGCCTCTTCATGATCCAAAACACCATCAGGAGTTGTAATCACAACATAACCCCACTGCAAAGAGAGAAGGAGAACTGCATGATTATCCATTTCCTTTGATTTTTTTTTTCTTTTTGTTGTTGAAAGTTTAAACACGAATTATAACAAGTAGCACCTGATACAAACAGCATTCGGCATTCCAACTATATGACCACAAAACATTAAGCATCAACCACCCTGATGTGTTGGAAGAGTATGCAATCTGTAGGTTTCAATATCCCTTGCCTTGATGTCTTGTCGATGCGTAAGGGCCTTGCAATCATTAATCCTACCTTGTAATTCCACTGTTATTCTCCCCACTCTATGCGGATCATACACTTGAAAATCCTTGATATATCCTATAACAAGAATTTTTAGTTAGGTACAGGGGCTTTCATTTTCATCCAACTAAGTAAATGAGATAATTTTTTCACACAGAAAGTAAGACTCAGAACATACTCCTGCTACTGGAAAATAAAAATGGCATTTATCATATCAGTAATAGAAGTCTCCAAACGCATAAGTTATCATTTCGGAGATTAAAACCAAATTTTGTCACTACAATCATAAAATGTTCCAGTGCATAATCAAAATATTAGAAATAGAGAAAATAAAGATTCATTTTGATTTAACAGATAATTACAATCGAAAGGGGATCCATTCATTTCATTGTTGTCCTCAAATGTAGAAGAAAAAAAGATTAAAAAATCTCAGGCAGTTAAAAGGGGTTCTGAATTTTATCAAAAAGAATACAAACTTAAAAAAGAGTGAATGAATCCTTGAAACTAACCCCCTTACCTCGGTGTTTCATGATGCTAAGAAAGGAAGAGATAACACCGGAGATGGGGTTGAGCTCCACCGTAGCTTTCCCTCTCCTCTCTGCATTCACCATACTCCTCAAAGCATCATTCAGAATCCTTCTCCCCATCTTCCCAAAAACCCTCACTGTACCCATCAACTCAGAAGCAAGGTTTTTCAAATTTTGACACAAGGGCATATTCGACATTTCGGGTTAAGTAAACCAAACTAGTAAAATAGTCAAAATTCCAGGGCCACACGCAAAACAGAAACATCCGCTGTTTTCTCTTGGTGGAATGCAATTTTCAGAGTCGGTTGTGAATGAATGCGAATGGAGGAGCTACCACCTTCGCTGCTGGTCGAAATTCTGAGTCGTTTAACGGACTCAACGGATCTTGTACGGTGTAGGGTGGTGTCAAAGAGCCTAAACGCAGTGTCGTACGATGTGCGATGCGTAAGCCTAGTGTGTTCCATGTCACGGTACCTCAAGTCTCGCTCCCCGGAGACCAAACACCTCGTCACCCCCTTTAAGACCGTCTTCAAGAACCTCGTACGCAGCTCCAATAACCTCGAATCCGTGTCTCTCGGCGTTGACCGCGCCCTCGGCGGCATCTCCTTCGACGACGTCGAGGATGAATCCGATGATCTTTACCTCACCGATTTCAACTTCATCAAAGACTGGCTTCCCTCTGTTTCCCACGCTCTCAAATCCTTCTCCGTTTCCGATTTCTGGGTCCAATCTTGTTGGCGCCGATCCGAAGCGTTGTCCTTGATCTCCTCCACGTGTCAGATTCTCTGCAATTCCCCCTTCTAATTCCCCAATTTATAAATTTTATGTTTTTCTCTGATGAATGTTTCTTCTGCAGGTCGTAATCTGGTGAAATTGGTTGTGAGGAACGCGTGGTTATCCGTGGATGGGTTGTGTTCGATGCCAACGCTAGCGATTTTGACTCTTGAGTTTGTGAGGTTGGATGACGAAGACCTAAGTAGGATCAATTCTTGTTTCCCTAATTTGACACAGCTTAATCTTATTGGTGTTGGTGGACTTAAGGATCCAAAGATTAATCTTTCGCACCTCACCACTTGTCAATGGTCTGTTTCAAATGCTCCACTTTCTTTGATTATATGTGCACCTTGCCTTGTTGATCTCAATCTCAAATGCATTAGACCTAGATTGATTGTGCTTGATGCCCCTTCCTTGTCCAATTTTGATCTTTCTCTTGAGAATGCTGATGAGCTTAGGTTTAAAAATTGTGCTAATATGCAATGCCTTCAACTTAATGTGGAATGCCTCTCTATTGGTTTCCTGCGTAGTATGTCTCACCATTGCAGCATGGTGAAGAGGCTTACGTTGGATTTGGATGGAAAAACAGAGCGGGGTGATGTGATAGAGTTTGGGTTTGATACTTTGTTGGAGTATTTTCCAAGCATAATATATCTTAATTTGGGTTATGGGGCTTGGCGTGTAATGGAGAATTCTTTTCGCTGGGGAGGTTTGGAAGATAGAATTGGGATGAAATCGCTAAAAGAGCTTGTTGCACATCTAGTGGTGAATGAAATGGGGTATACTCTTGCATTTATTTTCTCTGTTTTGGATAAATGCGCCAAATTGTCGGATGTTTCTCTGCTTGTCCACCGTGATGTCGATTCTTATGTTGCTAGCAACCTCATCTCTGCATGCAGAAGCAAATTCCCAAGAGTTAGATGGAGATGGGGAATATGGAAAGAAGGAATCAAGGATACCTGGGTCTGTAATGGCATATAGCTTGGGGATTGCTTTGTTTGTTGTCTGTAAAAAGGGAGAATCATCGGTAATTTGTTGTATTTTAGGTCTATGCTGTTTGACAATAGACAAATGGTATTAGGACATTAGCAGTTTTAAATATTTTTCGTTGAAGGAACTCCAAGAAGTAAGAGTAAGCATGAGATGTTATGCAACTTAAATATCAATAAAATTTCCAACTGTATTGGCAAAGTAGAGGAAGTTGGAAGAAACTAGATATGGGATCAGAAAGGGGAGTATGAAACTGTGACGGCATAAGCATCAAGAAAAGTTTTTCCAAACTGCTTCGGCAAAATAGATGTAGTTGGATGAAAACAGAATCATGCTGATCAGTAGCGACATTCTTCTTTGGATTTGTGTATGGTCTGTGGATCAGCAAATTAGTGGTTAACTGCCTGGAAGAAGCTTGCTTATGGATAGGATCCCCCCACCCCTCTCACATTTCTTTGTATAGATGTTTTAGGCTTGTTTGTTGTTGTATTTCTTTGTATAAATCTTTGTCCTATTCATTTCTTTTGAATACATGTATATTCTTGGATTTTTCATCCTTATTGTATTCACATGTACATTTGGAGATCTATCAGAATAGAAATCTGTATTCTAGAAGCATACATTTTTTTATTTGAAAAAAAAATTGATCACTTCGGTTACTCTTTTTGCCTGATTTATTCTAGAAATCTGTATTCTAGAAGCATACATTTTTTTATTTGAAAAAAAAAATTGATCACTTCAGTTATTCTTTTTGCCTGATTTATTGAACAGAATGAGTTTACTAAATGGCATGATGGAGCTGACCCTATTACAAAATGGACTTAATACCAAGGTCGTTGCTGTTGTATTTTAACTTGAAACGACATATTGGAATGGATAGATTTATGCAGGTTATCGGCCAAATTTTTCATGAGTGGAAGGATAAAGTCGAAGGACTCCAGCACTTGACTGGAAAAAGAATTAGTCTCCAGTTGTGGGTTAGAAGATATCCTTGGTATACACCAACAAAAATTGGATACACGGATTGTTTAAATGTGTTGGTTCAGCCTTGTCATTTCTCAGATGCTGAGTGAAAATCTAATGGAGATTGAACTTGCAGACAACTTAAAGGTTTTGTGATTTTTTTAAAAAAAACCCTCCATTTACACATCTTGCATTCTATCCATGACCATATCATTTGGTGCATTGATAAACATCGCTTTATAAAAGCCGAGTCCCTTTAGTTCTTTTTTATTTAAGACGAAATAAGATTGTTGACATGTTATCTGATTATTTTTTATTGAATTATCCGATTACGTTTAGATTGTAGTTTCTTGCAATTCTTTTGGGATTTGTTAGCATATTTTGAACTCAATTTACCCTGCCGTGGTGTATATATATAAAGTTATAATTTAAATGTTGATGTCGAACCTACTTATGCCCTATTTGTATAGCACGTCAAAGTTTAGACGACCTTTAGAAGAAGGAAGGAATTTTTTCTTTTGAAAAAGTTACCTTGGATTGTATGCTACTAATCTTTTACTCCTTTACGTTGATAAGAAGTGAGTACAAAAATGCTCTTGCAATTTTCAAATGATTTGACGTTGGAGCAGTGTGTTTGAATGAAAGATTTTTACGCACGTTTTGGGTCCGTTGGAAACTAGTCATAAGAAATCAGTAGAGAAAGCAAGGTGAAACTGGCTAGTTTGGATAACGTGGTTTTACCAAAAGATGGGAAAGCAACTGCAGGGGGCCTACACCGAAATTTTTCTCGCCTCAAATTAGGTATTTTTTCTACTATGCTCGTTAGACATGAAATAATAGTTAAATTTATATATGTGAATTTATTATTATTATTATTATTATTATTATTATATGAATTTCACAAAATTTATGAACTTAGATAGTTTAATAACATTTTCATATAAATTTATATATATATTGAAGAATGTTGCTAAACACTTCTGTTTTAGAGCAATTTTGATGGAATCATTTAATTTACTCTTCTTTTATTATTAAAATTTGCATCATATAGATTATTTTATTATTTGAGAGGCAAAAAATATATTTCTAATAAAATTAATAAATTTGTTTATTTAAAAAATAAAAACAAATATTTTTATTTTTTGCATATATAAATTTATTATATTTTGAAAGCTAAAATATTAATTTTAATAAAATTAAGTATTTATATAAGTTATAATTTAATTAAATATATTCTTTTAATATTTTATTATCTTGTATTTAATTTTTATTATTTTAAATTTTTAAAAATGTTAAATGAGTCAACCCATCACTGCTTCCGAAATGGGGTGGGTTAATATTTTTCAACTGACCTAAAAAACAGGGCGGGGTTTAGCGGGTTCATGGCTAGGAAAAACGGGAAGTGCCTAGCCCTTTCATCAATGTGGGGCTCCATCCTTCATCCCATTTACATACCACAATTTTTTATTTTTTTCCTAATTTCGGATTCATTAATTTTACCAAATGTATAATGAGTGATGGCCTAAAATACCAACACTGAATCTCTTAACTATATTTTTATTAGAATTCCATTAAAAGTAGACATTTACTTAAATTTCTAAAATAATATAGGAATCAAGTCATAGTTAACTATTTCACAAGTCTTTAAAATATTTTTAAAAATTAGTTAATTTTTATTTTTCACTTATACTTAATAAAACCTTGAAAATATTAGTTAAAGTTCCAGTTAAAAAGCTATTTACAAATTTAAAGACTTAATAATGTAATATAAAATTACAAATTTTAGGATCTTACGTTATTAAGAGACTTTGAAGAATTATTAATTGGAGGAAAACTTAAATATGTTGTTTTTGTATTTTTTTAAATTATAATTATAGTCTTTCTATTTTTATTTTAATTCTTTTTTTTTCAAGTTTACTTTTGCTCTCTAGTGATAATATAATTTTATAAATAAATATATGCAATTTTTTAATTAGTCACATTATTATTAAAGGACCAAGAGTGCTACTCTTTTAAAACAATAATTAAAATAAAAATTTGTTAACTTTAAGTCCCAAGATATTTTAATTAGTCACAATCTATTCTTAAAATGTTCTCATTGAACTTGCAAATTATATACAGAGATTGATAATATTTTTAAGTTTTTATTCTTCTAAATAATATGTAATTACATAACATAATTTTAACACTTTTTAATTATTTATTATATTTTAATTAACTATACATCTTTGATTCAATTAATTAGTTATAATTTTTAACCTTTACTTTGTTTTATAAAATGATGCCTACATCACAAAAAAACCAGCAATGTATTGTTTCAAATAGTTAAAATTTATTCAAAAAGATAAAAAAAAATTATATAACTTGTACTTAGTTTTGTAATTAGTTTTTAATAAATTTAAATTAATATTCTATTGTATAAAAAATAAATAAATAATTTTTAATATCAATAAAAATATAGTATAAATTTGTATTATATTATAAAAATATGTACGATAATAGATAGTAGATTTTTTTACGTTTAAATAAATGAATATAATGAGTAACTCTTTGATTGATATAAGTTTTAGTATAAAAATTAAAGAAAAGAAAAGAGATGGGCAACACGCAGAGTGGTAGTAACGTCACTGGCACTAGTGGTTAAGTCGCGCAGAATATCTGAGAGTGCGTGTTTTGAGACTTGAGACTCGGGGGAGGGACGGAAGAAGAAGAAGAAGAACAAAGATGGAATTACTTCCCGCTGGTGCCCCTCCGATCTCGAAGAAACAAGGGTTCCGATCGCTGAAGCTTGTGAACGCCGATATGGACCAACTCCTCTCCGACCAACCAGTCGGCGTCCACTACGGCACACTCGAAAATGGCCTTCGCTATTACGTTCGCTGCAATTCCAAGCCTCGCATGAGAGCTGCTCTCGCTCTTGCCGTCATGGCTGGGTAACCAACCTTTAACCTAACCTAATTCCTATTACTTCTATTATCAACCGAATTGCTGATTGTGAAATCGGTTATGGCAGATCAGTTCTAGAAGAAGAGGATGAGCGTGGAGTTGCTCACATTGTTGAGCACCTCGCTTTTAGTGCTACGAAGAGATACACCAATCACGATATCATTAAGTTTCTTGAGAGCATTGGAGCTGAATTTGGCGCTTGTCAGAATGCCGTGACCTCTGCGGACGACACCGTTTATGAGTTGTTGGTTCCCGTGGACAAGCCCGAGTTGTTGTCTCAGGCTATTTCGGTTTTAGCTGAATTCAGTTCTGAGGTATCAACAACGCCAAATTCTGTGATTTTCTGTTTGGGATTCTAGCTTGTTATTCGTTGTAATTAGGTTATTTTGTGCAGATTCGAGTCTCGAAAGATGACTTGGAGAAAGAAAGAGGAGCTGTCATGGAAGAGTACAGGGGGAGCAGGAATGCCACGGGGAGGCTGCAGGATGCTCATTGGATTTTGATGATGGAAGGTTCAAAGGTGACTGTATCCAACACTTGCTAGTTGCTATTATTAGTCAATGATAGTTAAAATGGTTGGGGATAACTCAGATAAGTGATAACGTGTGGTTTTTGAGATTTTTTTTATCATGTTATTTCATGAAGCGTTTAATGGATTGCAGTATGCTGAAAGGTTGCCTATTGGACTAGAGAGAGTGATTCGGACAGTTTCTCCTGAGACTGTGAAGCACTTTTACAAGAAGTGGTACCATTTATGCAACATGGCTGTGATAGCAGTTGGAGATTTTTCTGATACGGAGGTTCTTTTGTTATTAATCTCTTCTTATGTTCTTATGGGAAATATGATTGCGTTGTTTGGTCATGTGTTCTATTGATCGCTCTCCCTCTTACAATTGCAGGGTGTAGTTGAGTTAATAAAGACTCATTTTGGCCAGAAAATTCCAGATCCTGATCCTCCCCTTATACCAACATTCCAGGTTCCATCACATGATGAGCCACGATTTTCATGTTTTGTTGAATCTGAAGCTGCTGGGGTAAGTAAGTAACGAATCATTAACTTCTAGTGCAATTTTCTTGGATTTTTTAGTACTTTTATCCTGCTTGGAAAATTAACATGTTACTCTGGGTTTTCCTAATAACAGTCTGCAGTGATGATTAGTTATAAGATGCCAGTAGATGAGCTTAAAACGGTTAGAGACTACAGAAGTTTACTTGCAGAATCCATGTTCCTCTACGCATTAAATCAGAGATTCTTTAAAATATCACGTAGAAAGGATCCACCCTATTTCTCCTGTTCAGCTGCTGCTGATGTTCTAGTCCGTCCATTAAAGGCCAATATAATGACTGCATCTTGTAAAGGAAAAGGAACTATTGAAGCCTTGGAATCAATGTTAATAGAGGTGTTTTTCATCTTGATCTAAGGAGTTGCTTTCTTCGTCTTTCTCTTTCTCCACTTCTTTCTTCCAATACCCTTCTTTTCTCCCTTTCACGATTTATAACAGCTATATTTTAGGTTGCAAGAGTACGACTTCATGGCTTTTCAGAGCGTGAAATATCTATAGTTCGTGCACTACTGATGTCAGAGATTGAATCTGCCTATTTGGAACGAGATCAAGTTCAATCTACCAGCTTGAGAGATGAATATTTACAAGTATATTGCAATATATATATATATATATATATATATATATATTCCTCACATTAAAATTCATAACAAACTATGGGTGATTGTGGAGATAATGTTCTCCTTGTTCATGCAGCATTTTCTACATAAAGAACCTGTTGTTGGGATTGAGTATGAGGCTCAACTCCAAAAGACTCTTCTACCTCGTGAGTTGATATATCATCTGCTTTTTTCTTTTGATATTAAATTCCTGGGTAAATTGAGTTTGAGAGGCCTTATAATTGAGCTTATATTGGTTATTTATACCCATTAGATCTATCGGCATTAGAGGTATCTAAGTGTTCGGAGAAATTGAGGACATCATGTAGCTGTGTCATAAAGACCATTGAGCCCCAACCATTTTCTGTGCTTGATGATCTGAAAAATGTGGTTAAGAAAGTCAATCTTCTTGAGGAAGAGGGTGGAATCTCTTATTGGGATGATGAACATGTTCCAGAAGAAATCGTTACTACAAAGCCAAATATGGGGTATGTTCCAACAGGAATATCTCTATCTTATACGTTGTATTTTCATTTAACAATATAGTTCTTTGCTCTCTGATTTCATTTTCATTTAACAATATAGTTCTTTGCTCTCTGATTTCAGGCCACTTCATGTGCATCTATCCTTGTCACCATTGTTGTTAATTCATATAATCAAGTCTCTTCTCTGCTATTATTAAGTAGCTGTTTTAGGCAGGCTTTGCAATAGTATCCTATTATGAATGAGTGGTTTACAAATGACATATTTCTTCCTATGAGCTCATGCCTGTAGTTTTAGTGGTTACCAAAAGACCATTCTAATGTGAAAAGCATTAATTTTGAATGATTCCTTTTCAACTCCTCTTACTTGGATTCATTTAGAAAAAATAAAGGAAGTTCCTTCTCCTTGGTTATTGTTATAGTTGTTTGGACATACTTTTCCTTCACTTTAATCCTCCCTGCCTATATGATTATAATATCAAGAATCCCAAAGTGATTAGAGAAAAGTGAAAAGGCTTCCTTGCGTGGTTTGTCCTGTAGACTCACTTGTTTATGCTTTTAGGTATTTTCATTTACTTTGCCGTTAGGTTATGTTTCATTAAAATCTTGATTTTTCTAAGTAGTAATATGTCAGTATCATGTGTTGGTACTTCATTTGTAATGAAGGGTTTAGTCTGCCAGTTGTTAAACTAGTATATGGGTAAAAATTTTTTATCTTTGTGAGGTTCTGGAATGTGACCTCTTCTGTGCAATGATTATTATGATCTGTCTGATTTAATTAGATTTTTTCTTCAAATTAAATTCATGTTTAGGAAATCATATTCTAATCTCATTTCTCCCCCTCTTCAAATTAGGCATGTTGTAAAGGAATTGGAATATTCAAATATTGGAGCTACTGAACTAATTCTGTCAAACGGCATGCGAGTCTGCTATAAGCGCACGGACTTTCTCGATGACCAGGTTCCAATCCTTATAGCCATTGCTTATCAACTTTATCATGGTTAATACATAATTCTTAAATAGACATTGACCATCTTCTGTATCAGTTCGGTTATTGTATTGATTAACTACTTGCTTCAAATTTTATGAAAATATATGACATGATCCCTAATAAATATAATTAAAAAATTTTGGGTTTTTCTGTAAACCAATCTGATCCAACACGAATCACTAAAAAGTCTGAACCAAAAAACCAAAATCTGAAAAAACAGACTTTTGATTGGGTTGGATTAGTTTTCAGTTCATATTTTGAAATTTAATCTAATCCAACCAAACTGAATTTATATTCATAATAGCACAAGTGTGTGTGCAAAATAAATCCTTACAGAAAAACTATACAACAAAAATAACCAACCTTATCATACTAGGTGACATCGGCTACATGGATCACATGATATTCTTGAACTCGATCAAAAATCAAATTTTCAGAAATCTAGTTAATTAAAAGGTTTCTTTTAATAACTTTGTTTAAGGATATTTTGGGTCTCCCTTGGCCCCTACAGAAAAAATATAATCTGGAAAAATTTAAAAACTGAATTTTTTATTGGGTTAGATTAGTTTTCAGTTCCTATTTTGAAAATTTATCTTATCTAAGCCAAACTGAAGTTATATACATAATTGTGTATGTGAGTGGTGTACATGCAAAAAATTCAAACCTAAAAAAACTGAATTAGTTGTTTGAATTGGAAACTTGAATTAGTTTTCTGCTCACGTGTGTGTGCAACCAAAAAGAAAATGTATTTTTTTTGGGGGTTGGATTAGTTTTTTATTCCTAATTTGACCTAACTTTGTTATGACTTATTAGATGAAATTTTCTATACTGTTCATTAGATTTTGTTATATTTATTGTGTATTTCATGATTTATTTATTAAACATAGAAACTGGGAAAAAAAAAAACCAATTTTATAAGAACTGCTTTAGATTGGATAATTTGGATTGGATCTGTTTTGAATTTAGAACCAAATTGATTGGATGATAAAGTAACAAAACCGATGCAATTGGATCAAGATGACTTCTCACTTCAAAATCAATTTAATCCAATCTGCAAACATCCCAACTTAAACCAATGTTTAGGTCAACAAGTAGCGACTCAATATCATCAAGAATTAGGAAAATAGGGATATCTGTTGCCAATTACAAGTGACCTATGTGAGGATGAGGGAAATCTTCTGTTAAAAATGAGGGATGTGATAAAGGATTTGGTTGTAAATAGAACAAAGTGCAAGAAGAAAAAAAAAATGCATGTTCTTGTTTATGTTTTGGGGACTCATAATTATCCTCTGGTGGTTTGGGGCAAGGTTAAGTTTAAAAATTTGTAGTTTCGAAATTTATTTATGTAGTGTTGGAAGTATGCAGACTTTTGCAGAAATATTGGGATAAGGAATACCTATGCTGTTTTATCAAAAACATTAGGAAAGAAAACAAAAGGAAGAGCTGATGTTGTAAATTTGTTATCCATTTACACCATTATTTTTTGAATAATTCTATGGGCATTATTCTTACAATTGTAGGTGTTAAATAAATATACATTTGAAGAACTTCAAAACCAAATATTCCAAAGATGTCCATTGACAGGGGCTGCTCAACACATTTTGTGGCCTTAAGCCAAACTGTAAAATGATGCAACAATTCCTTGTTAAATGAATGAAAAATTGTAAATTTAAATTTTATAATCAACAGAACCCATAACTGAAGTTGGATATGAATAAACTAACACTTGTTTATGCTTCCATTGTTTGAAAATTTGAAATTGCTTCTAAAACATGAGATCATGTCCTGAAGTCAAATATAAAAGCAGTGTAAGAGTGCTATTATGAAGTCAAAGCTGATAAGGAGAAGAATGAGTGAATATTAAAATTGTAAAGAATTTGTAGCAATTGATAAATGAGAGGGTTACACAAAAAATTTGTATAAGATAGTTATTACAAAATCATTTTAGGTGATAGTTGGCTAACTTGTTGGAGTTTCCTTATGATCTTGAAATTGAAATTAGCATACACATGCATTTACTATTAGGCATCAGTAGATACTTGTACTCCCATGGTACGGTGTTTCATTAATAATGGTGATGCTTGAATTTTTGTGTGAATAAGTATATCATTTCTAATCTACAGATGTGTCTTGACAGGTTATCTTCACAGGGTATTCGTATGGGGGCTTGTCTGAACTCCCTGAGAACGAGTATTTCTCTTGTTCAATGGGACCAACCATTGCTGGGGAAATTGGTGTGTTTGGTTATAGGCCATCTGTCATAATGGATATGCTTGCTGGCAAGAGAGCTGAAGTTGGTACCAAGATTGGTGCATATATGAGAACTTTTTATGGTGATTGTTCACCTTCAGACCTAGAAACTGCTTTACAGGTATATTTGATATAATTAGAAAAATTATGTCATTCTTTTCATGATTAGACCATAACATAAAGCAGTATTTAGTTGCCACAATTAAGTGAGCACATTACAAACCATTATTAAATTATACATCTACTTGTTTATGTTTTAAGCTGGAAGCAAGTTTTTTTTTCTTTTCAAGTTAGTATGCATATTAGTAATCTTGTTTTGAATGCCTGATAATATTGTGTGAACATCAAATATATTTTCTGGATTTAACTTCAATATAACAATACCTTCTATTTTTACGTTATGAAATTTTGTGTTATTTTGATTATATGCTATGCTCAACTGGTATGTGATTCCACCATTTTTACTAACTTTTGGCATTTCTGCTTTTGATTTGGTTGGTAGCCATACAATTCCCCAAAACTTTAAGTTATATACAATGCTTATCTGAACGCCTTATAGACTCCTGATGCTTTCAGGGCTTCAGGTTGAAATTATTACAAGTTCAGCAGACAAACCACTTCTATCTTCCATATTCTCTCCCTTCATCCTTATTATGTTAACCTAGTACAGATTTTTATTTTTGTTAGCATGCACATCACGCATGGTATTTATTTTTTCTCTGCAAGTGTTTTTCAGTCACTTAGTCAATGAACATTTTCCAAAGTACAATCTTTTGAAAGTGTTTGGTCTTCAGCTTTTCTGAGAAAAAGATAGCTGAATTTCCTCATTTTTGAATGCAACATATTTTTTGTGCATAACCCAGTTTTTTTTTTTTATTGTGTGTAATTTGTTCTGTTTAACAAAACCTAGATTGAACTAGCAGCTTGTGGTTGTTATATATCAGTCATGAACTCATGATATATATTGTAAGATATGGTGCATTTAGATATGTTTAGTATCACATTGATCACCACAAGTATGTTCTCTTGCTGGAATTTTGTAAAGATTGCTGTGGATCATACACACATACTGTTAGGAGAGAAGGGAAGGGAGAATTGATTAGGAACTGTTAGATCAATTTAGTTAGGATGGATTAATTAGATAAATAGGAGAATAAGGATGGAAGTTGCATTAAAAGAATTGGAAGATTTGTAAGAAAGGGGAAACCCTTGGGAGGAGAATTCTTTCTCCTTGTTGTGCTCATTTTCGATCAAGAAATATATCTTTATTTTCTTTTCTGTTTTCTATTCTGTATTCCTGACACACACATCAATTCCTCTGTTCTATTTTGTGCTTATCTTTTTTTCTCCCTATTCTGATGACATTTATCTATTTCTTTTCCAGCTTGTCTATCAGTTGTTTACAACAAATTTAACACCAGATGAAGAAGATGTCAAAATAGTGATGCAAATGGCTGAAGAAGCAGTCTGTGCTCAAGATAGGGATCCTTATACTGCTTTTGCAAACCGTGTAAAGGAACTTAACTATGGAAACTCTTATTTTTTCCGGGTACGACTATTTTCTGACATCAATTAAATCATTTACTGAATGATAATTAAGTCAATTGACTGAATGATCTACTCTTGACTTTCAGCATATTGTTTGTTTTGCAGCCCATTAAAAAAAGTGATCTACAAAAGGTTGATCCACTGAAAGCTTGTGAATACTTCAGCAAATGTTTCAAAGATCCATCAACTTTTACAGTTGTGATAGTTGGGAATATTGATCCTACCATTGCGCTGCCCTTGATATTGCAGTACCTAGTGAGCAATAATTCATTAACCAAAAGAAGCTTGGAGACCTTGAATTATTCTATACCAATTTATTTCTTTCCATGCAGGGCGGAATACCAAACCCTCCTGAACCGATTATGCATTTTAATCGTGATGAACTGAAAGGATTGCCTTTCACTTTTCCGACAACAATCCATAGGTATGACAATACACTGCATTCACAAAAAATAGGTGTTATAATAATTGTTGTGTAGTTTGGTACCTACAGGAAAAGATGTGAACACATTGTTATGCTCTTGAACTGTTCAAACATTTTTCAAAACAAAAAAAAGGCGAGCTTAGACATCATCTCTAGGAAAAGACTGTATATACATGTTCTCACTTATTTATTGCCTCTTTGAAAATCTGGATGTTACTAGCATCTCTCTACTTTAGCCATTGTGCATGGATGCTGATACATTTTTTAAGGATTGAGTGAATGCATCTTCTAAATAAACCATGCTCTGCTTGTAGAGAAGTGGTTCGGAGTCCCATGGTAGAAGCACAGTGTTTGGTGCAGATTTGCTTTCCTGTGGAGCTGAAGAATGGAACCATGGTGTGTGCTCTTTTTTCTTTTCCCTAGTTGCCATATTTACGCAGTTATATAAATATAAAGGCCTGTAATTTCTGAATCTTACAAATAACATGTATGATCTGTGTTTGGTCCTGTTTGGGGGGTTGGTGGCATGATTTGGCAGGTGGAAGAGATTCACATTGTTGGGTTTCTGAGCAAGCTGCTTGAAACAAAAATAATGCAGGTTCTCCGTTTCAAGCATGGCCAGGTGTATATGTATTATCGGCTTTTTCTGTCAGTTGTCATATATGATATTAAAAAAAACTATTTCTCAGGCTTTACCTCTGTGTACCAGATATACTCTGTAGGTGTTTCAGTATTCCTTGGTGGTAATAAACCCTCAAGAATAGGTGATGTTCGTGGAGACATTAGCATTAATTTCTCCTGTGATCCAGAGATATCTTCCAAGCTGGCAAGTCTCCTGCATCTGTAAAATAAGATAACTTTCAATACAGTTAATCGGTGAAAAGTAATTTCTCGTAAATCATTTACAGGTAGATATTGCTTTGGATGAAATGTTGCGTCTTCAAGAGGAAGGGCCTTCAGAACAGGATGTTTCTACCATACTTGAAATTGAGCAACGAGCTCATGAGAATGGACTGCAGGTTAATTTGGTCATGAAGTTTGTTTTGTTATTGTCATAGCCTTTACTACACATACAGTCAATGGAGCAAAATAGATACACCCGGACATATAAATTCTTATATCCTCCTGTAAAGAATGATAAAAGTTATGAGCTCCTTTATCTCGCATCTCTTATATCCACAAAGGCGGACTTGTGGATGAAAGGGATAGAAGCAATATTCCCCTCCCAATTTGATTTTTCTTATTTGCATGTGTTCAGGAAAACTATTACTGGCTGGACAGGATTTTGCACAGCTATCAATCGAGAGTCTATTCTGGTGATGTTGGCACTTCTTTTGAGGTTAGTTACTATTACAATTGTTTGTATTTTGTATTTTCTGCTTCAATAAATTGAGATGCCATCTATTTTGAGGATTACTATTTGCATTTTGGTTTTCCTCGACTATTAGAGAAAGGAATTACTATAACTTATAGTTCCAATACTGTTGCTTTATGGCCAGAATTTAGTTTGAAATAAAGTTTAGCATGAATATATGTATAATAACTATCCATTTTGATAAATTTTAATTCTAACAATGGAATGTGGCATTAAGATGTTGCTTGCAAGTTATGATCTGTTCGTATGTTGCAAATAATGATGATTGCATAGGTTATGGAGTCATATTTAGTCATTTTCATATAAATGATAAGTTATTGATTTTGCTATTATCTTTGCTGCAGATTCAAGACCAAGGGCGGTCAAAAGTTAGATCATCCCTTACACCATCCAGTGCACAGTTGGCACTAAAAAGAATATTGCCTTTTCCTTGCAAAAACCAGTATACTGTTGTGATTCTAATGCCCAAGGCTTCTCCTTTTAAACTACTGAAATCAATATTCCAATGTACTCGAACGAAATATGGGAGAGAAGCAAAGGTCAGTTATATATACATGCCTTTTGTTGGGAGATATTTGCCTTAAAAAAAACCACCATATTCATATTACGGTTTTTCTGTGGCAGATTTTGGTAGGAGTTGCTGGTCTGGCAGTTTTCGCACTTGGGTTATGGAGACATTCACGGAGTGCCCAAAATTATAGTAGACATTTGCTTACCAGAGCCGCGAATTAGAAGTTTTCCGATATGCTTGATTCTTTATTTCACTAAAGACACAACGTACATACCAACATTGTAAGTAGGTTATGTAAAACACCGGTTAGTTATGACTTAGGAGAGAAATTAGGTGTTTACGTGGCCCCAATGAGGGATTGACATGAAACATATGTACATTGATTAGTGCTGCACAGAATTTTATCATGCAGCTTCATTTGCTTCTTTCCAAAAAGAACGGGAAACCGGCTGGTGGTGCAGTATTGTATGCATAACCCAGGTTATTTTCTGATCTTTCATACGCCGGTTGTTATGATAACTCTGTACTTCAGAGGGGACATTATATATATTTTTTAAATTGATGATTATGATATTATTAATATCTTAAAAATTAAAAGATATTTATTTATATATATTTTTAAATAGATTACTAACTTTCATTATTTATTTACATATTTAATATAAAATTAATAATTATAATTATTTTATATGTGAGAAAATATAAAATATATTTTTTAATAATTTATAAGGCACTGTAAAAGTTACTCTTTCAAATAATATTGTCTGGTAGACTCGGTTCTTGGACAAGTAAGCTGAATAGGGAAAGAGAGTTATGCTTAGCACAATGGTGCTACATATTATTATGCCTTTAGTTATAGTTTTTCTTTTTCCTTTACCTTTCAAACATATGGTAATAGTACAAATATACTTTTGCTAAATTTTAGTGGTGTTCATTTGGTTTAGATTATCATACAATTAATTTTGAAATTTTGATTTGTGCTTAGGAATGATATTTTAAAATTAACTTTAGAAGCTGTCAGATTTTTGTTTAGATAAATAAATAAACAAAAATAGAATTTCATGTATAGTGTTAATATAGGTGTTTTTTTCAAAGAGAAATTGGTGGTATTTAAAATAATTTATAATCTAGTGTGTGGATCAATCGTAAGTTCTTTTCTTGGAGTTTTGAGTTAAGGTAGGTGTACTAAATATTTGAAAGGATATTTTATTCAACTAAACAAAATTTTGTCTTACAAATAATACTTGTGACTAAATTAAAAAGTATTTAGAATTAATTTTATAACATGAAATTGCTTTGATTTATATGCAATGTTGGCGTGTAAGAGTTTTATTATTGGTACTTTTTTTTCATATTTTGACAGTTATTATTTATTATCATTACATTCTCTTATTATTACATACTTTGACGATATCTATTAATTAAATTATGGTGAATCAACAATTTTTTTTCATTTTCTGATATAATTTAAGAGTAGAAAAAGTGTATAAATACCATCTTGAAATTTAGAATTGTATGATTATTATTCACACATAAGCAAGAATATCAATAAGATTGTTATATTTATATTTTAATCTTGATTATTTATACAAATTTTAATTATCAAAAGTAATTCATCTTACCTAAACTAATTCATAAATTAAATCTTAAAAGTTGTATCATAAATATTTAAAAAATCAACATATTGAAAAATTTAAAAATGTATTGGCAATATATGTTTAGTAGTTGATCATTTATAAATACTTTAAATAAAATTACTACCTCCTTCGAGATTTAAAAAAAAAAAGTGTAACATTTTTTACAAAATAATTTGTGACATTAAATTTTTAATTATTTATATTTAACTAAATATTTTTTCAATTATTAACTTCTTGTGATGATAATACCATTGTGGTAGTAAGTAGTATAGTGATAATAGTTATAATTAACAAAAATAATAATTTAATTATAATTTTTTTAAAATCATTATTTTTTATTTTAAGTAATTAAACATCATTGTTAAAATTTTAAAGCCTAATTTATACTCAATCCCGTACTTCAAACACTCACTAACATTTAAACTAGGTTTTTTTTTTTTCTTGGGTCATCCAGACAATGTAAAAATGGCAATTAAAAAAATAAAGATGACTACAAAAAGGCTTTGTGTTTTTGTCAGAACTAAAAAAGGGCTCGAGTCTTAGACTTGTAGCTTGCACCCAATACCCAGCGGCCCATTAGGGTTTATGGTTTTATTATATCGGATTGCTCTTTTTCATATCGCCCTTCTGCTTCCGCCTCTTCGTCGTGTAAGTGCATCCCTGCGTTTTTAATTTAAAGGTTCGTTCTCTGTTTGGTTTTGTCAAGCCTTTGTATTTGTATGTTATATTAAAATCAAATGGATTCCTGAGTAATTGATGCATAGGTGGTAAGTGACAATGGTTGAGAAGGGCAAGGGTAGGAAGGAGGAGGTCGTTACCCGTGAGTACACTATCAACCTGCACAAACGCTTGCATGGCTGGTACTGTCCTATTTCCTCTTTTTCTGCTTTCGTTTTATTGCTACCCTAATTCATACACCCTGTTTGTGCATTTTAACACGCCGTTTTGACTTGGTATAATATTGTTTAGAATGCGTATTATGAAATTCATTTAAGTGTTTTTCTTTCAATCAGGGGTATCCTATGTTTGATTTCAATCAGACATGCAAAAAAAAAATGTGGAGTGTTTATATTCCCACTCCTTTTTCTTTTAAAAAAACCAGATTAAATTGAAGATATTATTATCTGTAATTGTGTAAGGATACATGTCTTTTCACCATTAGGTTTATGTTTTTCACTTTAATGTGTTCTTAATACAAGAGACGTTTCTTTCAATTATTAAGCACATGGTTATTGTTGCATCCACACTCCTGTAACATCTGGGAGTCCGGGATATAAATCTTCTATTGCACACTATCGTTTTGTAGAGCACTTGAAATTGATGAATGATTTTCATCTTTACTCTTGCTTTCACCTTTTGTTTCATTTTATACCCAGTATGCACTGACATCTTGTTTAAGAAAGTGTATGAACTGATGATAAAGTCATGTTGTTTATCGGTAATAACATTGAGAGATACATTAGTAGTTCTTGTTTCTGATGTTTTTATACAAAACAGTACATTTAAGAAGAAAGCTCCTAAAGCAATTAAGGAGATAAGGAAGTTTGCCCAGAAAGCCATGGGGACCAATGACGTGAGAGTGGATGTAAAGTTGAACAAGAATGTCTGGAGCCAGGGGATCCGAAGTGTCCCAAGGAGGATTAGGGTTCGCATTGCTCGCAAGAGGAATGATGATGAGGATGCAAAAGAAGAGCTATACTCTCTTGTTACTGTTGTTGAAATCCCTAAGGAAGAGCTCAAAGGTTTGGGCACCAAGGTTATTGATGATGAAGATTGATGTGTTGGATATATTTGTTGGTTATAATTAACCCAGTTTTTACATTTATCTTTTATTTTGTTGAGACATTGGGGATACGTAGTTTGATAATATCAATTACCTTTCCCTGTTGTTTGCCTTAGAAAATTAAACGGCGTCAATGGATTTGAGTTTAGATCCTCTTTCCTTTGTGTTTTGTTTGCCTGGGGATAATGACAAAAATGAAAAGTTTTTGCGAAGAACCGGATATAACAAAAACTTTAAAACCGCATTTTATTAGGATACGGACCATTTGCCCCTTGTTATAAGACTAAGATGTGGATAGTTAACGAGTTTTATTATTTTTGCTTTTAACACTTGTGGATTGGGAGCATGTTAAATCTAAGTGCCAGAGTTAAACTATTGATGACCATGATTTTATGTTCAGTTTCATTAGCATTTCTTGCAAGAACATATGCAGCAACCCTTCGAGTAACATTTAGCATTCCGGCAGTGTTTTGATGGCTGCTAAGACTGAAGCAATCTCGTTCTCACCTGTGGATGCAAACCCAAGTTCCCTTTATCTCAAATTGGAGAGCTGCCTCTGGGTTGATACGTTTTCTGAAGATATGTTCGATTTGTTTCGGTTGTTAGAAAGAGTTCGAGGGATAAAAGATAACATGGTAAAGAAAGGAGAAGAGTTAATTAAAAAAAAATTAAACAAGATTTATTAACTATTTTTAAAAAAATTAACTTTCAAATGAAGTCTTTTTGAAGGGATCTTATAACATAAATCACTAAAAATTGTCTCTGAATCACTGTGAAAATTCATGCTGATAATTAGTTTAATTTTTATTTATTCTTGAAGCCATCATTCTCACTTTCAATGTATTTACTTGACCACTTCTAATAGGAGGCCTCTTTCAAAATTCCTTAAATATGAATGAAATATTGGTCTTCATTAAAACATGTGGCTAATAGTTTAAACGTCTTTTTATAAGAATTAAATACTAATAATATTTATAGCCAAAACATGATGAACAATAATTCATTAACATAGTAAAGGAGGCTTATTGTGTTATGCAAAAGTTTCGATCTTTACTTCATACTTCCTTGTCAATTAATAATAATGTTACGCATAGTTAATAGTAAATATTATGTGGTGTTACATGTTAACTTTATTAATAAATTAAAATGCTATGATAATTTTCATTCAAAAATCAATAAGCAATATTAATTTGTATTGAAATCATAATGTTAGCTTGTAAGACTTTTAATTTATATTTTAGGATTTGGATCCCTTTTAGTTTGCGCGAGAGCAGGGTTTCGAAGTAGAAAGTGGTTTGGATAGATCTTATTTGCTTAAACAAGAGATAAATCACTTGACGCAAAAATGGGAAGGTGATCTTCATAGTCATGGCTGGAAGAGGAGGTGAGAGAGACACAAGGTGCAAAGAGATTTAGAAAGCGTTTGAGCAATTTCTTGGAAGAGGATGAACATGACACAATCTTTGTTTTGGCAGTCATTGTGGTGGTTGTGGACAATATGGTTTGGTAGAGTTTTTTGAGGCTAGGAACGTCTTTTTAGTAGTTGGAAGATGATAGAAACTTGAGATTTTCCAACTCTGAAGAGGGTTTGAGGTGGAGAGGGAGGAGTTTAACATGGAGAAGAATTAATCAATGTGAGTACAGTGATGGGGTTTTGGAGAATGTTGCTCCAAAATCGTCTCAATCTCCTTCTTCCTTACGCCCCTTTTGCTTAAAGCCAACTGTCTCTGGCTCAAGTGAATCAATTCTGTTCAAACCTTTTTCTAGTCCATTTTTACTCAAGTAAGATTAGGATTTGTTTAAGTGGGTGATGGATAGAACCCTTCAGTTCTCATACAAATTGCATAGAATCTAGTTTATTTATTTATTTATTTATTTACAGATTAGCATATATTTAACATAATTATAAAAAAACTAAGACAACAAAAACAAAAATTTGATTCATTTCACATAACAATAAAAAAAAGTTAAAATCTCTTATACAGAGACTAATTAATAAGTAATGATCAAAGAATATGAATTAAATAATTAATTTAATATGTTAAGTCTTCTCTAGATTGTAGGTATGAATACAATTCATAAGAAATTATAGTTTTCTTTTGACTCTAGCCGATAATTGCTACGTTATTAGAATTTTAATTAGTTCTAATTTGATCATAATTAAATTTAAAAATTTAACAAAGCCCAAAACAAATCAAATTATAATTTTAAATTCTTTAAATTAATTGCAATGTTTATTACAGTTTTTTTAGTTAATTTTAATTAAAATATTTTTTTATTGATATTTGAGTATTAATTTTTAAATAAATACATTTTTAAGAACTTTTTTAAATGGAGTACATTTAAGGGTTAGTTGTTTTCTTATCTAGTTAAGTGATTTTTTTTATTATGTATTTCTTTTTAATTAATATTTTTTTTATTTGTTCATGTCTTTTTTAAATTTAAAAAATTATGTCTTTATTTAATTCTGTATAATATAATAGAATATTTATTATTAATAATTATAATATTATTTTTAAAATTTATTTAATTTAAAATAATCATATAATATATTTTAATTATTTATCTTAAAAAATATGTTAGTGAATCAAGGAAAAATTCACTAGTAAGAATGGGAAAAAAAAAACATTTCAAAACGTTGGAGCAGGAGAATCGTTCAATAACAAGATTTTCACACAAACGTTTTCGACTGGGAAAAAAGTATTGTGTTGTGTCAGTGAGGAAAAGGAATTGGAAAACTAGAACAATGAAGAAGCTTGCGAGAAAATTACGGAATTCAGAAGACCAAAACTTCTCTCTTCCGATTCACGACGAAGACTCTCGTCCCTTGGACTCTCAAGGTCCCATTTGTATTACACACAAAAAAAATGAAAAGATTTCATCTTTTTTCCTGAATTCGAATTGGGTCATATAGTTATTGAAATTTAGATTTTGATGCACAGAGCAAGAAGAGTTGGTTCGCTCTTTAGAAAGGAGTCAAGCTCAGCAGAGTCGCTTGTGGAGGGTATTAATACCAATTCAATGCACCCTTTTTCTTTTTTACACATGAATTGATTGAAATCTATGATATATTTGGCTCACGCTCGCCTTAATTTTTTCTCTCTCTCGCTCACTTTTTATTTGTTGTTCTATAGACGGTATTTGCGACTCTATTCTTCTGTTATATCATGTTTCTTTTGTATTCGATCTTCCACCAGGCTTCATCACCATGGGAACTGGTATGTTGAGTTTTTGCTATGTTATGCACTAAAATTTTTCAAATTGTGAATTAGTGTCAGCTAGAAGAATCATTGAAAATAAGAAATAGATAGTTTATATGGAAGGAGGTTTATCTTATAACTAATGATGCATGTGATGTTACACTTAGAATGTTATTGTTGCGTTGTTAGTGCAATTCTTTTATTTTATTACCGGAATGTGAGTCTTCTGGGATTTAATAAGTATTCTAGTTTCTGTTGTAAGTTGTAACAATTGAACCTCTTCTTGTGACAAAGTAATGATAATTTATGTGCGGCATATATTTTTGAAGATGATAAGTAGTTAAGCTGTACTTTTTGTTAACCATTCAGTTAGAACTTAGAAGTGGATTATGAAACAATCTGGTTTATGTGCAAAGGCTCAGCATTTACTCTTTTCCAAATTTATAACGTTTAAATATTTCTAGCTATGCTTTTTATTATTTTATGTATTTCATGATTGTTTCCTTTACTGAATATGCTGTGCCTTTTCTATGTTCTTTGATAAACAGCGGTATCATGCTTACTTCATGGAGGAGATCAAATCATGGATTATTATATCTGCAGGTTCACTTCTCCTTTTGTTAGGACTTCAGCTTCCTATTTTATATCATGAACTCCTTCCCTGATTCTCATTGTATTGTCCTTTGATTATATAGTTGTGGATATTAGTTCCTCTACATTTTGTTTGCACCCTTTGCCTTCATTATCTGCTTATGCTACTTTGCAACTGGCAATGAGATATGATGTTATCCGCTAGTCAAATTATGAGGACCATTGGTTTAATTGTTAATTGAATAACTTTTACAGAGTGGGTGGCTGTTTTAGCGTGCTCATTTGCCATTATAGGACTGTTTCATGAGTCAATTCTTCGTAGGAGATGGATCCAGTACTCGTGGTATATTGGCATTATTCTGGCAGTTTTCTGGTTATATTACCTGTTAAGGTAAAGTTCTTGGATAAGATAAGCACTGTTTGATGCATTTTTACGTACTGCATATAGGATTCAGTATATTGGTAAACCGGTTATGATGTAGAAAAGTGAAAGGAAATATATTATGAAACTCTGGGTATTGGTATTCAGTATATATTGTCAGTTTGGTTTTACTATCTACATGAGCGAAGAGCTCAACTATTGGTCCCAAATAAAGTTGAAGAGGGATACAGAAAGCTTGTACACATTCTACTACTCTAATAAAGTTTGCATATGCTTCCTGCACTCTCTTCTGTTATGTTTTCTGCTATTTGCATCCTCTATTCAGATGCCTCTCTTCTTTTACTGTATAATAACAAAAACATTTTTTTGGCAGGTTGCCAAAATTTCATTGGGATGTTATCTGGCTGCCATTTGGCCCTCCTTGGTAAGCCATGATTCTCCCATCTGTTTTGTTTTGTTTTGTAAGTATTAACAATGTGCTTTGCTTGGTTACTGTGCTGCAGTGCAGCTGCAATCTGCCTCTATGTAGATCATTTACTAACCGAGTCATCAGAAGAGGTAAGAAAGCTTCGTGGATACATGTATACCTACAAAGCAAGCTAGAATGATGTTCTGCATAGGTGATGGAGGAATGGACATGAGAAGCATGTTGGAGCCGAATGACCAGATAAACTGTGAAGTATTTTCAATCTTTCATATGGATTGACCCATCAACAGCACAGAAAGGTGATGATTTCTTTAATGGATTCGGCTACTCTTTCATATTTTCTTTGGTTGGATAAAAGCAGTTGATGAAGAGAACGTTCACCGGATTAGAGACCGGAAAATAGGAGTTTAAGGTGACATTTAGAGGAAAGGGCATTGTTTTTGTAAGAATGAGTTAGTAATGATTTTAGATCCTGTGTTTGCGAGTAGTTTTGCATGGTTAACTGCTTAAATCACTTCTCTGTCAATATTTTGGCGTATTTTTTAGTTCTATGATTTGCATCGTAACCGATACATCATGATGGTTGTTCCTGCATTCCGTGAATTTGCTATTATGCCTTACCAGTTAGACATGTGCTCAAACCTATATTATGCCCACACAACAAAACTAGAGTTTAGTGAAAACTCACAAGCTTATTCAGGGAACATGGTTTTATGTGGGTGTAATGCCTCTTTGTATAGCTTCACAAACGGAGTTTACTGGCAGTGAAAACTTTTTTCCTTTTGGAAATTTGCATTGAAAATGTATTTTTTAGGCGAATTTTATCCAAATAGACTGGAACAAATTAAAACAGATGTTGTCACTTGTTGGTTGACACTCTCTTCCCTATGCCCTTTTTTATGGGAGTGATATTTTCAAGTAAGGAAGAAATAATTACAATATGGGTTACTTGGGGTGTTCATCATCTACTGATCCAATTCAATGCAAACTGTACAAACTCAACCAAAAAGCTGAAAACCGAATCATCTGAAAATTGTAAAAATCATTTTTTTTATTGGATTGGATTTCGGATCCTATTTTAAAAATCAATACAACTGAATTTATACTTACATATATAATTTTATTTATAAAATTAATTCCTCATTTATAAGACTATATATTAATAAAATTATAATACTTAACTATGACTTTATTTTTTAAATTTATACCATATTATTTTAGGGATATATTTTATTATTTTCATAACTATGTAAGTGTATTTTTTTAGGTTAATTAAAATGATTCTTCTGTATCATAATTTTCTATATATAAATGTTATATTTTACATTAAAAATTAACTTTATTTTAAAATAATATAAAAAATTACAAAAAATTATGAAACTTGAATTATTCAATTCAATCCAAACTACTTTTGAGTGGATTGGATCAAATTAGATTTTTGTTTTTTTTCAAATCGATACAAACTGAATTGCCTATGATTTTATAATTGGATTGGATTTTTATTTTTTTTCCCTAAAATTTGATCCAATTTAATCCATGAACTCTCCTAATGGTTACTCAGCCCTAAGTAATCCTCCCAAGTCGAATTTGGGATGAGGCATGAAAGAGAAAGATCTTAGTTTCCATTTGTGTTTGATGAAGTTGATTTTGAACTGTTAAATATTTTTTAAGTGTTTAAATTAATTTGAGCATTTTTATTAAAATGTGTGTTTTATATTAAAATGTACAATAATCAATTTTTCAACTGTAAAGCAGCCAAGCATCATAGGCCGGCCAAACTTCCACTTTATTGTTCTTCTCTTTATTGGAAATTGGAAAAATATCATCATGTCTGTAATTAAAGCCACAGATGACTAAATATTTAATCTTACAACAAATGCACAATGTTAACACATACATGTGAAACCTTTGTTTCTTTGATCTTTTGGGTAGTACTATCTTACCTCAAACTAGGGTATTTTCTGTTATCTAATGACTAATAATTAAACTGAATTAACTATTAATATGGTAGTATTATCTACAAAATATTTAGTCATTTAACAACTCCTTTCTACATGTCACACCACTTGAGGATATTCCTATAATTTGTGTTTTGAGATGAAATTTAATAGAAATGATTAGAAGATTTATAAGCTTAAAAGTATAGAGAAAGAAAGAAGAGTATAAGCAAGAGAAAAATGAAGTATTATTAAGGAGAAATACTTGTAATTTTAATTATTTTTTATATATTAGAATGATATATGTATAGTCATTTGTTTGAATACAGACAAAATGCATATTAAGTGCATGAATCCAAAATAAGAGCACTTTTTGCAAAAGAAAGTGACGAGTTTAGTTAAAACACACTACTTTGAAAAGATGGTAGTCATTCCTTCCTCCTCTCAGAAGATATTCATTTATATTGTATTCACTAACAGGGGAATAGTTTTCGTCTTTTTTATGATGACCTAGGCAAGAATTACTAATCTGGAGTCTATGCTTAAATTATTACCTTTGATGGCTACTGATATTTCGTTTAATTCAAAATTGGCATAAGCGTCCAAAACACTTGGTATTCCTGCCACTTAGAAGTAGGATAGAATCGCACACGTCTTCAAATCTTTTGCTTTTGACCAGTGATGATAGCGTACATGACGAGTTATTCTTTATGACGGTGAATCTTTGAATTTAAAAAGGCGACAAAGAAATAAAGATAAGAATATTAAAATGAAAGTGTAGCTAAAACAAAATTAAATATTGAATAATTATATTTGAAGAAATACTAGTGTGATACTTGTTGGAAAAAAAATCAGTTTTGTAATTTGGATGTGTAAAGAAATTTTTCTTACTATTTAGCATCATGAAAAAATATATAGGGAGATTAAGAAAAAAATTTGTAGAAAATTATTTAAAAAATTATATAATAAATAATATCTCTAAAATTGTATTTGTATGACTTAGCATATTTCATTCAGAGAAATAAGGCTATTATCGTTATTTAGGTTGGCAATTTTTCAAATTATTCTATGAATTCGAAACATCGTATTTTTAGGATTTCTCAAGCATTAAAATATGTATTTTACCAATTATTTTAATTAACTGGTCATTTATTTGATTAGTTTATAGGTGATCAAAATAAAGAAATTAAATAAATGAGTTTATTTTATTGACTTAACATTTTTTTAGATGTTTCTTAAAATAGCAAGGGTTTGTTAATTTATATTTCTTTCCATTATTAATTACCCTTAATATTTTAATAGAAGTTCTCTATACTTTTATCACTAATATTTTTGGGTAATTTCTTTCCAGTTTAGTAAAATAATTTTATTATAAAACCAAAAAAATACAACTTTAAAATTAACAGAAAACCCGATATAATAATTACCTGAAACACATTTATTTAAAAAACTGAGCTTATGAAAAATGCTATATCCTTTACGCTTCAGTATATTATTAGCTAGTTTAATCCATAATGAAGGTCCAGATGATATTAAGACCCTTGTTCTTAAAGTAGCAACCGTGTCCACAAAAGTTACAGGCAAAATAGCTTGGACAATCGAAATTAGTGGAAATTTGATCCTGGTATTGGAAAAATCCCTGGCATTATTATCGCTTCATAAATTTAAGATTTCTAGCAAGAAAACGGACACCTGTAATATTTCACTATTTTGCATAACAGATTTCAACGCAAGTCGTAATTTTACATTCGAACTTGATATGTAGAAACACTTCCGAACTTCATATGGAAACTGAGACTACGCGTAAAATCTAGATGGAAAGCCTTATTGTAAGTGGTACAAATTTGTTTTGTGTTTTTGAAAAAGTATTTCGATGTACAAACGAAAATTATTTGCTATTAATGTAATGAATCTATTTTTAAAAACGAATGGGGATACGATGAGGGAGGTTTTGTGTGATGCAATATCCACATTGACAAATCCAAACTGAATTGCGTATGTTTCAATCCTCTAAAAATGAACGAAATCAACATAAGAGTGGAGATAAAAAAATAATTTAACATATGACAAATCCAAACTGAATTGCGTATATGTTTCAATCCTCTAAAAATGAACGAAATCAACATAAGAGTGGAGATAAAAAAAATAATTTAACATATAAAACCCAGGATCCTTTCAAAAGAAAATAGTTAGGGAAAAAGTGGAGCTACTCACTCTGGATTCTAACCACCACAAGAATAATTTAAATGCTATATATTTAAAAACTACACTTCCTTTTTAACTCAACTTCGGCAAGAGAACTTTCTTGCAAAATCAGTAAATAGAACTCAGAGATCTGCTCTGCCAGGATATCGTGGGAAGGGAATCACATCTCTGATATTTTCCAAGCCGGTGGCAAAAAGAATCATCCGTTCAAACCCAAGTCCAAATCCAGAATGTTTCACCGTTCCATACCGCCTCAGGTCAAGGTACCACTCATATGGCTCAAGAGGAAGATCCATCTCCTTTATTCTGCAAGACAAAAACAATATAAACAAGGAACGAAAATGAGGTTAAAAAACTTCTGAGTACTGCAAAAGAAAAAAGTAAACAGAAATTATATACCTTGTCTGAATGACATCATAACGCTCTTCCCTTTGGCTTCCACCAATTAACTCTCCAACCTGAAATTACAATTACATACTTCTATTATGCCAGCTAAAAAAAGCCACTGAGTATCGGAACAAATTATCTTCAGCAGCCATGCACAATAGCATGTTGAAAATAAAATATACAGGATACTTACCTTTGGGACGAGTACATCCATTGCAGCCACTGTCTTTAAGTCATCATTGAGCCGCATGTAGAATGCTTTGATTTCCTTTGGATAGTTGTAGACAATGACAGGCTTCTGAAACTTCACCTCTGTTAGGTATCTGCATAACACCATACCAGCAGGATATCACACAACAAAATCAATGAGAACTGGAACTACGAAAAAAAACAAATTTTAAGTACCTTTCATGCTCAGATGCCAAGTCGATTCCCCATTTCACTTCATTCTCAAATTTCTTACCATTCTTCACAGCCTCCTCTAGTATTTCCACTGCCTCTGTATATGAAACCCGAACAAAGGGGGTGGAAGCAACCATTTTCAAACGATCAATGCAACCTTTATCAAACTTGTCAGCCATAAACTCCATATCTTCAAGGCAGTTATCAAGTAACCACTGACACAAAAATTTTACATATGCCTCGGCACAGTTCATATCATCCTACACATTAATGCAAAACAACGAACTTTAACACTTCCACCACAGCAAAGCATAAACGCCAAACACACAAGTAGGGGTGAAAAGGGCAGCTCCACATCGCACTAGAAAACTAACAAGTTCAAATTTTTGCATCAACATTCAGTTGGTAAGTATACCTACCCCCACCAACAACAACAAAAACAAATGACACATCTAAAGACAATCATGACAAGTTGGAGGTCGAGTTCAAGCTTCACATACCATCAAATCCGCAAAAGCAATTTCAGGCTCCACCATCCAAAACTCAGCCAAATGCCTGGAAGTGTGAGAATTTTCCGCACGAAATGTCGGTCCAAACGTATACACACTACTAAGAGCACAAGCATAAGACTCAACTTGAAGCTGACCTGAAACAGTCAAAAACGCTTGACGGGCAAAGAAATCCTTCCCATAATCTACCTTTCCATCCTTTTCAGGAACACCAGGCTTAAGGTTAGACCTCTCCTCAACCTTAGAGAAATTTTCCTTCGACTTCTTAAGCTCGTCCACAGCAGCACCAATTTCCTGCTTACTAGCCTTAGCAGATTTCAACTGTGACACAATTTCCCCTTTCTCCTGAACAACAACCCTAGCAGCTTCCACATCAGCCTCCGATGGAGGAGGATTCTGCTTCAACTCCTTCTCCAATCTCTCCGCTTCACTCAGTAAAGTCGTCACTTGAAACATTTCACCCGCACCCTCACAATCACTCGTGGTAATAATCGGCGTATGCACATACAGAAACCCATGCTTATTGAAAAACGTGTGCGTAGCATAAGCAAGAGCATTACGAATTCTAGCAACCGCAGATATCTGCAATCAATAATCACATACATATTCATAGAATTATAATTAATCAATGTAATTTGAATTTTCTGCCTTAATTTTACGGAACTGTAGAGAAGCAAAAAGTACCGTGTTGGTTCGAGAACGAAGGTGAACGAAATCGCGCAAAAATTCGAGAGTGAGTCTCATTTTCGGAAGAGGATACTTAGCAGGATCGACGGGACCGACATGGAGAACCTTATCGGCGCGAAGCTCGATCTTCTGTTTGGCGCCGGAAGGAGGGAGTTTCAGGTGGCCGTCGACAACGACGCAAGTTCCGGTCGGGACGAGTTGCCCTAGGTCGCCAAGCGAGGCTTCGACGATGACTTGGAGGTTGCCGGCGCAGCTTCCGTCATTGAGTTCCAAGAATGCGAACGCGTCCTTATCAGCTTTTCTTCCCGTCTTCACCCAACCGCCAACCCTCGCCTTCCGTCCGGCGAGACCCGACCCGCGGTCCGTTCGTGATATTATGGATCGGATCGGAACGCGGTCAGAGAATTCGGCTTTCGGAACGTCGTCGTTGAGGGTTGCGGCGGCCAATTGGTCCGTCGGCAGAGAAGATGATTCTGTCATTGTTAGCGGCGGCGGCGACGGCGGCGATCACTTCACTGCCACAGTGAAAGTCGAAACAGAGAAACAATAATAAAACCCTAAATTGGAGAATCAAATTTGTGTTGTGTATATTATCATTTTATTTGGGTAGTGGACGACGAGTATTAATTCAACAATTAAAGATTCATTCACACGCCTAAGCAAAGGGACAATGGTACAGGTTCGATGAAAATTGAAGATTTTGCTTAAAAATAAGAAAAATGATAACAACATTAATACACTTTTTTCACATAACTTATAATAAATTTAACTATAGATAAAAGTATGTTTATATTGTTAATTTTAAAAAGTTAAAAATAATAATTTTTAATATCAATTATAATACTTTAAAAATATTCGTAGTATTTTTTGTAAGAAAAAGTATTGATTTTAATTTTTTAAAATTACAATTAACGAATATTTTAATTTTAATTTTCCAAAAACATATATTTATCTTTAAATTTTTTAAAATAACTATTTTTTTACTTATATTCAAAATATTAAAAATATATAATGTTTCAGAAAGTTAGGAAGTAAAGTTAAAAAAAGTAATTAATACTTAGTGAAAGATTAAAATAAATATTTATTTAGTTTCCACTGTATTAGGCCGCTCTATCAACAATTGGTAATTGGAAAAGCAAGAGTGTATTTTCAAAGTGCATTTTTAATCATATAAATTGATCATTATTGAGATTTTAATGATATTATTAATAAATATTAAAATATTAAAATTTATTTATAAATATTTATTATATAAAGAATATAAAAATATAATGATTTTAATGAATATTTATATATTTAAAATGAATTCTATATTAATAAAATCATAAATATACATATATTTTATTCTTCAAATTTTCTTGCGTCAAATCCACTCCATCGAAGTCAATGAGTAGGCAATAGCACATGTTGTTTGAGGGTCTACTCTGTAATTGCTTGGCCGGAAAGCAAAATTAAGAACTATTTATTTTTTCTCTTGAATTGTTAATCCTAATGGTTAGAGTAGAATTTTGATCGTATTTATTTTTTCCGAGATATTACTGATAATACTCTGCTGCACAGTAACCGATTAATGACTTAATTTTCGTAACACCCTTAACGTTTCCATTGCAATTAATTAGCCTTAATGTTAAATTATTGATCTATGTGGCGTCTAAATATCGACTTATTTTTTTAAATTTTATATTTTAAAAATTAATTTTATTATTTATTATTTTTTCAATTTTTTTTTGTCTAGAGTAAATTTAGTTACGTCAGAGATTTTGTTAATACTGTGGATAAAACTTATTAATTTTAAATTTTTTAAATAAATTTCGTTAACAAAAGTACGAAACAGTAAAAATGGTTATGAGCAGATAAAGTTTTATTATCTAAATAGCAAATTACATGCTGTGCAAAAGATAGAGGTGATGACATGTCACATTAAACTTAATAAATAAATAAAAATTGGCAAAACTTGATTACTTTTGGAGTACCTTTTATTCTGTAGCTTGGCTCTCAAGTTAGGCTCATAACTACATATTAACGCTCTTTCATGGCGCGTAAACTCATCCAAACTCCGTTACACACTTACACTATTTCAATACAATATCTGAAATTTTTTATTTTTAAATTTAAAAATAAAAAAAGGTGACATCTAAAAAAAATTCAAATTTTATATTTCAATATATATATTGAGTATTTTTTTTTAAATTATAAATAAATTTTATTTTTATATATTCTTACAATTGTAAATAAAAATATAAATGTTTTAAATAAAATATAATTTTTAATTACTTAAAATTAACTTTAAATGTTAACGTTAACGTTAAAATATAGTAAAAAAAGAATTTAAGATTCATAATTTTAATCATGCAGTGGAATTAAAAAAGAAAACTAAGTACTGTGAAACTAAAAATAATATTTAATTGAATTTGTTCAATGAGCCTTAAGTTTAGGCAAATTCTAATAAAATATAATAAGGGCTCTTTTTATATATGGAATATAATTAATATTTAAAATTGTAATTTTAATTTTATTATAATTAAAATTAGTTTAAAATTATAATTCTACATTTGGCATACTCAAAGAATTATGATATAAAATTAGAATTATAAGTTAAAATTAAATTTTATATAATGTAACATTTGAATTTTTAAAAAATAATTCAATTTTGTATTAAAATTTTATTTTATAATTTTTTTAAAAATAATATGTTAATTAAAAATATAAAATAATTATTAAATAAATTGTTAAAGATGATAATTTAATATTTTTTTCAAAAATTAAGACACAATAAATTTTTTTTATGTTTAATTTATTATTAAAATTTAATATCATGTTATGTACTATTATTCTCATAAATTAAATGAAAGCAATTTTTGTAAATATAATTTAAATATAAGTACTTTCGAGAACTATCATGAGTTAAATAAATAGAAACATTGCAACAGATTTTTCTAAGCTTACATAATAAATATCATGCAAAGTTTCAAAACTAAAAAAAAAATTATTTAGTAAAATATAGTTGATTATAGCAATTTTCATTATTTCTCATTATTTAATTACCTCAAAAGTATACTTTTTAATGTATCTTATCACTGTGTTACATATAACGCTAATTTTTTTCTTTTTTATTTTTCTTGTACTCTCAATAGTTTTTAAATTGATTTTTAATATTTTATCCGACATCTAACAATTCAAGAAAAATATTAAATAATTTATCATACAATTAACATAAATAATATAATTTGTGGCTAGTGTAAAAAGTGTATAATAGCAATGCAATATAGTTTATAGCAAGTGCAGAATAGCAACACTAATAAATATATTAAACATGTAACAAATGTAAAAAAGAGAAAGAAAAACGGAGAAAGAAAGAAGATGTAAAAGAAAAATAAGAAGAACAAAAGGACGATGGATAGAGAAAAATTACTTTTATTGATAATCAATGTAAAAAGAGGAATTAGATAATAGAGAAAAATAAGAGAATATATGAAAAGAATAGAGAAAAATAAGAGAATCTATGAAAAGAATAGAGAAAAATGATTTTACGTATATTCTGAAGGATTTGAAGTAAGTTTCTATAAGTTTGAAGTTATATTTACCGTTCATTTCTCTTCTTCTTCTCTTTCTTATAGATAGCTGATGATATATTAAGAGAAACTTCGTAGTAAAGTTAAATCTTTGGTAGATCTCGCTTTAAAATAATTAATATTTGATAGATCTAGTGTGAATAGTTGTTCTAAGGTAATGGAGCTTACTTCAGCATATGAACTATATTTTGAATGGTTTGATATGCTATTAAAGAAAAGTTTGAGTTGATTTTGTTAGATCTTTTTGATAAAAGCTGTGATATAAAGGATTTAATACTTGAAAGTTATTTTTTTACGATGTAACTGCTGATAACTGATTTAATAACACCAAGATTTGACTGATTTATTATAACCTTGTCTTAGCTGAGTTGTTGAAATGATTTTAGCAGTGCTGTATCATACTGAGATATATATATATATATCTTACATTATTATAAAGCCGAGTTACACGTTTAGGTAGGTAGACGTGTAACGATAGAGCATGCTGAGCTGTACTGTATTGTGTTGTCTGGATCTAGATAACGAAGTGGGTCGCTCCTGAACCGACTTGGTTCTTCTGGATTATTTAGGCTGTGAAACTAGTTGGAAACCGTTTGTATGTTGTGCATTAAATGAGCTGGGAATGTATGAGACTATTGCTGTGAGTAATATTTTGCTCTCTATATATGATTTTATTTTATTTTTTTGATAAGATCACCCTTGTATTTTTGTTTTTGTTGTTGTGTATACTGCGATGATCATACTGTGGTACGTGAGTAGATGTAGTAGGTGTTGCATCTACTTCATAGGTTGAGGGACCAGTGGAGAAGTGTTAGAAGACTGGAGTCGAGTAATTTTGCATTAAAGTTCTTTTCTTTATATTTTGAGACCTTATATAGAAGGAGTTATGTAGTATAATTTTGTATATTTTGAGTATTATAAACTAAATGTAATATTATGTTATTCTGTTGGATATTTGTTATAAAAAACTTTATTTTATTTTGAATGAGAAGTGAATTTTATACTTATATTCTCTATTATTTATCTATTTTAAATAAGTGATGTAGAAATAATGTTATTGATTTCTTATTAAAAATGGGTCATGACAAGAAGAGAACAAAAGAAGAGAGAGAAAGAAAGTACTTGAGGGAAGAAACTATCTAGAAAAAAAAAAAAAAAAAACCACAGGAGCCACGAAGACGAGGAGGAATCATGATATGAAAAAGAGAATAAAAGAAGGGAGAGAAAGAAAGTGGAGAAGAAAGTATTTAGGAAAAAAAAAAGAATCACAAGAATCATGATACGTTAGAGTGTATTTGTGAATTATGATATTAAGAATTCAAATTTTAACAATTGAAGTGAGCAAAATTTAGTTGTTATAGAATTCTATTGAATTGGTACATCGAATTATAATCTAAATTTTAACTGGACATTTTGAAATCCTATTCCAATTCTAATTTTAACATACAACTTCATACTTAATTCCATACACCAAATAGATATTAAATGAATAATGCTCGTTGATTGGGTGGTGCATCAAAATTACCTCACAAGATAAATATAAATATATGATACTAAGAGTATATCTGTTTTTTATTTTTTTATTTTTTTTTTGTTTTTAAAATAAAAATACAATACAAATTAATATTGTATTTTATTTTTAAAAACAAAAAACTCTTTTTAAAAAGAAAAACAAACCTACTTTAAATAGCAAGTTTTGCTATTTTTTATTGTTGATTTTTTTTTCACTTTTATGCTTTCATTATTCCACATGTTCTATAGTGAAATTGTTCACCTAATTTTACTGTTCAATTGGTGAAACTTTGTCTTTGTGTAGAATAATTTTGGTAAAATTTATTTTAAAAAATAATAAATAACAAATTTTATCAGCCAAATTGACATGTACTGAAGTTTACTCTAAATAAATAAATAAATTTAAAAAATTAATAAATAGAAAATTTGTTTTTTAAAATATAATATTTAAATAAAAAACCTTAATATCGACTTATCGATTAATTTTCTTAAGCAAGCTATTTGTTAAAGCGATCAGGAAAAGGAATAAATAATTTAGGTTTTCTTTACTTAAGAGATATTTTTTAAAACTATTTACTAAAAAAACTTTTTGCTTGTTTTAAGTTTATATATATATAACTTTTATTGCATGTTTGATACGTGTCATCGTACATGTAATGCATATAGCTCACATTGCAAGCAAAATTACAAGAGACACAAGATGTTTTCACGAGACACCAATAAACACAAAATTTCCCTGCAATAAGCGAGACATGTAAAGAGACAATTTAACACCAAAACTTATAAAACATCTGTTTTAAAAGGGCCATTGAGAGTAAGAATTACTAAAAAAACAGTAAAATAATAAATGGGTAGGTTGATGAAAGAAAAAACTCGTTATCCTTGTCTTCTAGCTTTTCAAAAGAGTCAAATTAGAAATTGTAAGCAAGAAAAATAACCTTGATGTATCATACTAATGTTCTAATTAGTGAAGTCTATGACACACTTCAACACTCATTCACCACATAATTGTTGTTAGAATTAAACTATTGTTTATATAGTTTAGATACAAAAGACAAATATGAGAACAAAATAAACATATATAATATTTAAAGATGTATTATTTATTTAAATGAGTAACAACAGTATATTTTTTAAAAATAAAAATTACAAATAAAGGCACGTTTAATCATAAATAAATAATGAAAGCACTAATTATCTTTATACAAAAAATACGAAATAATAAAAAAAAAAACAATAAAACTTCCACACACAACAATTAAATCGTAAAATCCTTTTTCCTTTTTCATTACATCTCATAAGTATTTCTCCTTTTACTTGCAACTTTTCTTTTACCCACACGCACAATTATTGAAGTTCAAAATGCATTTATCTCTCTATTATTGTGCACGAGTTTTTTTTTTTTTCTTTTACGCACAAATTTTCCCTCACTTTTATCCTCATTCCATTGTTATAAACATTTTTGTATTGCAAGTTATAAATAAAAAAATTAGAAAACATAAATATTTATTATATACATAAAAGTAATGTTTTTGTTTTACCAAATCACGGTACGTGATATCTTGATAATTATTTTATGAATTTTTATTTATTTTGTGTTGTTTGTTATTATTTTTAAATAATTTGTTTACATTTAAATTTTAGTCCATTTTATCAAATTAAATATATATATATTTATTAGATAAATTGAATTTTAATTTTATTATAATCTTATTAAATTTAAATTTGGGCACAGTATATGAATAAAAATTAAAAGAGGGCTAATCTTAATTTTAAAGAGTTTATCCTTTTAATTTAGTTACTCCATCTGATTTTAATTTATAAATTCATTTAAATTTTAAAATATTAAAAATTGGATAAAATCCACGAGATATTGGATAGTAAATTAATATGGATAATTTGGGTACATAACAATTTTGCTTGCTAATAATGATAGTGGACCCACAATATATACAGCAATAAGTTGCAGACCACGAAAGGCCGAAGCAAGTTCTCTTTACTCTGTGTTTTTCTTCAATTCTCCAATACGCGTTCTTGCCAGATCTCTCCCCATTTCATCTCTATTCTTTCCATACCACAAAAAACCCTAATTTTTCAAAAGGGTTCGTTCATCTCCACCTTTTTCCCCACTGGAACCTCCCCCCCCCCCCCCCTCTCCTTTTTAAACAATTTCAAATGTACGATTTTGATTTGTATTTTGTTGTTCCAGGGAGATCGGTTGGCAAATTCGGGTCTCAATTGACCTTATCCTTTGAATTCTCCTCTGCGACGCATTTGGGTATCTCTGTTTCAATATCTCTTAATCAATCATGTTTAATCGGATTTTTGGTAAACCTAAGCAGGAAGCCAATGCTTTAACGACTTTGGACAAGTTAAATGAGGTAAGTGGGAATTCACTGTCCCAACTGCGAAATTGTTCTTTATATTGCTTTCTCAATTGTGTGTGCATATTTGATTCGTAGAACCGTTCTTTCTTCAAATTAAGCGTTAGTTATATTTTTATTGTAATTCACAGTGTAGTTTTATTGTTTTTCTTAATTCGTAAGCGACGTTATCGTCTTCGTAACTTCGAAGAAACGAACTTCCTGTGTATTGTGGATGTTGCATATCGATTGCTCTGTCTTTTAAGAGTTTCTTACGTGTATTTTGTTATGCAATATTGTGGACATTTACTTTTTACAATCTGGTGGAGTAGAGGGTATATTTTTATCTTCCTCGTGCTCACCTTATGAAGGTTTTCAGCTATTAGTTAGTATTATGGAAATTGCTTGCTCTTATTAAACTAGTAAACTACATATATCCGCATCATTATCTGAGACACGGGCTCAGTAGCCAGGTACTGGTTTTGTTATCTGATTTTTCCATGTTAATTTACTGAACTTTGTGTAGCTTTTCTAAAAATTGTTTGATCGGATGATCAATATCTGTGTATGTGAAGTTTGTTGTTTTGTTTTTATTTTCAGCACTAATTTGCTGTTAGCGGAAACGTTTTTCTCATTTTGAATGTTTTATTCCCTGAATGCTGTAGACACTTGAAATGCTAGAGAAAAAGGAGAAAGTACTCCTTAAAAAGGCGGCAGCAGAAGTTGAAAAGGCCAAAGAATTCACCAGGGCAAAGAATAAAAGGGGTATGTAACAAAACTAAAAATGCTTGTTCTAGAGATTATGAATGTATGTTGTGGTCAAAATTTTGTATTATGATAGTTTCATTAAAATTAATGTGTCAAGCTTCTTAACAAGACTTGGGGTCTTATTTGGTCAGTTGAAATCAAGTTGGTGGGAGTTGGAATGAACTTGTAGGTACTTCAGAATGTCAAAGGCCATTCCATAATGAGTGGATGATCCCTTCAAATTTGAACAGGAACTTCCTTTAGAGGAAATGGTCATCCATTCCACCAAGATTGATTACAATTACCTTTTACTCAGATTATTTTCTTAAAATGATCCTTCACTATTTTTGCTGCCTCTGCTCGGGAATGTTGTCACCCCCACCACTGTCATTGAACAATTAATTTTTGCTATATTCCTTTATCTAAGTTGGTGTGCCAAATTTAGCAATGGAATATAAATTCTGGTCTTGCCTGTGCAAAACATGCTAATGTGTCATTATTCCAGTTACTTCAACTCAGCTTAGTCAAGATTGTCAATGTGTGTGTGTGTGTGTGCCCACACACAAATTACATAGATGTGAAAAGTAACTTCAAAATCACACCAAACAAAATAAAATTGAAAATGCATAAGTTCTTATACAACTCATGATAGCATGCACCAAAACAACAAAACAAAGCCATTTTATGTATGTATGCATGGGTGTGTGCGCACATAAAAAGTTACTTGAACATGAAAAATAACCTCCAAATTACAGTGAACAAACTAACATTGAATATTTTTTAAGGTCTTACAACTCATTAGAGCATGCACCAAAACATCAAAACAGAGCCTTCCTTAACAACAAAACTGATCATGAGGCTAGCTTCAGAACCAGAAGAATGTGTGCACAAAACCTTGCATAAATATGAAAAGTTACCTCTTAATCACACTAGACAAACTACAATTGAAAATTCATAAGGTCTTTTACAACTCGGTAGAGTGTGCACCAAAGCATCAAAACAACAAAACAAATCCATTTCCCTAACAGAAAACAGATCACAGAGAAAACTGCAGAACCAGATGAGAGCCTTCAGCTTCAAACAAAAGAGCCTGAGAAGAGAACCAAAGAAGAATTGAACCAACCTAAGAGATAGGGACAAAGTAGAAGAGTGTGGGAAGAAGCTGAAAGGGTCAATGGTTAGGGAAGAAACGGAGTGGTGGTGGTTGAAGGATGATGGCAGAGGATAGTCCAGGGTTGTATAACACAATTTGGGGCATCAAACATAAGGCGGTCTTAATAACATGTGATTAAGGGGCACACAATATGAACATTCGAATAGTAAGTTTTACTGAAAATCAAAAGACATTACGATTTAATGTATTGCTAATATTGAATGCTACATTTTTCAATAAAAAGCTTACTATTTTTTGTTTTCTTAATTGTGTGCCCTTGGGAAAACTGAACATAAATAATACCTTTTTTTGTCCAAAAGGGTTATGTGACTCAACCTGATTTGCTGGTTCAATCCCATTTTTTGAGGTGACAATTGAATGATTCTGCAATGTGGAGCAAAGAACCAGTTCAAGTTGATCATGGAGTGCTTTCTAGTTGGAGAGTGAACTGCTTGGAAGGCCATGATGTATAGCTTCTTTTGAGTAAACAAACTTAGCAAGTTCACCAATCATTTTCAAGATATATTCAATATCGTTCCTATTGTGGCCAATTAACAATATATCTTCTTTGAATTTCTATTTGAGCATTAAAAAAAGTAAAGTGATATGATGTGTAGAATGAAATTTAGAAAGATAAAGAAAACTGTTTGAGTTTATGTTTATTTACACACAAAATCAAACAACATAGAAAATATAATAAATAAAAATGATTAGGATTTTATCCCTTTCTATTTGTTTTTTCTATATCCATAGTTGTTAATAGTGCGTTATAGCGGGATCGGCATAGTGCAGCGTGGCTGTTGGCCGCCACGTTGCGTGGCATTTGGCATGTCGCAGAAGTTGTTGCACCCAGAACAGGGAGAAATTCACGTTGTGAACGTGTGATTTGGGGGAAAGGAGGAAACACTATTCTACTTCTTATAAAATGCACCGTTTTGATTATTTTGAGGGTAGAAAGATCATTTATCCTTTTAAAAACATATATGTTGGTTTCATCTTCCCCACGCTCTTCCTCTCTATGCCAAAAGTCTGAGTCTCAACATAGTGGTTTCTCTTCTTCTCACTTGCTCATCCATTCTATTTTGCTGGAGAAAGCAGCTTGTCCCCAGGCTCACCTACTCCATTACATCGGAGGAATCAACTTTTCCGATGTCTCCTCTCCATCGTCTCCTTTGTTTTTTTGTTCACTAGAGAAATCAACTTTTCTGGCATCTCCTCTGTTTTTTTGTTTACTGGTCACTCTTGCTTCAAGTTCTAGTTTGCTGTTCAAGCTCTGTTTTGCTCATCCTCTGCTTTGCTGTCTCATGCTATAATGTTTTGCATTTTTACTTAGAATGATGATTATGTGATTAATTTTGAAAATTTCTTGAGCATTTATATTAAAATTTTGTGTACATAACATATTATATATGCATATTATAAGTTTTTAAATAGCGGTCATACCGCTATACACTATTCCTCTATAGTATTTTAGGAGTTAGTCGCTATCTGAGATTAACAACTATGTCGATACCTAAAATTATCTTATCTAATTTCTAAACATGTAATGAATGTTAAGTTCTGTAATTTTGAGTCAACTCTGATTTTTTGGATGAAAACTCAATATGTTATCAACTAAATTTCTTAATTCTTTAGGCGAATATGATTAGAACATGCATTAACGTTCAAGAACTTCAAAAAAACTTCGCAATTATTGAGTGGATTCTTTAACATTACAACAACTATAGTGAATTACTCAAATCTAACTCAACAACCAACTTTTCAAATGTGAATTCAAGTTTGATATTATGCTCTAGTTAATCAAATCAAGGAATGCATTAAAAATAGATAAACTCACTCAATTACAAAAGAAGGTGAAAAAGAATATAATAACATTAATAATGTAGGAGAATTAAACAAAATTTTATCCTATCCTAATCTGAAAAAGTTAGCTAGACATATTTACAATGATAAATACATAAACAATGAGAAAAAAACTGAGAAAACTACATAGGGATTTGGAAGAAGTCCTCTAACTTCCCAGAATAGAAGTGAAAAGTGAGAGAAAATGAAAAAGAGAAAATGCTTAAATTAAAACTAACTAAAAATTATGTGTTATATTTGAAAATTAGCCCTTAAGACATCTATTTATAAATTTTGGAGTTATGTTGGGCGTCAAAATGTTAACATTGGCATTTTTACACTTGGAAGTCAGATGACAAGTCAATGACAGCATATTTTTTTATCTTATGAGCATTGCAATGCCTATTCTGGCTGTTTTTATGCATAGATCTTGGGTTTCAGCTTTTGGTTCTTGCTTCTCTTGACTTCTTCAAGCTTTAATTCCTTGTCAATTAATCTTATGCATAGTAAAAAAAAAAAAATTTGTTTAATTTTCCTATAAATTAGCTTAAATAACTTCAAATATTCATAAACTTAACTTAGGGTTATGTATGTTGAATATTTAACATATTTGACTAAGAGAGCAAATAAATTAAGGTTAAATAACCTTTTAAAAAGGAAAAACTCAAATCAAATAATAACTTCATTGTGACTTCATCAAGTTGTAACATGTTAGATTGAACAATCCTACATGTTGGAGCACGATTTTGACAATGCTGAGCTTAGTGGCAAATGAGAGGCACATGCCAAATTAATTTTATAAAAAAATCATTAAAAAAATTACTTTGCACATTCATAATTTGGTTCATCTTGTCATATTAAAATAAAAAATCTGAATTGGGGTTCAGACCTCGAGTGTGAATCTTCCCTGACTGCTGCATGGTGTGAACCACCTTACTCTTGCCATTTATGGTGCACTTTTTACTGAATTTATATGGGTAAGCTTTACCTGTGTGCATTTTATCAAAATAAAATTTACACATGCATCTTCTGGAATCAATTAATATGGGAGCTGGTTCATAAACTAATGATATATTAATTCAATGTGACTTTGTTCTTGAATTTCTGCTTCGTGCAGCGGCAATACAATGTTTGAAGAGGAAGAGACTATATGAACAGCAAATAGAGCAGCTTGGAAATTTTCAGCTGCGTATTCATGACCAGGTGTGAATGCACTTAATATTTTCAGTAGTTATGAGTTATTACCAATGTTTTCAACTGATCTTTTGAATCAATAATAAGAAAATTTTAAGTTCAAGTATAAATACATATAAATGATCATATTAATAGGTATTAAACTAGAAGTATCTTATTAGCGATATTTTCTAACATATACTAGTCTCACATTTAATAAGTGAAAAGGGGAAGGAAGAAGTGAAGCTTCTCATAATAAATAGTAAGCCAAACTCTTATTGCATTACAAGCTATTATTTGTCTCACATTGGTCAAATTAAGAATAATAGTTTTGGTTATAAATTTTGGGAACTAAATAATCTATGATGTAAAGAAAGATTTTAAAATTTTTGAAAAGAAAAGAGAGAGAAGGGACTTAAGTCATGTGAACAGTGACTAGTTCACCCTGGTTGGCTGGTTCAAGACTGGTATTTTCATTTTTACCTGTTTTTTGGAATTCTACTTTTTGAGGATTGGTTTCTGAGTTTTGCCAGTCCAACCAGCCTCTGCTCTGGTTTTGACAATTGTGGGTGTATGCTAATGATTCTGTGTTTGGAGTACCATTTATATCTCTTATGCTGATAATTTGTGTTACAGATGATAATGTTGGAAGGTGCCAAAGCAACCACAGAAACAGTAGATGCATTGAGAACTGGAGCAGCTGCTATGAAGGCTATGCAAAAAGCAACGTATGTATATATTGTGATTTCATTCTTAACCCACTCTTCTAAATTTTACATCTCTGTTTTATGGTTGTTTTTAAAAGCCTGACAAGTTTCTGTGTTTTTTGTGATGTGGAAATTCCCTTCATGCGTATAACAAATCTATTGTTTAATGCATCTTTCTTATAATGGCCTGCTGATTGTGACCTTGTTGGGATGTGATATTAATATTTCAGGAATATTGATGATGTTGACAAGACCATGGATGAGATCAATGAGCAGACAGAGAACATGAAACAGATTCAGGAAGCATTGTCAGCTCCAATTGGTGCAGCTGCTGATTTTGACGAGGTCATCTTGTCAAATTTAATTTTATTTGTTCTCTCTATACAAATGAGAGACTTCTATCTTTTGATTTACTTGTTATTGAGCGTAGGGGTGGGTGTGTATTATATCACACATATGGGCAGCATTCTGACATTGTTTGCCATTTCAGGATGAATTGGAGGCAGAACTTGAAGAGCTGGAGGGTGCTGAGTTGGAAGAACAACTTCTTCAGCCTGCAACTACAGCTCCAGCGGCCCCAGTCTATGTACCATCTGGGCGGCAACCCACTCGCCCTGTGACTTCGAAGCCCACTGCCGAGGAAGATGAATTGGCAGCTTTGCAGGCTGAGATGGCACTTTGAGCAGGTCCCGTTTCTGAGCTGCGACAATATTGATATATACTATCTATTCATTAATCTGTTTTAGATTGATTAGTATGGCAATTAATGTGGCAGTGGAATGTTTTGTGTTTTTACCAATTTCATGTTCAATATCAACCTTTGCACAGTTGAGTTCACTTGTATAATAGTCTGAAATGAATTGGCTAAAGTTTCATGTCAGCAGAAAGTTTGGCAATCTTATTTTATGCAGCTCTTATTTTTTTGCTGCTATTAGGCCAGAATTTTGCAGGCATTGATTGCATGACAATGGCCTCTTCTAAAACCAGAGTGACACGGTGAATTCTGTTCCCCCTCACGCTTGCATATCTATGTAAATTGATTGAACAGACCAGAATGTATATAAAGGTGATCAACATTTGACAGCCTTTCAAAACTTCTTTCGCCAGGGATGTTTGTCACCCTTTTCGATTTCACGTTTTTCAGAGTTTTGAAAACCCTTGTATTTCGGTAGTTCTTGTTAAATATTGATGCATTTGGCTATCCCTTTTTTTTAAACCTAGTGGAATTATAAATATTAAGCTTATAAAAATATTTATGATCTTTGGAAGTTCTTTTTAACTTATTTCAATAAAGTTTTTGGTATAATTTATCAAAATAAGTTTTCATTTTATCTCCATAAGTTTTATAATTAAGTTTATGATATAAGCCTTTGAGAAAGATTTTTGTGAAGAAGTGTTTAATTAAACTCTTAATTTAATTAAGTCCTAAGCTTTCCGCCTTTGAACCATGAAGCTGCATTGGTTTGGGTTTTCTTGGCGTTGAGGGTAAATAATGGTCGTATCATTAAAGTGGGGTTCTGTTGATATTTGTGTTTGGAATGGCATTAAGATCGGCTGATCCCGTGAACAAAAGTATTAATTTGTGTTTGTGTTCGATTAACATACTGCTGCGACCGTAAATAACTAATGACTGGAATTTGTAGTTCTCCATTTGAATGCCATGTCTTCCTCTTCTTGACTTGTCATTTGAGCCAATGAGATTATGGGAACCGATAAATAAATATACGTTAACACAAAACGATAGTAAAAAAGATGAAGAAAGAGTATATGTTGGGAATAAAGAAAAAGACAATCAAGAATCATTGTCTACCATATGTAATTCTCCTTATTCCGAAGTCGTCTTCTTAAAAAGAAAAAAAAGAAAAAAAAGCAATGAAGAATATTCATAAATCATAATTTATGTGCTTTTCAGAGTTCTTCCAAATCTGTAGTTTGTGGAGAAAAACAATATTACATCAATTACCCTAATTTTTATAAAGCAGGATAAAATCATAAATTCATGTTATTAATCACTTAATTTATCTATTTATCTCGATCTCTTAATGTGACATCCAAATAAAGGTAAGGAGAATTCACCTTTTATTTTACTCCTTTTCCTTACCTTGCGTTTTTTTTTTTTCACTTATCATCCCTCTTCCTTATAAATTTCAAACACCATAAATTACAAGTCGAGAATAATAAATAGATAAAAAAATCTCTCAATTTATTCTTTTATATTACGAATAATGCTTGAGTGAATAATAAGTAGTTTTGAGGATATAAATAATAAATTTTAATTTTCTATTTAAGTTATTTGTCATTTTACCAAAATACACGAATACAAATTTAGTAAACACTTTAATTATTGATAAAATATTAAAAGTGTAGATTAAAAAAATATTTGCCAAAGACTGATCCAGTTGATAGAATTTTTTTTATATGACATAAAATAAAATATACAACTACATGCATTTTAAATTTTCAAATTTGAAAATTCGCAAAAATTCATTTGATTAATAGAATATTAGTTTACCAGTGAATATCTCGTTGTGCCTAATATAGATTGAAGAATTTTAAGTGTTGATTAAAAAGTTAAATAAAATAAAAGATCTCTTTGACTTGATTACTAATTTAAAAAGAAAACAATTGATTTTGACATCAAAACTCAAAAGATGTGTGTCATAACCTAGGAAAAAAACCTGATTATGAAAATGATCAAGGATTGAAAATGAGGGGTTTCTTCTACATGCACGTACAGAGTTTATATTATTTATCTCTATGGATTAGCGATGTCCAACAAGCTATTAGATGGTTCTTGTTTGTAATATTGACTCATGTAGACATATCAGAAAACATGGTTGTGTTGTTTTTGGCTGAAGTTGTTAATCAACTAACTAATATAATATGTTAAATGAATCAGTCAACTACAAATACAATAATTTCCTCTGATTTGATAATTGCGTTATGGAAGGAACTTTATTCCTCATTTGTAGGTCCCTAAACTATTTCAAAAGGCAATCAATGTGAAATTCTACTAAATTCATCAAAAAGTTCCGTAAATAAAGACAAAAATTTAAATAAAAAGCAATAAAATGAAGTGATGTAAATGAAAGCGATAAAAGAAAGTTGTAAAAAAGTGATGTAAAGGTTGAAATTTGCAAGGAAAGTTATAAATGGCGGATGAAATGTAAAGAATAAAATAGTAAAAATAATCTTATAAAAAGTTTAGTAAAGACAAATGAAAAGATGCTTGTGTTTGATTGATATACGTAATAATGTATAATTATGATTTACAACAATAATATAAATATTACTCCTTCATGTCCTTTTTATAAGAAATAAAATAAAATATTTTTTTAATTCTTATTATAAAAAATAAATGATAGATTAAGATATATTAATTGCTAAATTTATTTTATACCTTTCTTTTATTAGTATCATTAAATATATAAATTACAAACTAAATTATTTAATATCATAAGTATTTTTAAAATAAAATTTATATTTATAAAAAATATAAGAGACTTAATTGCTTTCTCTAGTTCTTGTAATTTATTCTTTTATTTTTTATAAAAAAATTCGAAAGAAGTATATCAACGAATATTTCAATTAAAACTTTAGCTAATCATGCATTGATATTTTTAATTTAAAAAAATAAATATTTATTTTTAATTTCTATTGATGTACAAGTCACTCAAGATCTTTAATTTTATTCATTGTTCACAATTTTAATATATATATTGCAACAACCGAACTTTTCAAGCTCAAAATAATAACTTTGATCGTCATTATATTTTTCATTCGTAATTCACTTTGTTGTGACTTCTTATTGCTTCAAGTGGTTCTTGAATGGACACTTTGTTAGAAATTTATGTGTGACCTTTTTTTTGTATATATATAGAATAAAGTGCTAATGTCCAAAAATAAACTAACCACGCAGAACCAAGTGGAGGAATGTCATCTCGATTATATTCTCATAAATTAAAGGTTTGAATTCAGGGAAATACTTTTTAACACATTATCATTTAAGGACTAAGAATGATTCAAACTAGTTAAAAAATTTGCACATCTATTAGCTTCCTTGTAAATATGAGTAATAAAACCGACTAATCTAAATTAAGAAGTTTTTAAATCTCTTTCACAATTTGAAAACAATGATATCCCTTTGAACAACCATTACTAACAGAATTAGAAGCATTTAAAGAATTCACTTCCACTTATAGTTTTCGGATACCTATAAAGGGAGTAAGCTTGAGACCTTTTAAAATTATATTTAAATTAAATAAACTTTAAAATCGTATTAAAAACTTAGATTTAATTCATTCTCGAAACTAATTCATAAGATAAAATTTACTCAAATCTTACAAGAAATATTTTATTTTTATTTCTAGCCAACGTAGAATATCTTTGCAGTTACATTCATTTAATTAATCTTATTTTGTGTGTTAATATTTATTTTTTTATATAAAAAATTTAGATATATTGATTATTTTTTTAATTAAATTGAAGTCTCTTTTCAAAAAAGGTTCATATTTACTGTTACCGTGAGTTATCAAAATAACACTCAAATTTTAACTAAAAAAGAATACAAAAAATACTTAAGTTTTAGAAGTCACACTTGGTAGACCGATTTAAGAAAACAAACTTCTGGGTACCGATTAATTTGGGTTTAGCTTATGGACATATCTAAGAGAATAAAGTTTTACTAACATTTATAACTATATTTACAAAAACTCAAATTTAATATTTTACTTAAAGAAGACTAAATTTCTCACCACTTAAACTAAAAAAGAAGTTCATTTTCATTATTTGTTTGAAATTTCACTCCATAAATTCTCACATGATGTTTATTATCAGCAATATTTTAACAAACGGACTGATCAGTAACCATAAACTTATTCTGACTCTTGTTCGAACATTTTTCAATCAAGTGCACTATAATAACAAATTTAATTATTTAAACTAATTGAATCGTCGTCTAAAACTTTTATCAATTAATTTTTTATTCTATTTTTAAAACATTAATATAAGTGCATCAGATTAAAGAGTTAATAAGGGGTAGACGGTTGACAACACAAATCTAACGATAAAGGATCAATATGGTAAATTGGTTTTCCCATTAATTTTTTACAGTTGGCACTCTCTCATTAATAATCCCTCCAATTAAGACTAGTCCGCGTGGAAGGAAATGATCTGATCAGCAACATTCTTCTAGTAATCTTGTAACATATTGCAAAGGACATAATTTGGTGCTTTCTAAAGGCAGCACTATTTTTTTACTTAAATAATGGAAACAATTTGATATTGGAAAAACCAGATGCATAAAGTCAAACATAATCTTGTTGCGACAGGGATTAAGATTTGAATGCAGCAAGTATACTAATCTAGTGTCGTAAGGTCTAACATAAAAGGAAACACAATGAACAATAGTTTTGGCACCCAATTACGTGCTTATATCCTTTAAGCAGTTGAAAAATCACCAAAAAGAGGGGTCAGTCTAAAAGTGTGTTGTATAATTAGGCCTCTTAAGTCAAGGCTTCAACAACGTTTGATTTACTTGTCCTTCACTTTCACCAGTTATCAGCATAGTTTGACGTAGACAACCCGGACATTCTTTTGTAATGATTCAATGTTGACTCCTTTGTAAAAAAAAATTATATTGGTTAATAAAAGTGCGTTTAATCAGAACTAACATAATTAAAATAAACATGATTTGGATTCATTTGAAATAAGTTGAATAACTCCGAATCAATATATACTAACTTGTTTTTTAATTGGAGTATATTAACAAACTACTTTCATATTGTAATATCCTCACTATTCCTTTCGTTTAGGGTTTTTAATCTCATGCGATATTTTCATTTTGTTGATTCTTTACATAGTCATCTGACATGTTGCATTGTTCAAAATATCCGTTCTAAGTTATAAAATCATTGGAGAATCAGAAAATAAACTGAACTGTTTTATTTGATGGTTCAGTATCGACATAGTTAAAATAAGGTCCAAAATGATCTTTAAGGGCATACGCCTAGCTCTACCTCTATGCATACGTGAATCAGATTACATATATTAATTAACAAAACACATGTTAATAGGGTTTACTGCCTCCAATTAAAGTACACTCTAGAACAAATAACATATATAATTGATGCATTTATTTATACAATAAAAAAACTGCACACGAACCAATGTTCAGGAAATTAACCATAGGCCCAAGAACGATTCATGTGACTGAAAAAAGGAGAAACTAACTTCTGCAGTAAACGTAAGCTATAGTGTGAAAGAAATCAGAGACTTCATTTTCACCATATTATATGTGATAATGGCGAAAGAGACACACTATCATGATTCATGTATATATGTTGTTGTTATTGTCAGATGGGGACCCCTTTGTTTTTTTCTCTGCTTGGAAATGGTTCAAGAGCCAACGCAACTTTCGTGACCACTGGCTACTGAGAACTACGTGCGATCACATTCACATTCATGAACCTTTTGACGGTAAGTTTAAGTTAAGGTCCCTACATCGTGATAAAACAAACTATATGACATAGAGAATTCCAACAATGAGATCTCCTCTAAAAAGTAAAAATTGCCACTAGCACTCCTTAACTAAATTGTAGTTTCAGTGATCCTACTATCATTATGTTTGAAATTTACCTGCCGAAGATTGCATAATTCCACACAAACCTAACTACTTTAATAAAATTCAAATCATAGTCCACATTTGAAATGTATTTAATTACTGGTACTAATACTATAGTCAATAGGGAAATCAATATCCATGACATGGATTTTGACTAATATATTTCTTTTCTCTTCTGAAATTTTGCTAATGTTTTTTGGAAGCTTTTGATGACTAGAGAAAGAGTCTTGGTTAGTCAGATGATGGGCCAACTTGGTTGCACATGCTGTTATCTTGAGAAACAAACCCATTACGGAGGAGATCTTCATACACATAATCAAGCAAAATTGCCTCATCTTCACCTTCATGGTCATAACATCCAAACCATTGGGTACCACTGTTCACCTTTGCAAAGGAAGCTGAATTTGAAAGAAGTGAAACTTCCTCAGCCAGTGGTACTTTACAACCACTGCCAAGAACTGAAGCATCCGGTTCCAAAGGCAATGGTAAAGGAGCTGTAATTGGTGTTTGCTCCAAACCCAAAACATGGGACTTAACTGAGTTCTCATGATCGAAGACAAAGTGTTCAACTTGAGACTGAGGAGTACTTGAAGTTAAGAATTGTGGACAACCAGTGTTGCCAGGGGCATTGGTGTTTGGTGCCAAAAACTTTTTCTTTAACTTAGTGTTCCAGTGATTTTTCACATCATTGTCCGTTCTCCCAGGTAACTGTGCTGCTATAACTGACCACCTGATCGCAAAAACCACAGCACATTCACTTGGTAATCATGATATATAATGGCATAAGGAATAAGCAAACAAGTAAAGCGAACTTAGCAAAGCATACAAAAATTCAAGCTTTATAATATTCTATTCAATAGTATTATTATCATATGATATAAGATTTATAAATATAGATTAATGATCGTATATCATATGATTGTTATAATTATAATTTTGGCTTACTAGGAGTTATATGATATATTACATAGAAAAGAATGAACTTGCCTACTTCCGATGGTAGCATAGAGGGTGCAGATAACTTGGTCTTCCTCCTCAGTGAAACCTCCATGCTTGATATGAGGCCTGAGATAGTTGAGCCATCTCAAACGACAGCTCTTCCCACAGCGCCTAAGGCCTAGAAGTAAAAACACAATATGTTAAACAAGATCATGATAGAATATCCATGTTTATTTATTGGAAAACAAAACAAAGACACCTAAAACAAGGGACCAAAAGAGAGAGAAACCTGCTTTTTTTGGGAGTGCTATCCAATTACCACCTGTGCCATGTTTCTTAAGGTAGTTTTTGAGGGTTGCATCTTCTTCAGGAGACCATGGCCCTCTTTTCACGTTGGCTTTGTCACAACATGGAGCTCTTCCCATGGCCAAGAAAATCAGCACTCAACTCAGAGAAGATGTCAAAGTATACACAGAATATGAAGTCTCCACAAAATATATATTATGTCTTTGTTTTTTTTCAAAAAAGAAGAAGACTGGAATGGATTGAGAAGTTAGAACGTTTGAAAAGTTTGACTTTGTCTGACTGTCAGACTGATTGAGGTGTTTTATTTGTTTCCTTTTTCCTTTGTGTGGCTTTGTTTTACCTGTTCTGTCCAAAATCTTGGCCAGTTTGCTCAGTATTTCTAACCTACTGTACTCAGCTCTGTGTCTTAAGAAACAAGGCAAAGACTGAAGAAAGACCCAGTCAATGATATTCCCTTCTTTTCACCGTCCGTGCATTTTATCAAACCACTGTAAAAGATTTGTTAAAAAACTTTGTGAAAAATTAACATTTTCAAATCAATACTAAATTATATAGTACACACACATTTATCATTCCCCGTTAGCACTTGAACTATTGCCACCAGCTAACTAAATATTATAACTCGTGAACCGTGTCAATTATGTAATAGAATTTAGCATGTAACCTACGGCCTAAGCATCACATCAGCACTTCAACTTCTACTAATTTCTTAAATTCAGATCTAAAGAAATATATATTTTTTATCAATATGCTAATGTTGTGTTGGATGAGACGTACTTCTGATTAAATCGAGAACGTTGATGAAGTGCATACAATCAAAACCACACAAACCTAATCAATGAAATGCATACAAACTGAACAAAATACAATCTAATTAATTGACTGAAATACTAAATTAAAGAATGGTGTGGACAGGTAAATGGAATAAAGTAAAATAGGCAAATGGTACGCACTAGAATAGGATAAGAAAATAAAGTAAAATAAAGAAGGAAAAAACAATGTAAAAATTGAATAATTTAAAATTATTATTTCATTCAAATCCTTTTATTCCCCTTCTTTCAGTTTAGAAAGTAAAAAATGGAACTATTGTTTTTGTGCTGCATTGCATTATATTCTATTATAAACATTTAATTCCATAACTTGATTAATTCTATTACATTTATTCTTACCCGTCTCAGTTTATCGAAAAGATTGTGTTAGATTAGGCTTTAACTAAGCTATTCTGCTAAACGAGGAGGGATATGAAGAGTGGAACTTGGCACTCGACAAGGAAGGGTTAATTCTCCTTCATCTTTGGTTGCTCTGTGCAGTGTATTGATCTGGGTCTGACAAAGGACTTCGGGGAAGACACGCAAATTTGGCTGTTTAGTGTGTACGATAACCGTGTACAGAACAAAGTACTCACTCTGTTCGCGACCAACGTTGGTCCCCAGTTTGTCCCTGCCCTTCCACCTTTCCAAACAATAAAGTGTAAAATTTTACATAATTATTTAATAATATATGAAAAAAATCGTAAGTCTAAAAAATCTTCTTATATCTAATTTTAACCTTTTAAATTTATTAACCGTTAGATTGTGTTACACTAATATAAAAATTTCTATCTTATAATATATTGTTATATTTAGTAATATTTTACTTTTCTAAATTTATTAAATAATAACATTTTTTTTTACGTTAAGGATACATTTTTTTAAAATAACCATTTTAATTACATACATGACCTTTAATTTAAAACTTGAAAATCAATTATACACTCCAAATACCTTTGAAGTATTGTCAGTTTTGTTTCTTATCGGTTGTCTTTTACGTTGATACAAAGTAATAATAATTATGTAAATAATAATAGTAATAACAATAGAATATTAATATATATATATATATATATATAATATTAAGAGATATTATTTTATAGTGTAAGTAATTGAATTTTTATTAAAAAAAAACCTCAAAATAAGATAAAGTTATATTATATCCATCTTCTTAAATAAAATAATAAATTTTATATATTTTTTAATGGTACTGAGCCTTCCAACAAAATTAAAGAAAGTATTTTTTAATATTTTATATTGAAATTTAAGCTATTTTTAAGTAAAAAAAATATTTTTTAAATAAATATTTATGTTTTTTTTTTTGTCTATATTAAAGTATCAGCTCAAGTGTTTGAAATGTGTAAAAGTGTTTGGTCAAATATCTGAGCTAATTTATTTTCTTTAATTAAACCCTAATAAAAAGTGTCCAACACGTGTTATCCAACACTTCAAAAGTTGTGTTTGAGGTTGCAACACTTAAAAGAAAGGTGTTTGTGCTTCATAGTTAACTTTGTGTTCCTTTATATAGATAAGTTATTTAAAAAAAAGCAGTTATATTTTAATTTTATAAGCTTTGCATGAAAAACTTGTGGATAAATAAAAGTTAACATTATATATAGAAATAGAGTTATGTTTGATATAATTTTTTCTAAAGAGTCTATCATTACAGGTTTATATTTTATTATATTTTTTACCTTCTTATTTATATCAAATTTTCTGGGTTGATAAATAAAAAACAATTAAATTATATTTAAAAAAATCAAAATAAAGTAAATAATCTTTCATATTTTCTAATAAATAAGACACATTTTAATTTTAAATTTTAACTTATTTGAAAATTTAAAACATAACTTGTTAAAAAATGTGTAAAATTTTTTAAAAAAAATTGAGTTTAAGTATTAATTTTGTATAAGTTTGAGCTTTAACTTCTTATTACATATTAATAGGTGCATTAAAATCAACCTAAAATGTGAGGAATAGTATATTTTTATTTTTATTTTTATTTTGCTATTATAAAAATAGTAATGAGTGAAATAGCGAATTGCTATTTCTTCTTGCTGTAAGTTGTAACATGGAAGGCACAGAATAGTCACTCGCAGGCCCCAGAGCAAAGCGGTCAACACTATGTCGACCCAAGGAGCATTCTTCACAAAGCCATTACTGGGCCAACAATTACAGCCCAATATACCACAACTATTTTTATTCTCAATTTAGAGGTAATAGCGTTGACCCAACAAAAAAGGCCTAATAGTTGACACATAGTTCAGGCCTTACTACCACCCAAAGAGATTGTGGAATTCTCACTCGTTATAGGCTCTGGTGATTCCTGCAAAAAAAGACTGAATGGCACTTTGCTAACAAGACTAATTAGCGGTGCATTATGAAAATGTATATGTGAACGAGGTAGTATTACTATTACTTATTTTATTGCGCCCATCTTATCTTAAGCGAGAATCATGGATTACAAATTCTAAGAAAACCAGAAAAGAGAATCCACAAGAAAAACAACATAGATTACAAATAAAAGTCAGATGAATATTTTACATAGATTAGGAAATTTGACAAGTTGCCATATAGCTAGCTGGTTGATATTCTGGCTGAGGAACAATTTCCACAAAGAAGTGATTCGCATCCCTAAATGGAAAAAAAAAAAAAACCAAGGGGATATGGCTTGGTACGTGGTAGATAGCATTACTTGATTAAACAAACAATTATATATTCCTTTACAAGTTTAAAGAAGAGGGGCAAAAAATGATGGGTTGTACAGTAAGGTGCACAGAGCGATATGAAGGTATCAATCCAATCCAAAACACAAGAAAGTGGTTTTATCTTGTTGGTGGGATTCTGTCTTTAAGATAATGTCAAAGATATTGATATTCTCTTTCAAGTTTCAAAGGGTAATCTGTGATGGAGTTTGATTAATAATTTAATACACACTTGTGAGGTATCATATTTTATTAGTCAATTCCATCAGCATCTTATCTCCAAAGTGCAACAACCCCCATGATCTTGTCTGTTGTTGTTGAAGTGGTATTAATAATTCATTTCATACAAAATCTTTTATTTTCTTCTCTAAGCAAAAACCTGTTGGCACGTAACCAACAGTCTTCCCTCAACCCGGGGGATGCTATGAAGCTTTTCCTTCCAGTTTAACTCACTTCGATGCCCATTCCGTACACTAACTGCATGCTTCCATTATCACTTTCAGACTGTAATACACACTAACCATTCTTTTTTTACAAATATTCTCAAAATAAATCAACATCTACTTCCCCCAAATATATATACATATATTCAACTTTAGCAAGGATTGGTTTTTTATACCTGCTATTTTGAAATACTATATACAAAAATATGGAATTTTTTAAAAGTTAATATTTTTAAAAAAAATTAATTTATTAATTGATCGATAAAAGTTAATATTTATAAAAAGTAATTGAGATGATTAACTTTAATAAAGACTAATTCTGAAATAATTTGATTTTCTCTTTTCTTAAAAAAAAGATAGTTTTGTACATAGATTTTAATAATCATGTAATAGAATTGTCAATAACTAGACACTGGATCCCAGCATGTTTGGTTTTTAAATATCAAGTTACACATCATGTAGCTGGTATGATGGATTGATCCATGTTGGTTCCTTTAACAGAGGTGTAGAGAGGATGAGAAGGGAATCGCTTGTCTTCTGTCTTACAATTTGATAAAATGCATCTATTGTTTGATGAAAAACAATTACTTTATTTCCCTGTGAGATCATAGATCTCTGATTAAATACACAATGAATTGTCTAACTCACTCAAAACAAGTATAACACAATAAATTATATAAATTAATTGGAATTATTTATTTTTATTTAAAAGAACGATAGTTAATTGTTTGTCTTTTAAATAAAAAAAGTCCGAAAATTGTATTTTAAAAACATTTCATTAAAAAAATTTGTTGCGACATTATTTTGATTTGTAACTGTGTATTGTAAAATAAGTGTGAGTAGACATCTAGGGTGCTGTTTTACTGGTACAGGGTTGAGTGGACATGTAGGTGCTGTTTTACTTGTGCGAGTTGACATTGATGGAGTGGGAATGAGTTTTCTTGGATTCCCAGTACGGCACCAATTGTACACGTTCAATTTGCTTGAGCCTAACCAAAAGAGATTTTAACACTCCTAAGGAGTGATTGCATATATGATGTTCTAAGAATGGTAGGATCATGTCAATACAAATGCTTTATTAGGACGAAAAGAAAGAAAACAGAGAATACAGAAAATGTTGATAATGATATATAAATATGTTTGATGGAAAAAAACAGTGTGAAGAGATGGTCTTGTATCAAGTGGGACCGCTTGAGATTATTCATTATTGTGAAATGGATTTAGATCTTATTGAAGATATATTCCCAAACAATGTGTTACACAAGTAATTATAGAGGTGGAGCATGGTATTGCGTTGACAAAGAATTTGATTAAACGTGTTGGATGTTTTCATTGGGATTAACAGAGTTTCGCCAATTGATCGATACTTTGGAGAAATTATGCCTTGTGTGGGACATAAATTGTTGCCTTCTAACTATTCAGCAATAAATTATTTTATTTTTGGCCTTTACTTTATCTATCTTGTATTCTTTCTTTTTTTTTTGGGTTACCAAAACTTTAAAAAGTAAAAAGATGGCGTCTACTTTAAGATTGAAGGTGTTACTAAATTTGAAGAGCACTTACAGCTTATCAAATGTAGAAATCTATCTTATTTTCCCTAGAATAATTCCTAAAAATTATCTTATACCTTGTCCTATCATATGAGATTTATACGATCAAATATAAATTAATTATCTTTGTGATATCCAATCTTCTTTTACAAATGAAATGCACCCATTGCATTTTATGTTATTCTTTTATGTTTTAAGAAGTACGTTTCAATATTTAAAACTGAAGAAGTCACAAAGTTTAGCATTTTCTTCATTCTTTCTCGTAACTTGTTTTAAGTAATCCCGATTTGAGATGATTTTAAAAAATATGTTTACCCTTTATTAATAATACAATATTATTTCAATCAATGAAAATCTGAAGGCAGATAAACACCTACTTTTACATTTTTTAAACAAACTACCAATATTTTATTTTATTTTGCTAAACGTGTTAAGTCAAAAGTTACAACCTATATTTAAAAAAGCATTTCCATTGTTTAAGATTGACTTGGTTTTTAGTTGATCACAGATACCATCTTAAACTCTATTCATTCCTTCAAACTGGTAGATTCAACAAACCATATCAAATTAATTCGGGCTTCAATGAGTTGGGATATTTTTGGCCCTAGCCTGTCCTACGTACGAAATATGCAAATTACAGGTCGATTTGGTGAAGTCTTTACTTCGGGGGGAAATTATCCTACCCACAGGACCAAAATAAAAAACATGTCTTTTTTGTGTACTAATTTATCAAAAAATTCAAATCAATTAAACATGCACTTGAAAATGAATTAAAATTATTTTAAATTATATGTTACTTAACTTATAGTGTTAAAATAAATCTATATTTAAATAATTTTGAGGCAATCTAAACATGTTATAAATATTTGTTCAGCTCATTAATAAACAAATATTTCTTAATTAACTAATTTATACTCTACGCATAGAGTCAGAACTTTTTCTAGTGTTGATTACTTGGTAGTTAATATTTTGCCTTTCTTAACATACTCTTGAAAAAATTGCAAAGAAAAATGTTGAGGTGCTTAAAAGGGGCATACACATCATGTACCAAAAAACGGGGACCATATCCTGATATAGCTAGCTTATCAGGGCAGTGTACTCCACCTTGCATCAGCCGTTAATGTCAATTGTGATATCAACTCAAGATGGTGATTTATCCGTTCCCCTCTCTCCTTCGTCCCCTCTACCGCCTACACTATCAACAACCCAAACTCTTCAAAGTTTATTTCATAACATCAATTTAAAAATATTTTTAATTTTTTATCAATAAATTAGTGGAAGAAGTGAATTATTTAACTGTTTTGTTATGGATTACTCCTTCGATTTTTATATACGCTGAACTTATAAAAATAAAATTATTTTTTATTCATACAAACAATTATATTATATTATTTGATATATAAATAACCAGTTGAACAACCATTTCTTATTATAAATACTTTTAAATATATTATACTTTTAAGGGGTTTTTGTTATTCTTAGCCTAGTTTAAGCATCCACGTACTAGTTTACGCATCGAAAAAGGTACTCAGTATATAAAACTCTACTTTAAATTATCCATTATATGTATATATCCCTTTCAAACTGCGTCTTCATGTTAGAATACCACGAGCTCGCGGATACAATACATGTGCCACTTACAGCCTTCAACTTCCAATATGTGTAATCTGAATTGTATGACTTGTTCAAATATGGACACTGCAAATCTTACAGACTAACACTTTTCCACACCTACTAGACTCACTAACACAACAACATATTCTGTACCGTGATTTTGCAAGCAACTCTGGCGGATATACGTACACCTCATATTGGGTGATTCGATGATGGAACCATAAAATTGTGCAGGCTCCAATCCACTCCACAAACTACCCAAACCATGCTGTTTATTTAGGATTCACGACACCTGGATTTTGCCTCGTTACTTGCACCCTCATTCCCATAACCCATTTACATCTCCATTCCACGCTGTTGTATTACAATTTTATCTTCGCATAACGTACTCCGTAGATACCATGTTTGCCCCAAAATATTTAAAAATTAAAACCAGAGTTTTAGTTTCTGATACCATAATGGAAAGGGTTTGAACTTACGAATCCTACATAGCATATCAGATATTTCAAATATGTACATGAATGAGAAGAGATTAGTAAGTTGAGTGATAACAAACACGGTTAACACATGGGAATAACATAGTTCATCATCCACTACCTAAACTTAAGATCATGTAAATCAATTCTTGGTCCGTCTTGATTTTCCAAGAAAATACCCCCAAAAAAAGATTATAGTCTTTCACTTAACTTCACCCATAGCTTGAGAATATATTTACAGAAATAAAAGTTGACGCTTCTTCCAAAATAAATCTCGTACTATTCTTCTCCTCCCTGCTTCCTTCTCATTCTATACACACTGAGGGAGCAGAAACCAGGCAAGTGAAACAAAATGGCATCAAGAGATAATGAGAAAATGAAATTAACGGTTCACAAGATCCGAAACCCACCCAACATCCGGAGCTCCAGATAGTGAACCTGAACCCGACATATCCAAAGAGTTCTCCTTGCTCAACTTCTCAAACATCCTCGCCCTTATGCCCCTCCCAGACTCCACCCTCTCCATCACAGGCTCCTCCTCACAACTCTGATCCCACAAGTCAAAATAGTTGACCCCACCACGACCCGGTGCCTGCGTTGGAGTCGTGGGCAGGCTACAGAATCCGGGTCGGATTACGGGTCCTCTTGGAGATCCGAACCCAGGAGACCCCATAGGCACGTTCCATGAAGAAGGTAACGACTTCACCTTACCCAGCTGCAAATTCCGCAGAGAAGCCACCATCTCATTCACATTCACACACCCCGAACCCAAAGACCGACGAGTCATCGGCGACATCGGAGGCGACTCCGCCGGCGGACTCATCGGCGGGGAAATCGAACCAGGAGAAGACACATAAGGAAGCGTCTTCGAACAAGACGACTCAACCACGTGTCTCAGAGGAGACCCATCATAAGAATCAGCAGAATTGGCACTCCGTGGACTCTGCTGAGGCAGAACCCTGAGTTGGTCAGGCGTGTGAGCGAAGAAACAAACCCGGCGGCGGCAACTGGTGCCGTCCTTGCAAGGCTGAGTACGGTAACGGGCGGGATGAAGCCAGCACTCGAAAACCCCATGCGCGAACTCACACGCATCACCCTTTTTGCAATTCCCCTTGCGAAAATCGGGACACGCCGTGCCGGAGTAGTGGTACTTCCTCGGGTCACGGCGGCGAGCCTTTTCGCCGGGGTGAGCGTAGGGACACTCGGTCCAGTCATGCGACCTGCCACGTGCGCACCTTCGAACCTTAAACTCGAACATGCGGAAATGGTCACAGGAATAGGCGTCAACCGGAACGTCCGGTTCCAGGTTAGGAACCTCGGAGTCAGACTCAGCATCGGTGTCGCTGGCGGGAACATAGTGCTGGAGAGCAGTGAGTGCTTCTTGCAAAGTGTAGGGAGAGTAATCAGCATTTGCTGTGTAAGGGGAAAAGATCTCCGGCGTGGAATCATGGAGGATTGGCCACGGTGGCACGTGTATGGTTGGGTTTGCGCGGTGGGTCTCCCCCAACATCATGGTGTTGATGGGTGTTTTGGTTTTATTTGCATTGGATGTTTACACCTATTCGGGCATGGTTAGTGTCCCTTTATAAAGTGCCTCACTACAGGGCCTTAACCATGGTTTGGTTTTCCCTTACCATGGTTGGCTTTTAAATGAATGAACTCCAACTCCATTGCGGTTAAAGTTAGTGGGGGAGTTTTTTCCCTCACCGCGCTCGTCTTTGGAGCTGTGGTGACAGGCTCACAGTTTGTGTGCTGGTTTGCCACGTACGTCAACACCTGGTACGTGGTGAAGCCATAGATTGGGTTGTCACGTGCTCATAATGACCGCTTTTTATTTTTGAACGCCCCTGGTCTTCCGAAAGCGGTGGAGCGTATGATACGCTACAGAGATTGCAGTCATAAACATAAATACATAATCTCCCTTCAATACTCTCAGATTATTTCTTCAAACAAATTAAAATAATAACTCTGCATTGTTTTGTTTTTATCTACTATTTTTATCCCAACACAGTAGTTCATTTTCTGAATAACAAAACCCATCTTATTAATGAAAGTAAAGCATGCTATCATCAGACTTGGAATTCTTTTATTTACGCTCATTTCCGCTTTCTTCATACACTACCTCTCTGTTATAATCATCTTTCAAAACCTCCATCAATAACTATTCATGAAAATTATAAATGAGAAATTATGAGTTTTTCTAATTTATCAAAATCTCATAAAATATTTCATTCGAAATACAATGGGAATTATTTCAACGTCCGTATCTTGTTGCATGATGGGCATATGATATAAAGTCCAATCCAATAGGCGAGTTTCATGTGAATGGTCATTTTAGCCCCTTACCTTATCGATCTTATCGTTTCAATTTACCGCACCATCGTCCATTTTGTCTTTATTATCATTAGGATAGATATTAGTACTTATTTATTTTTGTCTCTGTCTCGTGATGGTTCTTCTTGTAATCGACTACACGGACATTTAACATCATCACTATTGACCATCAACAAGGTCTGATATTTAACTGTAGTAGGTAAAATCAATTTATTATATTACTTCTCAATTATTTTATCACCAATTCATATTACAATTCCAAACGTTTAAGAAGTAAAGAACATCACTAAGTAGCAAACTATTTTACCTCTTTTAAAAAAACATTGAAGAATGATAACTATTAAAAAAATTTACTTTCATTTTTATTTTAATGATAATTACAAAATTTTATATATAATTTACATTTTAAACATTTTTATCTTAAAATTAATGTTTTCTAAAATGTTGCTTTTTTCTTAAATTAAAAGTGCTCATACATACAAGATATTTAAAAAAATGTAAAATTAGTAAGTATTTTATTTAAAATAGTTCTCAAAATCATTTATTACACAAAAACTTTCTTGTTATATATATTTTATTGGAAATTCTGCAAGAAACCTTCCTATCAAATGACGGTTTCTATAAGATAAATTAATTGAAACCCTTGTTAACACACCACTCACCATTCATCCAAAATCCCAGGATGCACGTGTAATGCACGGCTACAAATTTCTTCCCTTGTGTGTGTGTGTAAATTTTCTTGTGTGTTTGGCTATATCCATTTGGAAGGTGAAATATTAATAAAGTCTCTAAACTGAATATAAGAAAATAAAACTATGTCTCAATTTTTATAAGAGTGACACTTTTATTTTGATATTTTGTATGCATGTCTCAAAGAAAATAAATATCTAATTATCAGTCGTGAGATTATTGTAGTACAAAAAGCAACGTTAATCAGAAAATAATATTAAAAAATATTAAATTATTAACTTATTTTAACTGACAGTAATTACTTGATGCAGTAAAATAATTTCATAATTTCTAAATTGAAGTTCATTTAGGAAAAATATATCCGAGGAAAGAACTTGTATTTTAATTGGAGCTTAATATCTTTGTACCTCATGACAAATCGTTGTTTAGATTGTAAGATGTCGCGCTCAGACTTAAACCAGTAAAGCCACCATTTTGGTAAAGCATCAAACTGTGATGACAGAGATGTTTCGGTTGATGATTTTCAGAAGAAAAAAAAAAATAGACGATTCAGATGATAACCAGATATTTATTGGAACCAAGTGTGAAATTGTAATGTATCAGGCTGGGTTTGTTCAGCACAAACTAATTCAACAGAATGTAAATTGATATAATTCGTGAGAATCAGCAAATTTACATTTATCTGTTTGACGGTTTGAGAATTGATTGAGAGGGGACTTGGTTTAATAATATCAATAATAATAATAATAATAAGGAAATTATGGAAATTATAAATTAACGAAAGCAAAAAACATGTATATAAATTAAACTTTTAAGGTTTAAATGTTTAAATAAGAATAAATTATAGGAAAAAAATAATTAAAGCTGATAATAATAAAAATATTGTTTAGAAGTGCACACAGGTAGGTCCGCCCCTGATTAGGACTGCTAATGATGTATTCATTGTTAATCCCAATGCATAAGTTCTATGTTACTTTTTTTTATCATCTTTTGGAGTTGTTGATTTTAATTTACCAAGGCCTCCGAAAGTCGTTTAAGAAAACTACATTCCAAGGTCGAGTTCTTGTCCAGATTATCTGCTCATAATCCAACCCTGTTTATCTCTGTTCCGTTAAGCATACAAATCATGAATTAGTTCCACGAGTGTTTCAAAGATAACCCAATCTCACACAACACAAGCAGCATTGGGGGGAAATGATCACAGTTATTCATAATTCTAAAATTGCAATTAATGTGGATTGGTGTCTTAAAAGAATCCATTGTGTGTAGTCGGGATCTTGGATGCAATATATCAAAATCATGAACTAGTAGCCAAATCATATCTTTTATGTACAGAAATGTTGGAGAGTAGAAAAATAAAAAGAAAAAGTTTCCATTTTAGGGGTTTATCCATTGCACACTGCACTGTTGGTTGGTTGTTCCATCTGGAGACGCAACTTTATTCCTTTGTCATTCTCTTTTGGTTACGAATAATGATTGATGTCATATCGAAGAGAAGCATGGTGTGTTTGGGTTGGTGCAATCGCAATAGCCTTAGGCATGTGAAAAAGGGACCAAGGAAGAATGAGTAGTGAAGAGTGCAGGGGAGGCTAAGCACCAAATGCTTTGCCCAATTACTTTAAACACTGGCAACGTTTTCACCCTTCCTGCTACCTCGTTTTATTTGTTATATACTCTCAGAATACGTATAAAAATTTAAGACTCGGTTGGTTGGAGATGTTATCCTGAAAGTAGAAGGGAAGGGGGTCACGTGAGGAGGTGGGAAGGGAGGGACAGATAGGCTTTGCGAAGGACATGGACATGGAGGCCCTCCACTCTCCGACAAAATACATGGTCTCCGTACGATGAACTAAAATTTTGATAGCGACAGATGTACGGATACATCCCCTATCCACGCGTCCTCCTTTGACCAAACACGTGTGCCCTGTCCTTTTCCTCACACTCCCACCATTTTTCCATACTATTACCACGCGTCACCTTCTTCTTTATCGCTCTCGAGATTCGCATGATTTACTGTTTCTATTGCCAACTCTATCAACCTTTCTTTTTCTTTTTTTTTAATAGCTTTTTCTTTTATATAAAAAAAATCTCATTTGACCGCCTTGATATTATCGTCGTCGACATAAAAAGCATAGTTCCAGTATCAATTATCATACTGCACTAATAAATAATAATAATAACAATTCTTTATTCACACTTGCCTTCACTGATAAGGTTGGACATATCTTAGATGAGTTCTCTTTAATAATCTCTCGTAGATTCACTTGTGGTTTTTTATTTGTTCACAAGAGTTTGTCAGAAATTTAATTCCCTAAAATACGTCGCTCCTAAACTTCTTTAGATAGTGTCAGCAATTGATTAATAAATCATTTACAGTGACCATTATAATTAAAAACTTGTAATAACATTTTTTCTAATTCTTTTCATTAAAACAACGTATATTTACAATAACATATCTTATATTCGTTAATGTTGTGTAGGTTGACCTCGAATTTCGTAGTTGACATGCTTTTGAAATGCGATGGAAAATGTTTTTGTACATTAAATATTTTAACGCCTAAGTGAGTAGAGATTTTGATAAATGTAAGCAAGATAATCCGATGAGGCGATAATATATTATTGGCTTCACATCATCGTCTCCACCGAATAACTACCATTTTCTCTTTATTTCAAAAAAATTATCATTTAAAAAATCAAGACTTTATCAATTTTTTCGATTATATTTTTGTTTAATACACTAATATAACTATGTTTATATTATCAATTAATTAAAATACACATTAGATGTAGTTTTTAAATTAATTATAAGAAAATAAATTTATAATTAAATAATAATATAAAGATTTATGTTATTACTGCGGTTAAAAAAGTTTGAAATTGCTACTAAAATTAAGAAAATCACCGTTACCCTCCTAAAAAGATGCTTCGACAAAATATGAAACCATGAGAAATTAAAATATGATTTATTTAAAATAAACATCTCGCTCCGCAGAAATTAATGGATAATTTTTTTCTCAACATGATATCAGGAATGAAAATCATGGCCCATAATAATGTTCGAAGGTGAATAAGAAGCTTGCAGATAATCATTATTCAAAATTCCCCTCCTTCATATCAGAGATCCTGTAATAATCAAATTCAAATAGAGAAAGGAAAACGTGATGCTACAAAATATATTGATATGAGTGACAAAATGCCACCCATGCATGGAACCAAACCATATATGAATCCAGAAAGCTGGGGGATTATTTTCCAACAGAACTAAGTTCAAGATGTTCAAGATGTTTTTTTAAAAAATAGAACTAAGTTCATGCAAATTAAAAAGAAATAAAGATAATAAACAAACACGTTAAGATTTTTATTCTAATCTTTTAAAATAAACAAGTAGTTTATTTTATATACGTCAAATTAAGTATATATACAGTATAATATAATATAATATAAACAAATCGAGTCAGTTCTCACTCTTTCTTAAAATTGTTGTCAAATATTTTACATTGTATGATTACAAAATTTTCATTTTAGTTAAT